AGTCCTTTTACGGAGCAGACTCCCGACTACTCCGTAGGCGGGTACGTTGTACCCAGGCGCGCACGAGCCTTTACTCCAAATCCTACTTACCAGGCAAAGACTAAACACGTCCGATATCTGGCTTCTCAATAGAAACCAGAGGGATCGGCAAACAGTCTTAGTGCACAGGCCCACTGCCCGTACCATAATAGGTACAGACCCACTGCCCATACCCCAAGTCTGTGTAGAGAAATCAACGAGCAAAATGAATTAATAATAACTTGGTATGCACAATGGCTGATCACAATTTAAGTCTATTAATAGATAGACTAAAATTAATAATAAACGATGTGATGATGAATATGAATATAACAATGAATATCGAATTATGATTTAAGTTTAACTTACAGTAACTTAACGCAGTGGTAGACGCACGCTTTGAAGATGTAGACGTTGATCGATGTCTTCTTTCGATGGAATAACTGTTTGGAAAAATATTTTTCATTATACAATACACATAGAATACATAATATGCACAGTAAATAAATCACAGTAAATAAGAAAATAAATATCGAAGCCAATGGTTCTCGAACATCTGTAACATACAAGGGATTAGTAACAAGAGAGGGGACACAACAATATGCACAGTAAATAGATTAATAATATGCACAGTAAATAAATTAATAATATGCACAGTAAATAAATTGATGGTTGTCGAATGCCTGCAACAAACAATGGGTTAGTAACAAGAGAAAGGACGAGTATGAGACGCGCGCCCACCCTCCGCGACGGCTCACGAGAAAGTGAGGAAGCTAACGCCGTTATGTATTGGGCGTACGCAGGTTTGTTCGTGTTGAATTGTTTTTGCCGGCTTGAACGACCTTCCTCCTTGAACGACCCAAACACCAGATGGTACGGCTAGGTACAGCCTTGGTAGACAGCGTACACGGCTAGGTCAATAAACTGTGTGACGCAACGGCGTGTTGGACCGACAGAGAGCACCGATACCGCGGCACGCTTTACCGTACTCTCTCGCTCGCACACCTCCCCCCATAGACCTCCGAAATTCCTCGGCACCTGTCAACACCGACGGAGAGCACCGATACCGCGGCTCGCTCTACCGCTCTCGCTCTCTCCCGTTCGCCCGCTCCGACCATCTTCGGCATTGTTCGGTACGCGTCGACACAGACGGAGAGCACTGATACCGGCGGCTCGCTCTCCCGCTCTCGTTTATTTATGATATTCATATTCCCCAAATAAATATCATTTTTAACTAATTTGTTTAAACGACATGTTCCTTTTAAAGATTTAACTCTCCAGTATAAATTCCTAAGACCGTTATTTATTATTCATTTCATATCGTTAAGTATTCGTCAACGAGTTTGTTAAGTGTTACATTCGGCTTTTAAACTGGAGTCGTGCACACATTTTTTCCCGCCAACTCGATTAGGCGGGAACCTACGCTCTGACCTGACCAATCAGGTACTCGCAATCACCCGAAGATAGCCGAATGAACTGCTCGAGACCGGCCGAGTGTAACCGAAGTGTCATTCGTCTCGGAGAAGTGACGCACTAAGACGTAGAAGCCGTTTGCTCGTGCTAAAGTGAATGTTTGATATTTATTTTTCATCTTTATTCATATATATTGATTACTAGTACCTTCATTAGCTCTCTATCGTTACTGTCCTTCAATATTTATTTAATATAGACTAAATAATCCCAAATTAATTCGATTACTTTTCGGTTTCACTGTGTACCAATTAATATAATGTTTACGTATTTCTGACTCAATTTGTAATCTTTGCGACACACCATGAGTTCAATAATTGTTCATTTCTAACGTAACTATTCTTAACGTTGTGTATTTAGTTAAAATACATGTATATTTTCTGTTTCAGAGTTTCGGCTTGGAAGTATGCACTACCGTCCTGAGTATCGTTGAGTCCCTTCAAACGGAATTCGGCGGGAAATTGGTGAACTCTGGTAAGTTATTATAACATTTATTATAACATTCATTATAACAAAAAAGTGACACTTCATTATATATTTTTATATTGTTTTTGACCGTAAGTAAAATAGTCGCGATCTTGTGGTTTGTTTTAAGATCACATGAGAATTTTTTCAATTCATTTATTTAATTGAAGCATTCAAAATGGCTTCCTTGAATGTTAAAAAATTTAAATGACAATACTTCGAGACATTGAAATTGGATATAAATTTTTTCGGATAGAAATTTGATTAATACAAGCTGTATAGTTTATCATGCTTTGTATCAAAGTATGCGTAACTAATGCAATTTTGGTACTTGTAAGGATTTTCTGAATATGTACAAAAGCAGGATGTGGATAAAATAAAAAGCAAACATGCTTACAGCATAGTTATGTATTATGCTACAACATAATACATAAACATCATAAACTAAATAATGAGCATGTAACATTTATCAGTAATAATAATATTGAGTATAACAAATTTGTCTTGTCTTTTTGTTTTTAGTCAAACACTTAAACGGACATCCTACTGTGAAGTTCCACCAGCAATGACTATAGACCCTTCTATCATCGGGTGAGTCTTTGCATACCTTTTTTATTCCTCCAATGCCTAATCATGTCATAGGACAATTAGTCCAACATGGCACGGGCAACTGGTTGTATATATGCTAAATTTGGCTAGTACAGTGAACATGGGTATGCTATCATACCTTCGAGTAGTAATATTGATCAATTGTATTTCTTAGCTAGGGTAGGGTCTTCTTATACATAGCATTTTCTAGTACTGATACAATTAATAAACATTTTATAATTGGATAAAGCAATATTAATACTCTTAATACTCAATATGTATTCTTCAGTGCATTGTATACATGAATCTCTGTAGGCTAGAATATATTGAATACATATATGATGAATGAAATGTTAGTGGAGGAATGTGACAACCTCAGACTTCCTCTTTGTACAAACCAATATAATCACACAATGATAATATAAAATGGTATCCAATGAGAATATCATTGAATAGCTTGATCTAATTTCATATTTTGCATGATTGAAAAATTTGATACTTTGCATTAAAAGAAAGTGTTCCATACACACATTATATTAGAGATCATGTATAAGAAGACATTTTGTTAATACAAAGTTGAGTGATGGTTGTTGCAAACGAAGTGAGAACCAATGAGAACATATTAGACCGTTAGAAGAGCAGAAACTAATAATTGTTTTAGTCAGGATTTTCAGGATAATTATTCCGTGTTCGTTGTTCAAACCCTTTCACGTGCCCAGGTGCTACTTGATTGGGCGAGAGCAGCGGGCAACGATTATTTAATTTCATATATAATAACAATAACATGTATATGCGACTGGTAATGCGTTAATTTACCGTGCACGACGTATTTTCCACTTGTGTGTGTGGTTGTTAGGCAGTGGAATTGCGTCGGTTAGATTTCTATCAATTAACATTTCATGTGTAGTTGTTCCTTGGAACAATTTCTGACAACTCCGATATTCGTCGTACATATACCTTTGCTTTATATAATGCTTATAATAAAATTTCGGATATTTTTATTCCCGTGAAATCATATAGATACACTCAATATGAATGGAATATATAACACTTCATTTGTGCTAATAATACTCAGAATTCGTTTTATCGGTAACGTCGGGTATTGACACTAAAGTGGTAAGGGGGCTTCTGACGTTCTCGAAGCATGGGACAGATAATTACATTGCATGTTAGGTCTATTCTTATATCTCGTCTGTGGTGATACCAAGTCCCATAAGATGTTAGGTCTATTCTATATCTCGTCTGATTCTGCACCGCAGGTACATTTACCTGCGAACAGCGTTGGACGATTGTTCGAAAGATTGCGCCACTGCTTTGCGCCGAGATCTTTAAGAACAGAGATACAAATTATGAATAACGCCAGGGATTCCTCCGTTTCCACTAAATACATAAACACCAAGGTGTATTATATACTTTGTACCATGTTGTACAATTTGGTCGAATATTTCTTGTATGATACATTTCGCAATAACTTTAACAGCTACTCTAAATATATTAGATGGACTGAATTAATTCCAACTCATACCTTCGATTTACCGATAGGATAAATACACTAAACAAAAATGCAAACCGCTCCATTTTTATTTTCAATACGAAATTTATTTCAAACTGGTACACCACTAGGTTCTCCGAAGTAACTTCAAATACCACGCAAAGAAGTGTCGTTGGGCTCCAAATGGCTGGCACTATTACGCACATCCTTCTTCGTGTTTAGAGGAGAGACTTTTCCTACGGAAGCTTTCCATTCGTCCGCGTAAACCGGCATGCCTGCGTTCAACGCGTAATTATTTGCAATATAGTTCGCAGAAGCAACACGATTGACGCTGTTCGCGTGGTCACCAGCTAGACTTGAATTGGTATTATACTCCTGAGAAGCTGCATTCTGATATGGATCGTTATCGATGACGTAGCTATTAGACCCTGAATGAAGTAGAGGCTCCATAATGGGATTTTTTCCCACGATCCTACTATTATTATTCAAATATCTCTGCTCGTTATAGTGACTGGAGTTTAAAATCGTGGAGGTTAAACTGGAATTCATTGAAGGACTATTCCTATAGTTACGATTGTCAATTGTATTGGCAGACTTTTCTATTACGAGGGACGAGTTTGTTGGGTTGTTGACAGTACGATTGTTACTGTCATATTTCGAAGTTATGAATCGTCTACCAAAGCTGCGACCCCAGCCACCTCCATAACCGCCGCCACCACCTCCACCACCTCCACCACCTCCACCGTAACCACCTCCCCCTGATGGAGGGCCGTAACTGTTCGAAGGTGGCGCACCATAACTGTCTGATGGGCCACAACAGCCTCCACCTCCTCCACCTCCACCACCCCCACCACCTCCACCGGATTTTGTGAGCAGAACGATCTCTTTGTATTGACCTGTGGACGTTGAAGGAATAATTACTCATTTCATAAATTTACCTTGAAGCGATCTAAATTAATTTGTGATTCTAAATATTACCTCCACCTCCACCACCACCACCATGCTGGCCTCCTCCACCCTTCACGAACTTGTGCATCAACATGGCCATGGAGATCATGAGAGACATGCCCGACATCATCATACCCTTCACCGATGCTATACCTGTAAAGTCAATCCATAAGTGAGCTTGTTTATGGGTAAAAATTCTTTGAATGAATATACACCCAAATCTGTTTTTGATAAAATTGGTGCAGAAAAATATACTGTATCTATTGAAAAATAGAAGATTGGTTCCAGACCTAAAAAGTCAGTATAAATAATACAATAAACCATATGAAAATTCATGTTAAAATCTTGTCACTTCTACGTGCTTGCACTCTTTACTTCGTCGTCTTTTTGCTCCATTGTATTTAATGACTTCAAATCACGTTGGAACTTCCCATTTCTTTCCTCATTAGGATCATCTTTGAACAACGATTACCCAATGTACTGACCACTTCAAGATCTTTCATTAAAAATTGTTTCTTATAAATCGATCGTGTTAACTCAAAGCAGATCGTGTGAAAAGAGAATGAAAATTTTTGTAGGAATAGAACTGAGTGTATTATGAAAACGAAGGAGATAGTCTACCTATTATCTTCATTTTGAGCATCATTAATCCGGCCATCATCATCATCTTGCATTTACCGCCTCCACCTTTGCCGCCACCGCCACCTCCTCCTCCGCCTCCGCCCCCTTTCCCTCGTCCTGTGATAAACGTACCATTCTTAGTACGATTATTTAACCTTTATTTATTTAAGTACCTTCCTCTTTGTATACTAACCTTCGGACAGAGCAGTTTCGTCGAACATAAGATCGATCTGATTCTTTTCCCGTCTGCCGTTCCATCGTGGCAACGTGATCCTCAGGGCGAACGTGTCGAAGAAATCATTTATGCCACGCTCGATCCCGTCGTTAGTCTCGTTTCTGCTGTCATCATTTATCACCCGTGTTTTCACCAATTTTATTTCTCGACCCATCAGATATATCTCGTTCAGTTCGCCAATAGACTCCAAGAATCGACCGAAACGTTTCTTCGCGCAGACCAAAGAGAAATCAATGATACAACGGCCTATGTCTTTCGTGGGAAATTCTGGGAAGTTGTCGCTATCATCGGTCGTTGAGGAATCATTTTTCGCAGCTGGCACCACTCTGACGTCCACACGGAAACCGTTCTTTCGGAAGTCGAAGATTTGACGCTCGGAGCTGCCAGAATTAAAATTTGATATATAAAAAGGCTGATTAAGTTAAATACAGTAGACTATTGGAAAATAAAATTTTCAATTCACTGAGGTCACTATTTTTCACGTAATATAATCGTGAATGTAATAGTGTAGCGAATAGACTCTTGGTGATTTCAACACATGGTAAGCAATATCTACTCTGGAGAAATATCAATGCGTGGTAATATAAGCTTCGATTTAGAGACATCAATGCTTGGTAAGATTTGCTGAGGCAAGATATTTATGGAGATTTCAGTGTGTGGCGTGACAAGTATTTTTTTTCGATAATATACAATATTGTAACTCCGAAATATCCGACAGAGGAACATGTTTACAAAATGGGTACATGAATCAAAATGAGAATTAATCCGAAACAGGTGCACAGTACTGTTGTTTGGGGCTGGTTCCGATGAATTTGTAAGGGTCCACGTCCTTGTGATCCTCGACGACCGCGGTTTTGTCGTTCCCATGGCTCCGAACGACGCTCAGAAGCAATACAAACACGACGAACATTAGTTCACGCACCGTTTCCGACCGATCCCCGAAATTAATACCGATTCGTTGATCACTAACGACGAGAGAGAAAGATCGAGCCTCGTGTCTAGGAAGTACAAATGACTGATCTCCATCGACACGGAATCGTTTATATACAATGGGATTTATGTCATTCGTAGGATTTCTTCATCGTCTCGTCACGATTGTCATTTCGTTGCGATCCAGGGAAATATCGTAATAACAAGTTTGGGCTTACTGTGGTCGGCGTACCGCGGGAAATGAACAGGATTCAGCGTTTCGAGATATCAGGGACAAGTTGTTAACCCTGGAATCATTATATTTCTTACATTACAGTACGATATAGAATAAGTTTTTATTGCAACAAATAAATAGAATTCGATAAGTATATAATTAAAAATTGTATTTATTGTTAAAACATAAATATTATAATGAATAGGGTAAACCAACCATTGAATGACCGAATTGTCGAATGTATTTATTTAGTAACAACAATATAGCTGTTGAAATTGCAATTAGATATTTGTATATAAATAATTACTTATTCTTACCGTAATTTCCAACAAATTATTTATAAAGTTCAAAACATGTTTTCAACTTTAATATTTTTAATAAGAAGAATGCATCTTCCTGCATGTCTATTTTTGATTTTGTTTCTATGAACTTTTACGAAGAAGCGATAATAGGGTTTCGTAATTAAGGTTACAAAGTGACCATACAATTTTCGGCAGACTATAATGTAGATTAGTTTCGGGTAGATATTTGGGCCCCTTACCCTCCAACTATTATTGCCTTGATAGATAATTCTAGACGTCCCTCTAAGACGACGACCATTAGTACATCTAGGATCGACTGTCTGAAAGAAAGTCTAACACACGACGCCGTGAAGGGGACGACCTTGTTTCGTATCACTCTAATTGAGTGATACATTCAACCAGCAATTATTACCGCCACATGCAATTTCCATGTCAGAAAACCGAAGCAGAGATGTAGCCTTTACATTATACGCTATCCCCGTTCCTCCGCTCGAGAAACTTCCGAATCGATGGAAAACGACGTCTCCGTACGAACATCAGAACCAACAATTTTCACCATTGTGCCCTCATTTTCCCCTGGAAATAAACCGAAACGAACTGCAGGTTTCGCATCGGTGGCCTAATCCTCTGAAATTTCGCGTAGCTCCTCTCGAAGTAGTTCTTATCATCGACGGGCAACAGACCAAGGCTCTCACGGAGGATTTTGAAAAACGTCCTTTATTAAAACTTTACAACGTATTAAATATATAAATAACAGGGCGGAAATCATGTACATGAAACTCGAAGATAACGACCGTCCGGGGCAAGGGGCCACGGGGATTGTTCGCAATAAATACCTACGAATCTATGGGGATAACTGTTAACCGGTGATGAAACGCAGGGCGATGAAATGAGACCAGGCGAGGGTGGGGTGATGTGGGGGAGGGAGGAGGTTGGTTTAACGGATAAGAAGGAGCTAGCGAGAAGAAAGCGAGACGATAGGCGTCGAAAGGAACGGACTCGGGGAAGTATAGTGGAGGGACGGTGTGGATGGTGGCTGAATCGTGACGATTCCGTGAGGTGTTCGACAGAAGAAAGACAGAGGAAACGAAGGTGATCACGGTGAGGTAGAGACGTGCTGCTACTGGATCTCTATCGCGTGCCGTCAGCTGTGTTTCCCTGGCGGCTCCCCCGATGATAATGATGGAATGATAACAACGACGGGGGAGGAAATTTAATTCATCCGGATCGATCGACGGTCCCGCGCGTTTCCGTACTTCATGATACCCTGATGAATGGTGTCCTCTACGGCGTCCAACGATCTACCGTATCCAGAATGACCGTAACCGTGGCCATGGTGCTCCTCGGCGCTGTGGGTGTGGGAGCTTGAGTACACCGGTTTGCTGACAATCTCGTAGGTGGTCTTCTTCTCGCCGCCGCCAGCCAGGGACTTGAGACCGATGATGGCTGACAGCATGAGAGCCATCAGACCGGTCATCAGGGCTTTACCGGCGAGTAGAGCGAGGGCACCGAAGCCCACCGCGCCCAAAGTACCTTTCATCATCATCAGACCTGCCATAAGACCTCCGTAGCCACCCTTGTCCTTCTTACGTCCTGAATATCAAATAGAATGTTATTAATACGAACAATTGAATCCACGAATATTGAGAATTCTATGACAAAGCTCACCGGTTCCAACGTTCTGTCCACCACCCAGACCAAGCTGAGCCAGTGTCTCCTCGTTGAAGCTCCTAGCAGCCTCGAAAGTCCTAGGGTCGAACAGTTTGATAGAGATAGAGTGGCTGTTCAGATAGGACCCGACTTTGTGCACCAGGTAAGCGTCGAGCCTCTTCTCGACGTCATTCGGGAAATCTCTGGCCAGATTAGCTACCACTTCAGAAGCCGGCATGTTCGCCGAGCCGTTCTCCTTGATCACGGACACCCCAGGGAGAATGCTGATGTCCTCCTGCTCGGAGAGCCTGTCCAGAAACGAGACGACGTCCAGCTTCAGGCAGGTGGCACTGTAAGACTTGCCACAGTCCTTGCTGAGGGTCGAGGCCAGGCTCTCCGGCGACTCCTCGACCATCTGCTTCGAGGTGCGTCTCTCGATTTCGCAGCTGGCGTATCCGACCAGCAATAGAATCAGAATAGGGTATGCCTGACGCGTAGTAAACAGGACCGTGAATCCCTTCATGGTGAACTGGTGTCTGACAAAGATCACTTCGATCCTAAAGATACTCCTGGCCAGTGATCCTGTTCTGGGTGGTCCAAGCGGCGGCTTAACGTCGCGGAAACGTGACCTGCCTGATGCGTGTAAAGCGATGCCAAGGACTGTGTTCCTCGAAGCTGACGGACGGGACGCGTACCGTGCACTGGACATACCCTCGGATAGTTGCAGTATATATAGAGCGAGTCACCGGGTAGTCCTTTTTCCTTTTTGCCTTTCGGCCGTTCCATACATTCTCCGTAGTCGAGAGCACCGGGCAACGTGCTCTCTTCTTTGCGGACGTCGGAAGAGGAGGCGAGGGGCCCTCTCGCGCGGCCTGCCACCGCCGCCGACACGGTGAGCACGCGGCGAGAGGGAGCGTCAAATAGAGCGGAGAATTCGAATCTCTGTCGAATTTGTTGAGCAGGAAAGGCAAAAGAATAAGGAATACCAGGGGGGGGGGGTTATCGACGGTCTAATGAGAGCGAAGCCGTCGCACCTGCCCCTGCCCAGGACACAATACAACGGTGTGTCGACAGGAGGGTCCCAGGCGAATTCGCCACGCGACACACCGCGGGGGACGTAACTTTCTTCCACGACGATTTCCGTTTGCTCCAGAAACGAATCGATCGAACAGGCGCTCGTGAAACGAACGCTCGAATACGTTCACTGCTGCGTTTGTATTGTTTGCGAAACGGGGCTGGGTTCGTTTTGTTCTTCGATTTCGGGAGAATCGGGGTGGAGCACGGAGTATTAAAGGAAATGGAACCAAAGTAACGTGGATGTTTGCTTCTTTTGGGAATTAATGTTATGATTGGTGGAAAGTAGTGAATTACTGGTGGTAGATCGAATATTGGGTTTGTTGGTGCAGTTGCGTTGAATTGTGCAGGATTTAAACGGATTATTAAAATTAAATATGCGGTGAGTTAGTGTAAATTATTAACACTGTAATTATTACCACAGTACCGTGGATGTTTGCTTCTTTTGGGAATTAATGTTATGATTGGTGGAAAGTAGTGAATTACTGGTGGTAGATCGAATATTGGGTTTGTTGGTGCAGTTGCGTTGAATTGTGCAGGGTACAATCGGATTATTAATTGTGCTGAATTTCGATTTCGGTCATGGTTTGGCACAGTGATTGAGTTTGGAATTCTGAAGCCAATGGTATCTGTTTCAGCTGCATATGACCATTACTTTATGAAATATTCAATGTTTACAGCCTTCGAACACTCATCGAGGATTGACTGTACACTGCAAAGAGGTTGAAACATTTAAATACCGTTGAAAATTTTCCATAAAATTAGTATCGCGGTATAATTCAAGATAATTCAAACAGACTAAAAACAAAATAAATTCTGTCTGACTACGCACGGCCTTTTTCACTGTGGTAATCAAAGTGTCAATACTTTCAAGAAATCTGTAAGATTGCCAGAGTCTCATGAAGTATAACCTGTACTTCTATCGTTGAAATAAAATAGATCATCTTCTAGAACTCTTACCCCTCAAAGATCTACGATAATCTAACCAATCTATAAATTGATTTTCATTTAAACGCTCACTTCCGACCAATTCAATACAATGTAATAAAAATGTTCGAAGCAAAAACTACTAAGTTACATTATCACGAACGATGTCAAACACTCGAGGGATAATCTAGTTGACGAAGGATCGCGTGTCGATCGAATCTACTCATTAATTACGCTCTGCACGTTGTTCTGTACAGTGATTGACCAGTTCCGTGTCTTATCTACTCGCGTCACGATCACACGAGATCTATCATTAATTACAGATTGGCAGGTAAACGAGGAAAAATCATAGAACACTCTACAAGGCTCAGACTTTATAAAGGTGGCAATGTGTCGTTGAAATTCTCATAAATCCCTGATCGATCAATGACGAAGGTCACCGACCCCGCTGCCTGGGGAACCACTTTCGATCTCGACGACGAAATCGAGACGGACTCCTGGGACCGACAGACCACCACGAAATCTGGAATCGTGCAGGAAAAATTGTGCGAGGTTTCACGTAGACGACGACGACGGGTGGAAGACGCATTATTTCCCTCGGCTGAGCGAAACGAGACTGCGCAGGCCTACTTTAAATTAGCCCAGTTAGCTCCGGGGGAGATCGGATTTTCGCGCGCCACGCTCGAACGACGGTGCCTCAGACGGATCTGACGGCGAGAAAGTGCGCTCGGCCAATTTTCACGAACGCCTCGATGAACGTCTAACCAGGCACCTAACGTCTGGATCACGCCTTGAAAATCGCGTGACTGGTTGCGGTTTCAGTCGACTCGCCAGCGTCTCTTTCTCGATCAATCTCTGGTTCGAAATTAAATTAACCCTTCGGGGTGGAGCCTGGTGAAGTTAAAGAACGAATTTTTGGGAATTTATTGTGGAGAAAGTATTAAATCGATCTCTTTGAAAAATTGAGGATACTTTACTGTATAATTAAACGGAATACAAAAACGTTCACTGCCAATTACAAGACAACTCGTGGTTCAAACATTGAACAGAGGCTGGATTATTTAAATGCCATTAGAAATTTTTTGCGTGAAATTAATATCGCAATATAATTTAAAACAGGACAGACTGTCTTTATTAACTGCACGCATATATTTTCAACGAGTTAAGACTTTAAAATCGAAATGAAGCATGTCTGACTACGTACGGCCTTTTTCACTGTGGCAGTCATCGTGTTAATGTCTGTGGTTAATGGTTAAAATTTTTTCAATCCAATACAAAAGATAGTTGCGCTGGTTCGAGCCAAGAATCCCAAACGATAAAAAATATTTTGTGTTTTAAATACAACTATCACCTAAGCCACTGATATTTCATTATTTGCACATTTTCAGTAGCGATCCTCAATGGTAACATCGAAGAAGACAAATGTATACAGTAAAGAAGATGTTATAAATTATGATAAATACAAAATTACATGGTCGACGAATGTTGAACAGAGATTCAGATCTCGGTCCAGTAACGATTAGTTGCATTATACAAAATTATTCTTCACTTCGACCGTTTTGTTTCCTCACCTTCGTATCGCCGTGCTCGTTTATTCGGTTGTGTACTGCCGGAATTCCAGGCTACGCATTCCCCGTTCGAATTCCATTTAATTCAACTCGGTTAGCCAGCGCGCGTATGTTCGAGGAATCATAAATTCATCGACGTGCACCGCGCTTGAGGCCGTCAGGTATTTCGTACAGGCCCAGACCGATGCGCTCGCGTGCTCGGTCAGCAGGTGTGTCGGAAAAGAGCGGATTAGCCTTCTTCTACGAGAGTATCTATTTCGCGACTTGTTACTTCCTTTTACCGCAACGCCTTCCTTTCGTTAATAATCGTACGCTCTCCAACCGAGCTGCTCCTGTTTCGCGAAACGATCCAGCCCAAGAGTCGGCCAGTCGCTCGATGGAACACGTATAGAGGAACGTGGAGACCGTTCACCGTCAAATTTCCGTCCTAGGCTCACATTTCAAAATACAGGATGAGTAAATAAAAACTACTATGAAAAATTACTCATTGGCTATTAGTTGTATCAAAAAATGTTTCAATGAATTATATAGCATTTTAAGAGACGCATGGGATGGATGAAAGTTCATTTCATTATATCTTATTTTCTTTTTTAGATATCAAGGTGACCTTGAATTTTTTCAAGGTCAATATATCTTTTGTTTAATGCAATGTTGAATGAAAAGATTATTTCGGTAGTCCACAAGGTTTCTTCAAAATCTCAAGTCACTTGTTTCGATGAAATTCCTACCAATAGTAAAATGACGAGTTTTTCCGGGTGTCTCGATCGATCGGCTGCGAATCGTGCCGCGACTGAAGCGTGAATGGGTGTGTGCTCTTCTTGTTCCCATGTAACTGTTCCACGTATATACTGTTACCACCCTTCATCTATATTCGATACGTAACTCGACCGATCGTCGCCCTCGTCGATCCCCTTGAATGACCTAGCTGTGAAAAACGTCACTGACTGTCGACGTCGCACGGCCACTCGACTTTCCAAGGCTGCGAAAGCGAAAATCGAAGCGTTTCGGAGCGGACTTCATGGCCGATTTGCAATCTCTCGTAAGCGTCCTTAATTCGATCGCGGCCCGTTTTCACCGACGACCATCAACGGGGATGATATAACAAGAATGATCCTCGCCGGCTGTCGATCGGTGATTCGTGGGAACGACTGATCGAAACTTAAGGGGTCTCAAGACGTGTGATTTTGTTAAATTATTTCAGGAATTCTTTTTTAAGAACTTGATGAAAGATTTTCAGGCTGAACGTTTCTTGCGTGTATATTTATGATGTCTTAAACTATAAATAAAAATGTTGTTAGGTTGGGAATATGATCTACAGGTCGCGCTGCAGCCCATGAAAGACGACCACCTTGAAAAAAATTGCTCGATTTGTCGCCATGATTCTGGTCGTTCCGTTCATTTAAAATTAAAACAAAACTATAAGATTCTTTAATTATTCGGGCATGGCTATAGCAAATACCTGATACGGATTGAAATATTCAAGATTTTAATAATGGCAGCAATTTGAAAATTAAGTATCAACTTTTTCCAATTTTTTTGTTCGTCCTTTTTGGACTGTAAAATTACAAAAGAAATATACTTTGATTAATTCTGGTAGGGACGACAGCGACACATCTCTTGAAGATGGGTGCTCAAGACATCGTAGCAAATATTTTCCAAAACACAATTTTGAGAGAAACATGTTTAAAGTTTGCTGTGTGAATTCTTCTATAGGTTTAACAATTTCATAAATTTCGCCTTAAGATTCCAGATCCATCGTTTCAAGGCTCCAAGCAAGAAGAAAATGCCAGAAAAAGCAAATCGATTTTTTTCACCAGCTACAGTAGAAAACCACCTTAATCGTCGTCTTAAACCGGGTTAACGCGGCGCCGTGCTTTCGACTTCGTGGACACCACACGACGCATCATCGGAGAAACGTGCAGGATCGACGGAAACGATCCAGGGATCGATCCATTCAGCGGCGGTCTACGATTTTACGCGACTGTCTCTGTCTGCGCCCGCAATCAGGCCAGCCCGCGTTCCTGGGCTGGTTTCGTCGTTTTGCGTCGATTTTTGCTCCCGATCGCTTGCGGATCCGATCGAGCCCGTCATATCTACCCACGTATTACACATTCGAAACGGTGAACGTAATTGTACGGTGCTAAGCATTAGACCAGATCGCGATGATGTCCCTGGCGTCGGACCGCTTCGCGTTCACCCCATTTTTAAGCCGATAATTGACGCGTCCGCGTGAAAGTTACGTTTATCCCGACAATTCAGACGGCTTCCCCGGAACGTGGAGAGGTACCTCGTTGAAAATCGATCATTTTCCTGGCGTTACAATGTGGTGGAAGTATGTTTGATTCGGTGAATTGTGTCGCGAGGGAGTTCGGGAGGGATGTGTCTGACCATGATGGCTGATTCTACTGGGGAAGTAAGAGTACCTTAATGGGTTAGGTTTTTAGGCAGCCATTTTGTTCTGTTGATGGATATATAGTTCAATTTTTCAGGAATTACTAAGGAAATCACATAGAATAAGATGTATATGTTGAATTTTTAATTAACAATTATTTTGCATATATATTTTTATTAATTCTTAACATCAACTTAAAACCTTAATACATTTGGTTTTAAACAGTTTTTAATTCTCTATCCAAATATATGCTAAATACGTATGAAAGTTGATGTTAAAAATAATGAAAATAAAACAAATCAGACAAACAGGTGACTTTTTTCTCCGCCACTGTAATAACCGAATGTTATGTTCGAATGGGGCTTGAATACCAAAGCAATTTACAAGTCTAATCGTTACGCATTCTTCCCCACCTTTTTGTTCTCTATTATGGTGAAAATCGTATCATCTTTAATAAAGTTTCTGAAATCAGGCCTGGGGAAAGGTGTTCGCATGCTACCGTACGAATTCTCGAATATCGAGGCGTTCATGCTCGCCTGCGTACAGCCAGTTCGCGCGTCTGATATTTCCGCGACGCATCGTTCGATGCAAATATGCATTCGCAGTTTCATCGAGTCCGTGGTGGTCCGGTGAAACGAGAAAAAGAATCAGGGTGGCGACCAATCCCGGTTAGTGGCCGAGTGGCTGCGTAGACCTCGTTAATTCGAGAACGAGCATCCGTTATGCGCTGAAAATCCATCCATGGGCGTTCATATTCCTTTCCTGGACGGTCGTATCGACGGTCGAATGCCCAGAATTCCTTTCCCATACCATTCTAGGAACAAAGGGCCATCAACGATGATTGTTCACTCTGGTTCGAAAGAGTTTAACAAAACAACGAACTTAGTCCTCGTCACATGGACGTTGAATCATCGTTGAAAGGGACCGCTGATTTCCGCGGAAGCACCTTCGAAGAGGTGCCAATTTCGTTGAGAATCTACAGTCCCTTTCGATTGATACAATTTTCAGATTAAAGCAAATTTTGCCGTCAGTAGCTAATATGGGGTTCTAAATACAGAATTAAATAATAATTGTGGTAATAATAAGATTCTTCGATATACACTAGTCTATGGGTCCCTGAAATTCTCTATAGAAAGAAGACAGGCTAGAAATCTACTTCTCAAGCTGACTAGGGCTTCCTAGAGGACCCCCTTCCTATTTAATTCTATGAATACAAATTCTATATTAGAATTTAAAAGTCATTCAGAATGTCTACCAGTAACATAACATAATTGAAAATAGTAAGGAAATCAAGAAAGAAAGAATGAAACAAGATTCAGGTAGATCCTATTAAAATTTCTGAAGAAAATATTTTGTAAAACTCTGAATATTTTCTAAAGTTTATAGAACCCTAAAAGAAACCTCGATCGTCGAGGACCATCATACATCAGACTGAGCGCGAATTGACCGTTCCTCCAGCGATGCGCTGCGGCCTTTGACGGTGCTGTCCTCTCGATCGGCTTGTATATATTCGAGAGTTCTTCCCCCTCTATCTGAGAATGTCCCTCTACATGGTCACAACCGATCCCGTTACTCGATCTCCCCACCTAGAGAGGCCAGTGATCGTGAGTAGAGAGTCGGCGGAATAGTGGGGGTCCACGTGGAGGCAATGACACACTAACCTTGATCGTGAGGATCCACCTTGGCGGGAGAGGGAAACAGGACCGACCAATCGGAGTCACGGTCAACGTTCCTACCTTTCCCGTCACAGTGACCCCGTTTCCTTCCTCTTCCTATTCCCCACCATCGCCATACCAGGTTTCTCGGCTCTCCCCACCAGCGGCTGCATTCTCTCCCGCCAGGAGTTACCTTCTATTTGGGTCGCTAACCTTCTCCTCCGGCCCCTTCGAGTAACCTGCTTACCGCGCCATTATAGATTTCCAATTATTTGCTTAACGATTTTTCGGCGATCACGAAAGGGACACGTGACAGGGAACATTTGGCGATTTTGATGGACGCACCTTACGTCGGCGAGGATTTGGGAGGACTGGAAAATTAGAGGATCTTAGGGCAGGCGCGTGGAGTACCGAGAACTGAGGGATTCATTTGGACTCCCTTGGATAGTGTAAATAGATGTTAACAGTCCTCTTGAATCCCTTTGAAAGAAGTCCTGTTTGAGATGGTGAAATTGAGGAGGGTCTTTGAGGCTGTTAGGCTCAGAAGATATGATGATGTGGGACCAAATAGAATCTTCTAGTTAGTAGCTTCTACAACAGATTAGATTCCCCTAAATCTTCCACTATTGGATAAGCCAAAACGTCGATAGACTCATAAAAAGAGACATCAGCTGCCGAATTAAACTACTGTTCGTAAAAAAGTAAGCACGACGTCTTTATTCAGCACAGGAGAGACAATAAATAGAATGAGGGTATGAGGGGTGACGAATGGCGATGAATCTACAATGGCGCGTCCTGGTAAGGGTACTGTTCAGGGTTGAACTCCGGCGCCCAACCCCTGTACGGTTGGTTGACCTCTTCCTGCGACCTGTGCCAATGCTCGTGATGAACATCAGGCTTCACGATCCCATAAGTAACTCTGGCAGGATACGGCGGAGGAGGTGTCAGCAGTGACTTCAAGGCTACAGCTCCCGATAGAAGCAAGGACATCAAGCCTGCGCCGAGTCCCTTGATTCCGATCAATCCAATCAGAGTGATGACGATGGGCAGGACGATGATGGCCTTCAGTTTGAGGGCCAACAGAAGCGGCAGGATGATCTTCTTCAGCTTGGTTCGGGCTGCAACGAAAGGGAAACCTTTTAACTCGAAAATCTAACACTTCCAGCGGAACATCATCATCATCCCTGCGATGATTCACAAAACGTTGCGACGAATCGTTCACAGCTTCCTTCATGCCACCTATTAATATCATTATGTCCCTGACTTCTGTCGATGTGTGTTGTCCGCGAACACGAAGCTTTCAATGGATTAATTGTAAGTGAAATTCGTCACGGTGCATTGGTTTCGGTGGCTGGGAGGATTTTCTAGGAGCCGCTAATGGCCGTCCAGCCGCCGCGTCTACTTTCATCGACATGTGGCACTCTCGTTCAAGGTCCTTGTTCGGCGTGTTCTCGCGTCGCGCGTCCCAGAAACCCGGAATCCCGTCGACGGCCCACTTTATCCCGATCCGTTCCCCACCTCTAGTCGCAACCAAACGACGTTTTCGCGGATACGGAGGAAGTGGCACGCGTCTCCAGCGGCTTTCTACGCCCGGGACATAACATGTCCTCCCCCCCCCCCTCAACGCCGTCTGGCTCGCAGCTCGAAAACGCGCGGATAATTCGCGCGAACCGTCGTCCCGATTCGCGGAGGGACGACGAAAAAATCCGGAGGTAATTTAGACGGCTGCGAAAAGAGGCCGGAGGAAGAGGGACGGGAGACAGTTCGCTAGTCAGGCCAATCGGAACACAGACGCACCGGAAGTCCCACTTTCCGGCCAATCGTTCGCTGGCTTCGTGGCTTACTTTTACGTTATTGGAGGGACTTTAGAAAGGCGAGGTACTATAAGTTGCTGCTCGGACCGTGATCCATTCACAGGCTGATCCACGGTCGCAGAACATCGAGAAGATTTTGCGAATCCCCTAAGCTTCTAGGCTTCTAGGGGATTCTGCTGTCCTGTGGGACCTTGCAAACCATGAGTAGAATATTCTTTTTTTCAGTGTTCAGTGCTTTAGAGCATCTAGGGATTAGATGATTGACTATTCTAACGGTCTTCGGGTCGTTAGTGACCCAGTAGCTTCTTTTAGTTTGAACCTTGCTATGATCCTGGCTTTTCTGTTCGATATGGCTGTCTTTTCCGGCCATTTTGAAAGAATAGGAGGAAGAGTTTTACTGGTATGTGTGTTTCTTGTATGTCGGCAGGTGTGTTAACAGTAGAACTACCAACGATAAACGCATATCTTTTTCGATCGATCGATAAATATGGCAAACTTTATGTCTTAAATAGGTACAGATCGTTTTTAAATTATTTTTCTTCTGAGAATGTTCCTCCTTTTGTTTCTACATTCATGAAATGCTTCGAAGCAATTTTTATCTTCCCAATGATCGTGTCTGAACCTTTTCCCCTATAGCACAACGACTCAACGTACAAAGTTATGAGTAGACTGCGGATTTTTATGCAAAATAAAATTTCATAAAATCATTCGTCAAGATAAGAACAAAAGTAGGAATTTCTATCTTCGCATAAGTATGTTATTGAGTTAACAATAAAATAGAAAGGTCGTTGCAATTGATGAAAAATTTGTTTTTTATTGTATTTCACACAGCTCTGGAGTCTATGAATGCATAAAATCCGCAGTCTACTTATAATAAAGATACCAAGATTAATATGAAAAACGTCCTCGTAAGGAACCTCACCTTCCGAAGCTCCTTCAGTGAGTCCCCTAAGCTCGACCCCGACGTCCTTCTGTCCCAGAGCGCGTCCAAACATATCAGCCGGTGATCCATCGTTGGGGAAGTGGATCTGGAACCTGCGAGTCCTCAGGAATTTCTCAATTCCGCAGACCAAAGTGTCTTCGCTGGCTCTGTCAATGGCGACGTCCTGGTCGACGTCCACTTTCTCGAGCGTGAACATGTCACCGTAGATCTTGATGGTATCCCTTCGGTTCAGGTCGTCCATCGCCCTGGTCAGCCTGGTCTCCATGTTGGCCACGGTCGCCTCATCCTTAGCCGTCGCGAACACGGCGAACGACAAAACGATCAGCAATTTTCCGTTCATTGTGGTCAATACAGTTCAGTTCAGTTGATATCGCGAGGCTGAAGCGACGATTTTGACTGTTTGCCCCCTGGGGCTATTTTTCTTTTATATGTCGGACCCAGTTCGATGGTGGGGCCAGTTTGAACCATTTGGCAAGCGACGTGCAAGGACCGCGGCGTCGAGAATTTTAATTCGCTCGGTTCACCTGCGACGCGTTGCACGTCGACGTCGGTCTAGTGACGTAGCGTCTGTCGATAGAAACTAATTTTCCTTTTACCCGGGATCACTTTCGAGCGATCATGATACGTCGATTCTTGTATCGGAGCTTGGAGACTGTATCCTTGAAGAGATCATTGATCTTGGAGAACTTTGAGGATGATTTGGAAAGGGGGATTGGTAACTGATTACTTCTTTCTTCGATTAGACGAATCTTTTAGGTTAGACTGTCGTTGGCGAAACGTATTTCCTGGAAGAAATTATAAGTAATAGGTTAGACAAACAATGAAAGAAATTAAAATTAAGTAACTACCTATATTATGGTATTAGACTAATTTACAGGTAGTTATAATTGTCCAGAGAAAATAATGCTGGTATCTAAGAGTTTATCTGTCACGTCTGAAAGTTAATTAGATGTCGAGTACTTTGTAAAGGTCAAAAGGAAACGAGACCACGGGTCACCGATGGAAAGCGATAAAACCGTGACAGGTGACACAAAGCACTACCAAAACACAATGGAGTTCGTGCTTCGTGAAGAAGAAAAGGGTGAAGATCGACGGCTAGTCCTTTGTCGTTTACAATACCAAGTTTCCACAAAGAGAGGCAAAGATATTCAAAGAGAACTTCGACAATGGCGACTATGCTCGCCTGTGTCCCTTCTACATCCGTCATATTCACCAAACGGTGTGTAATTAGTGGAATACTTTATGCACTTATCTGTAAACTGCACTTGTACATGACTCAGATTTCTGTAATGAAAAGTTTAACGAAAGTTCGATTTCATTCTGCCATCATTTCATTTTATTCTTAATCCATGGAAGAAGTATATTTGCATAAACTGCCTCAGTAGGCAATTAATTCTTAACACTAGAATTACCAAGCCAGTTAAAATGTTATAACAATAGATTTTCTCAGATCTTTTGTAACTTTTATTACGACATGACATTAAAGAAATTAGTTAATTTGTAAATTAGGAAATTTTCCAAAGTTTGCCATACCTATCGATCGATCGAAAATGATATGTGTTTATCGTTGGTAGTTCTAGTGTTAAATGAGTTAGATCACTTTGATGTGGTGAAAAAAATATCGTATTTTTTTTTTAAATTATTTCTAGCAATAAGTGACGAAGATAAGTTTTTTCCATTAAAATTTTTAAATACAAATTTTTAAACAAATTTTTCTTTAAAGACAGATATAGCAGTCGAAAGTGTACCATGTCGTGTACGTGATTGCTGATGAGCAGGTCTCAGAAACAAAGCTTGAACAATGGAATATTAAACAACTCTAAGTTGTCCATCGTCCGACGTAGGATTCTTTAGACATTTTAATTTTTAACCCACTTGTGCGTAAATAAACGGTTATTTTCTCGCAAAATGTGAACATTTTATTCGAAAATTCCGTCATTTTACAACATTAGATGTGTTTAATATTCCATTGTTAAAATTTTACTCCACAAAACCTGCTCTTCAGGACTCACTGTCCAATCTTGCACACCACGGTGAACTCCTAACCTCCATAATACTTCTTAAAGAAAAATTTAAAAAATTGTCCTCTATTCTTAAACGTCGCTGTCTTTATTAAAAAATGTCGAACGTATAAAAATATTTTCTGGTCGCTTAGAAATAAATTCGCAAAAATACAGTGTATTTAGGACCTATCGGGATGGTCTGACCGTCTGATCGATGATCCAAACATGTCTATCGATCTGGCTTGCGTAAAACGGGTCCTGGAAGATCCTCGCGAAGGTGATAAATAATTCATAAAATTTATTTTTCCTCTTAACTATCTTATAGGGTTCATACTAAAACAGAGAAAGCATTAGAACCGATGAAACTTCCGTTTCGTATTATATTTCACAGAGCCCTATGATCTACAAATGCATAAAATCCGCAGTCTAGAGATAAGTTTCTGGTGAAAATTAGATTTCCATGCCTGTTCCGCGTGGCACGGAATGGCATGCAGAAGAGAAGCCGTCGTTGTGTCCCGAATCTTTCGGCGTGGCGAGGACAGAGCGAAATGGAACACGATCGTCAGGCGGGCGGGAAGGAGAACGCGAGAGAAAAGAGAGTATACGAGAGAAAGAGGCCTGGCGGGAGTGTGTGTGCAGACGTGGGTATGTCCCCTCGTGTCCGAACGGAATCGCATATGAGGCAGGGCACGGTCGGTCCGCGGCACGCGATGAAGGCGTCGATATATTCCATCGTCGCTCAAAACTAATCACGTACGACGTGTTTTCTATGCACCTTGGTGGCTCGGTGTGGGTCCGGACCGCGCATAAATAATTTCCATTAAATTAGAAATCGTGCCTGCTTTCGAACACGGGGCCAAGCTAGGGGGTATAGACAGTAGGTAGGTGTAAAGGGAGTCGGGATGTTAATTATAAATAATTTAGAGCATCTAGATGATCGAGTAGCTTCTTCTAGTTTGAACCTTGCGAGGTGAAATATGAGGAAGACTTACCTGGTATATGTCTTTCTTGTACGTCAGCAGGTGTGTTAAATGTATGTTTGAGTTTAGTATATAACTGAGGGCCGTGGCAGGGTTAATTACAAATAATTTATTATCATTACAGCAACGAGCTTGTCGAATAATTTAAATGGTTCATACACGGTCAGAGGGTATACAGTTATAACGCAAATACTAGTCTAGCAGTCGTGAGCCTAGAAGCCTGTAGGGGCGCATCGGGCTCGAGAGATATGGCCTATTCGGTCACCGATACAGACGGTGGTTATCGAGATCGTTTCGAGTTAATGTGCTTCGTTGGTGGACGGCGCCTGGGCCGAGTAAGCCATCGCATGAGCGTCCTGTTCAGCCTCGAAGCTTCTCTTGTAGTAGCCCTGCGGTTGAGCTACGGCACCAGCGGACCAACCCTGACTGCCACTGTCCGCCCATCCTGATGCTGGCTGTGCGTTCTTGCTGAAGAAACTCGCTGGGCCCGAACTGCCACCACTGGAGAGCTTCTGGAAGGCCAGGACTCCGGCCAACAGAAGAGCGATCTTGCCGACGAAGAGCGCCTTCGCGACCAGGAGACCGAGACCACCGAGGAGAATAGGGACCAGGGCGAACAGTTTCACTCCGACGACAGCGATCAAGGGCAGGATCATCTTCTTCATCTTTCCGCGACCTGAAAATGTGATGCTAGACGTTAGGAAGTGCCTTCTGGATGGGTCGATGATGTGAAGATGAACGGGAATGATTGAGTATAGGGTAGACAAATCTTTTCTTCCGACTTTTCCTTGTTATCCAAACCCTCGCGCATTATTCGGTTTAATTCGACCCAAACGAAGACTTTCACTTCTAACCAGGGACTTCTACCGAAACGAAAAATACCGGTATTTTACAGGGACATATAGTATAGTTCACGTATACAACAATAATACGATCTGTATGTAGACTTTCATTGTTTGATTTTAGCTCACCATGTGAACCCTTTAATTCAAGTGCATAGTAACGCCTCAATTTAACACGTTGACTGCCAACTACGAGATAACTCGTATTTGAAACATTGCAAAGAAGGCTGGATTATTTAAATACCATTACAATATTTTTCTGTAAAATTAATATCACAGCATAATTTAAAACAAGACAACCTACCTCTATTGACATTTTCAGCTATTTATGACTTAAAAAACGAAATAAAGCGTGTCTGGCTACGTACAGCCTTTTTCACTGTGGCAGTAAACGTGTTAAGGACCAGTGCACGAGAGTCGATCCTCTTGTCAATTTCTCCCAACAGAACTAATCGATTCTCCGAAAAACTGAAATCCCAATAGCTCGAAGCTGGAGTTCAATCGTATGAGCAGGTTCTCCGTGGCTTAGTAAATAGGTCGCCAATGTGTACGTGGAAGTAATTTCCATCCCACGAACGTCGCGGCGTTGCTCGACGAGTGTTCAGGCTCTCGGCAAACATTTCACTTCAAACATTCAACGAAGGATGTTTGCACATCGCCAGCGAATTCCTGAACTACCTGGTGAATGAACGCGTTCAGGACGAGTGTCCTTTCCTACCAAGCAACGGGGCTACGGGTGGTTCCAGGAGGAAAGGGAATCCGTAGGAAACGAGTTTATCCGGAACAGGTTGCCGGCAGGCGCGTACAGAGATATCACGAAGGTGAAAGGCTCCCCCCTGGTTTTATTCGTTCGTTACGGCCACGGTTGTTCGCCGTGACGATGCCCGTCCGGGGGACCGTCTCGCCACGGAATGAGAGGGAAACGTTACGTAATGGGCCGGGGCTATCATAGCGGATAGACGGATGAAAGTTTTACCTTCGCTGAGAGCGCGCGAGATCGAACCGTCCTCGGGCATGCTCAGCTTCAGGCTGTGCGACTTCACGAAGGACATCGCGGACTCGTAGAGCATGGTCGCTAGCTTAATCGCCCGATCAGAGGCGTCTCTAGGCAGCTCGTTCATGATGTCCATCTCGGTCTTCAGGTCTTTACCGCTGCGTTCCACTGGAATGAGTAATGGTGCACACATATTCAGATTCTGTGTCAAGTCTAATGCTCTTTCACCCGATGCGTGACCAAGACATTGGGAGGATGTTGATTTCCCCCTTGAATCGGTCACATTCGTCATTGGGAACACGAATTTTCTAATGGTTTGTCGAGATGAACTACTTGACCGTTTTGGACCAGGTGGGAACGAGGGTTGGGAGAAATTCTGCGGAGTTGCATGGTATCGAGGAGGATATTATAATAGTATAGCGGTATATTTGTTGGGTGTTTGAGCAGTCAAGAGTAAGTTATGATAGACGAACTATTAATAGTCCGAGAAATTACTGGAATTAGACACTGGAAGTGTGCTTTATATTATCTGTGGAATTCGTTGATTTTACATCACTTTTAGAACGGAACGACAGCGTGACATAACTATTAAACCAGTCTAAAATTTTCAATCCTTAAGTATTGCGGTTAAAATAAAAATTAAGCACTTTTTTTCTAGGGTATATAATTTATCCTGTTTTGGAGAAACATTATTTCTCAACGCGATTTCAGACATGGTGTACTTCGTTTTTATTTTAATCCTCCTCAAGTGTCTTATTTCATTTTTAAAACGTGCACTAAAATTTGTATTACCCTGAAGACCATAGTATCTACATGGTTGAACTCGCCTTAATGCCACCTTTCATATGATGTAAAAAAATATATATCATTCCATTTAAAAACATTCAGGTCACCTTTGTTTCTAGAAAAATATTCAAAATACAAAAACTTTAGATACGCTATCATATTACTAGTAAAATATACTACAACTGCCTCCACGTTGGTTTTTTTCTAATGTTTACCGTTTACGAAAAACACGATGGTACAAATTATCGCGAACACCCTGTAAATCCACCAAAATTACATGTCCCAACTCACTTGGCGTATCCCGTACGAATGTCACCCCATCGATGATCTCGATATTGCTGGACCTGGCAGCCCTGTCCAACGTGCTGACAGCCTTCACGAGCATGCAGCTGAACAACGAGTCCTCTTGCTCCAGGCAATCGAGGTCCCTGTTCACCTGCACGACGTTAGAGTCCGGCATCGGCACCGCCATCGCGGACCCGACCAGAAGTCCCAGAATCACTAGCTTGTTCATCTTCTCACGAATTCCTGTATATCCCACTTGGACCGAGTTTCTAGCAAGAACACAGGCTAGACGAACGGTTAGACGCACCTTCCTTGGAAAATTTTCGGGGCAAAGTGTGATCTGACCCTCCGTGGCGTCTATCTTTATAGGTGTGCACCAGCAACAGGGGACCCTCCCCAATATCCCCACCTCTCTGTGTGCTCGATGACGCGTATGACGGGGACAACAGGCGCACACAACTCGTCATCGATGTTAGGTTGTATACACACCTCACCTTCGTTGCCCACCTTCGTTTCCCCGCGGAACTTTCTTCGATAATTTTTTAAACAAACCCGCCGCTCCGACTCTTCCGTGAGTCGACGACGCTGTAGGAGCTGGGCGGACCTTAGCCTAGGCGATCCCTGATATTGGTGGACCAGCGTAGATCCACATGGATTTGGGTCATTATGGGAGGTGACCGTTTCCTGGGTGTCCGGACCTGTCTGGGATTTTTCGATGCATCTTGGAGCTGTTGCATCAGACGCTATTGGAGGAGAGGACTTGGGACACTTGTATTATTTTCATAAAGGGAATACGGATATAAGGAACAGTCCAGTGACCGTTCTTGTGGAATTGTTGTGGGTAAGACAGGCTGAACCAGGCGTTGTCACCGAAAATTGGAAAAGAGTACAGCCTTGTCGTTTACTTGTTCAATATAGTATTCCAACAATTATTATATTAACGACTTTCTGGTATCTGTAATGGACTGAAGAATATTTATGGAACCTAGGCAAGTTTAATTTTTTAAATATTACAAAATAGATTTTCTATATTAAGAAATTTTACTATTGACATGAAGTTGACTCTATCCAAAAGCTATTGTTTTTAATTTTAAAATTATTATATCATACGTGAAGTACCAAAAAAGTATTGTTTATCCTAGTGGACATTGGTAATTGACAGTGGTTCACGCACAGAACCAGGCATTGAGGTCTCCGCGAATCTGTACCAAACGTAAATTCTTTCTCGCTTGTTCGGTATGGAATTCCGAAAAAAAAGTATTATAGCAGCGACATTCTTGTGTCCCTAATAAGCCACGGAAATACTTACGAATTCTGCATAAATTCTATTTCCAACAAATTACAAGACGAAGTCTCCATATTTATGTCCACGATTCCATAGCCGGGCAGAGGCTGTCACTCTTCCGAAACTCTCTGCCCGGAAACCGCCTCCTTAATTTAAAAGTCATAACCACGTGGTTGGTCATTTGAAAGGTATTAAAGCCATCATCATTTATTCCATGGTATTCATAGCTCGCATTCCAGACAGTATCGTCGAGAATCTCCGCAGGTTTCTACCAGCTAGAAGAATTCAATGGTAGTGGGGCGCATTTTATACTGATTAATTAAGGTCCTTTGCGAATGCATTTATTTACCTGCAATAAATAAACCATACATTTGCACTCTTGGTCGTAAATAGTAGGACACTTATCGAATATGTGGTAAATGTTAAAGGACATTACGAAACTGCCGATAGACTGAAATAAATATATTGTTTAGGGGATGTTATAATAGAATCCTATGCATAACCCTATTTATTTTTTAAACGTCTTTTGATACAACCAATAGGTAACCAGGTTCGTCGGTATCCCAGAACGCTATTCCTTAGAGCATAGAATCGAAAATCACCCATGGTTGGTGCATACATTCAACGTCCACGTGCACTGAGCTGTTCACCTTGACCCAGAGACATGGTCAGCAGCCGCCTCGAACCACGGATTACATCGGCGATCTCTGATATAACACCTATTCGAACAATTTCCCTTTTTCTTGTTGTTTTTTCATAATGTTCACGGTGCGCACCTGTTTCCTTAGTTGTCACGCGAGGATCAGTATAGTTTGTATACTCACAGGAACATTGCATCGATCAGTGATCCATGTTTTTTTTCCTGGGAATCGAGAATCTACCTGTAGCTTCTGCATTTATCACTTTCACATGCACTTAGATGCATAGCAAATTATTTACAGGTGTAGAAGAATTTTCAAACACGAACTTATTTGTTCGAAATTAATCCCAATAATATTAGCTGTGCTAATAAATAACTCACTATTTCTTGGTAAATTCAGTACTCACTTCGAGAAGGCCCCCAATATTCCACCTACATTAATAAAATTTCTAGTACCTTTTCACCATCCAGGGCCGTTTCGACTGAACGAAAGATCGGCCGAGTATTTCAAGAATTTCAATTTGGCAGTAACCTCACTGCAAACATGGTGGATTATTTATTGGCACACCTAAAAAATGTCATCCTGACTGGAAAGTCAGCCGAAATAGGCTCACATCGGTGAACGTTGTTTAAATTGAATATTTTCATATGATCGTGATTCAACGACCACCAAGAAGTAGCCCACGAAGAGTCAGCCCCTCCCTCCCCCCCTGGAGCAATAAATGTACAACAATGCGTATATCTCATCGGGGACACTTGTCGAAACGGCAACCGCCTCGGAATGGCAACTGCCTTATTCGCGCGGCATGCCGTTCCATTGTCCTGCGCCGGGTCTCTTTAAATATTTAACAGTCGCGCGGGGACACTGTCATCTCTCCGTTAACGGTATACGTCGCGGCGAGGCGACGGATTTTCGCGATTAATTTTCTAGGTTACGCCCGTCCCCAACGCGCAATACTTCAAAACGTTTCAACAGCTCAAAATCTGAATTGTTCGAATTCGAATTTGGCACCAAATCAGTACCAGTGACTCCACTGATCCAATGTTCCTCTTTTATTAACAGTTTAAAGTAAGATCGATCACAACCTTCGTGCAAAACTTTTGAATAATAAAAGGATTTATTCATTGTTGCTGAGCAATTTGTTCTGCAACTTTTCATCTACATAGGAACAAATAATCATTTGTAAAAGTCTTTCGAAACATTATCGTGCTAAACCTCAAAAATATTTTATTTATCTAGACTCTAAACACATTTTTCTCTTATTTAAAATTGCCAGGTACGTCAGCAACTAAGTAAATATTATTTATAAATTTTTTCCAAGAGTGCACAGTAAAAAAGGTTCGCCAGCACTGTCGTAAAGCATTGTTTTGGACCACTGTGCGACATTTTGGTTACTTCCGATTACCTTTCGACAGTCGAATGCTCGTCTTCTCTCGTGGAGGACCGATTTATCCCGGAAACGTGAACGGGGCACGGCCGTTTGTAGAGGAATAACGACGTGAAGACAGTGAAACGTGGATGGGGAGGGGGATCCAGAATGCTAACAACGCGCGGGCGCTAAACGGAGAAACTTTTTTTTTTCGCTGCTTTCGACGATGATTCAATTCTGACTAGCGTTGCGTCTGGATTACTTTCCTCTGATTATTCCTTTCCGTGTAATTCGACTCACCATCGACACGGTTTACGGTTGTTTTGATGTAACTGGCGGGACGCGTGGGATTAATCCGGCCGCGGTCCAATAAAGTAATAACACATTCCGTGCTGTTCGTGATATGAATGTAAAAAGAGAGTGCTAGAACAGGAGAAATAAAAGAATTTCATAGGAGTTTGAGGAAAGTAAAACTGGATGTATGCTGCTGGCAATTGTGTGGTAGCGAAAGGCATGGAGAAAGAACTGATATTAACTTAATCTTGATTAAAATCGCTGAAAGAAAGGTGCAATTTTGTATTTTCTGCCAGTGATATAATAGACTGACGATTCTATACACTTATAGAATAAAGAACGTAAATATTACAATACAATTTTTTAAGGTTCTAATAATACTAATAATAATATTAATATATATTTTAACGAGAAGTACCGTTTGGTAGAAAGATAGCATAAATATAAACAAGAACACATGAATAAAAGATGGACTAAAATTGAAACTAAGAAAGTTAAAGATCTTTAGATTTTTCTGAGTTTCATGGTATCTTTACTAAAGAAAAAGTTTCTCTTGCACGTTCGTTCTTACAACTTTCAGGCCAAAACTGAAGATTTGTGTAAACAGAAATCACTAAATCACTGGACTGTAGATACAGTAAATAGGAGACTAAAACACACATACCTCGTACATACTTTTTTTATTAACAGTTTATTCCATATGAGATTAAAAGGTTAATCCCGTTTTCCCGCGTTTTTCCGAAGCAAGAGATCGCGAGTAAGCGTTTGATCGAGGGACGGATAATATTTACAGGAATTCTGGAGAACGGAGGACCTGAAGGATTCGGGTTAACGACCCAATAAACCTGTCTCGGGGACCAGTTCTAGGTTCATTTTCATCATTTCTGTACTTTCTTTCACCGTGAGAAACTACATTTCTCCGAGGCAAAATATTGCAATTTGGACACGCTGTTAGTTGTAGGGGAGAGTAGGCAGGTTTGAGTCTGTTTTCAATGAATTTGTAAAAGTGATTAACATGAAAGAGAAACACGCTTTAAAACTGAAGAATTATGATCAGCAAGGTCTTACCATCGATGTTCCATCATGATTTCATTTCATTATTTCGAAAGGATCTTTAAAAATATAATAGTTCTGAAACTTATGGGGGAAGGTTTTGGTTAAATAGTAGGAATAAATAGATCATTGAATTTTTGTATTGTTTTTGTACTAAATATAGAAAACTTTAATGTATGTATACAAGTAGTAGCGTATGTAGTAGCGTAACTTGTATGTATGTAACAAATAATAGCGACAACATTCCATTACTTATTTCTTATTTCGGTTAGCAATTTGTATTAAATTTACCATGAAAATGCATTCATATTTGCACAAGACTAAATTTGCAGAGTAATAAACTGCTTAAATTATGAATACTCCTATTAGTGCAACAAGGGTGGGAATATATTAACTGACGCAAACCTCCAACGCCCCGAACCTGTCCACTGTCTCCTCTAATTGTTGATATGAATACGGGCACGTTCACGACACGGCAATAAAAGTTCAAGGCCCGTGGCTCAGCCACGCGAGTTTATAATTCTCGGGGAATTTGAAATGAACTTTCTCTCAGCGCGATTACGTAACAAGTCCTGGTCGAAATTGAGACGGCTGAGGACATTTAATTGTACGTATTGTTCGCTCACCGATCCACGAGATAGATTAATTAACGCGAAAATATGATCACTGGAGAAATACTTTCTACGTTTTTTATTTTCTTATTTGTCCGCGAGTTTCAATCTCGATCATGGTGTTTGCCCAGGCGATTAACAGTACCACGAGCGATGCTAATTTCGGCGTTGAATTTCGCAACGCTAACTGGACGCCAGAAATAGTTCGAGGCTTATTACTCCACGGAGAAAACACTCTTCCACGGGCGAAAGTTCTTTTCTTTCTGGAATTGAATTAAAGTTCCGTTCGACATGATGACTAATTCGCATATTTATAGGGTGAACTCACCGATGAATGAACACTAAATGTAGGTAATTATATTAAAAAGAAAAAATACAGATTTCACCGATGAGTGAACTATATTAAGTAAATTAACATTTCTGACCATTGGCGCGAAAATTAATTGAATATAAAACAAAGAATTAAAAAAAATCAATATTTAATCATTTGCTTATTTTAATAATGTTTATTTACCTATTGATGCATTGACCCTATGATCCACTGTGAAAATATTTTGTTATCATCAAAATTTTGTGTCGAGTCATTCAAGAAAAAAGTACTATTTCAAGAGCAAATATTATTCACTTTTTTGGACGAAGTTCTATTCTAATCTTCTATCGTTATTCGAAACTCTTTATCCAGATAATGACTTTACCTATTCCTGGCACCATACCAGCGAGTACACGTTGAAGAAAGTAGAATGGAGGAAAGGAACGACAAAAAAAACAAAATTTTTTGGAAACAAACACGAGTCTTATTTACTTCCTTTTACGTCGTTCTCCATAATATTTATACGGTTCCGATTCCGGCGTGTCCTCCGTCATCTCGAGCATGTCCTGCCGTCTGTATTTACCGTAGGGCACGTTGACCACCTCGTAACCGCCCCCGGAATGACTCTGCGCGACCTTTTTTAGACCAACGATAGCCGCGAGTATCAGGCTCATCAGGCTCAGAACAACAGCCTTGCCGCTTAAAATCGCTAATGTCTTCAGCGCGATCGGCAAAAGGATCGATTTGATTAGCATGAACCCAACGATCAGGGGTATGAGGTATCGGTTCAGCTTCAGCTTCTTCTTCTTGCGCGCTGGAACAATGGGAATTCACTCGTGGATTACCAAGAACCTGTCTAACCAGATTCAATTTACTCGATTGGATCAGCAAACAACCGTCTGTCCACGTTTATTTATAATCTCGTGCACTGTTCGGGCCAATTTGACCCAAATTATGTCTTTAATTTTATTGTATATTCTTTATCAGAGAAACTTAATTAAATTTGACACCAATAATTATTTATTTCATGTATCTTAACATTTTCTCTGTCAGTCTATTGATATTAATTATTATTTACTAAACTGTAAATACCATCCTCCTCAAGATTTTTTTTCGACGTAGATCATATAAATCTCAATTTCTTCACTACTTTATTCAGGGAACTTTAGATGCATCCCGTGCAATAATAGCATCAAAGGTCTAAAGAAATTACGATGGATATTTAATAAGCGGTCAGATAAGGAGGAGTTTTTTGGAGCGTGGCATGTCGTGTTAATTGCGATTAATGCGATAATTCCGCCTGCGATGCGCCATTTAATTGCGAGGCATCGGAAACAAAAAGGAAGTGCTCTTTATTGGCTAGCCTCGCGAAATGAACAAGGTAATATAGAGTGAACTGGAGTGGAAAGTGCTTTATGGATTTCTTTTGTGTGTCGGGTAGCCACGTGCCGTGAACAATCAGGTATCGCGCTATAACACGCATTAGAGACAGGTATAACAAGAATCCGTAATTATACGGGCCTTTAGAGACGCGCGTCGTTCAGTGATGCAAATCCTTCGAAACGATCGGAATCAAGCAATATAAAAGTCGATAAATCTTCCCACGATTGATAGTAATTTCCTGCGCGTAAAGAAAGAAAATATAGTAATTAAGTGCACGAGGAACTAGACCACTTGCTGAAATGAAAATTTTGAATAACGAGTGAAAAATATTATTTGTTGAGTAAACATAAGAATTGTACGTAAATGTGGGCTTGGATGGTAATATTTATTCATAAATTAAATTGCGAAATTTATTCTAGTTTCTTTGAAAATTTTTACTAACACTGTTCATCTTTGTGCATTAATAATTGTTACACTACCACTGATCTGAAGTTGAACTCGAAACAGGGAGTAGATCAAATTTACTCAAAAAAATATTCAAGGGTTAATAGTAACATTCCTTCAAGCTTCCAACTGTATTCCTCAAATGGGAAATGTCACTTTTTCTAAGGTACTCTAAGGGTCCAACTTTCGTTCTATCTACCTTCGACAGAGGTGCGCGATACAGGAAGCACGTTGTCAACGACGTTCAGGATCCCATCACCGGTCCAGTCCACGGTGCTCCTGGAGTCCTCCAGCTGCAGCCACGATCTATCCTGTATCATGGTGGGCTGCGTGGTTTCCGTGGCCGTCAGCAGAGGCAGGAAGAGCAGCGGGAGCAACAGCTGCATCCTCCTGTCGCATCTGACACTGTCGTTCACCAGCTTCACGCCAGAATATCAGCGATAATTCGTGATTACTGGTTACACTTACAATAAAAAAAAAAATTTACAAACACATTACACAGACGAACCCCAAAAGAAACTCTTCGTTTAACAATAAATGAACACGTTAAGTGCCATGTCGATCGTCGATGACAGATAGTAAAATTTCGGTTCAGACTTTATCGTTCACAGATAATGAATCAGTATGAAATATGAAGGAAATAATTAATTATTTGTATCCAGTAACGTTAATAAGTGCAACGCAATGATTAACGGACGCATGTCACGCAAAGATACACTTCTACAAAATCTTATTACGTTGGTAGTCAAATAATTCCAGCACTTCCCCACCAAAAAACGTCCTTCCCACGAGATCGCGCGAAGCAGAAGTGTCACTAAAATCATCTCAGCACTTAACGTGTTATATTATATACAAGGAAAAGAAACATTGGCTAATTACGTGTACACCCAGTATATCTCGCGGCGAAAAGGCTTCTGTCGAGGATGTAAACTTCGTCGTCAAACGGATGGAACACGAGTCACACGTAGAACGAAGAGGAGGGAAGTGCACTTCGTGACCGTTCCGAGCGTAATAACAACCCAAGCCTCGGGATTGGTCCTCGACCGTTGGGAAGAGGTAAGAAAAAAGGGACACAATTGGGGAGGACTCGAATTACACGACCGACGGAACCAGCCTGTTGGCAAATCGAATGTCAACTGACATTCGTCCCAGCTCGGACCATTAGTTTATATACCTGGCGGTGATGTTTAGAGAAGGAGACCGCCATCTAACTTGGTACTGACGCGTGACGATGGATTCGCCTCGTTCATCCACCACCGTCCTCGGTCCTCGCCGATCATTGGACGTCGTCGGCCACAGGATCCAGCCCCCCCGAATTCACGTTTGTCGATCCCATCCGCAGGACAGGAAGACAGACAGAGTTCCCGTAAAAATCGTGTAGCTGGAGATCCGTCTCGATACACTGATCCCTGGTTCGTTTCACACTCGAGTAATCCATTGGACGAGTTCATCGGAGAACGCGCGCGCGGCCTCTTTACCCACGGCGCGGACCGTGTTTCGTTAGCTCGAGAGATGAACCGGGAGACGGCTGATCGAAAACGATCGCGAAAGGAAACGTCGCTGGCGATCGGTCGGACGTGGAATCAATGATGTCTACCGGTGGTTTCGTCTTCGAATCGATTTTTTTTTAGATTTGTCGAGGTCCAATTATCGGTGACGATGGAGTTCGAAGCAGAGCTGAATAAAGTGCTAGATCATTTTTTTTTTTTCATCAAATCAAAAACTTTGTCATCTAAAATTCTTTACAGAACCATTGAAATTAACTCATCTTTAACTTATCGGTACAGTCACAATGATCTCGCCCATTTTATAAGAAAGTAGCCCCTCCTCCATTTACACCCTACAATTTGTCCCATAAAGAACCATCCCGTTATCGCGGTACATGGAAAGAAAAAAAGAGAATAATTGTTACAACGCCCGGTATTGTCGTTAATTACCCAATTCATCTGCTCCAACCGAACTAACGGCTATGATCGTCGTGAACGTTTCAATTAACATTCGCGAAACGTTCCTCTAATTACCTCTGCTCACGTAACGAGCAAACGTTCATAAATCTTCTCGTTGGCACGTCGCGTTAAGCCTCGGAATAATTACGGTGAAGAGGATCGGTGTTCGTGATTCCGGCCATAAAACGTTCAACGTTCTGGCGTGTTTCCACAGAGCCGTCTACTGTAATTGGTTATTTATCAATGGCCGCCAGTTCCTCTTGGCCATCGGTCTCAGGAACTCGAGAAGAAGAGAAAAGTATTTTGTTCATTTTCTCATCGAATGTATTATTCTGACGGACTCGACCGATACTGTAACTACCTTGCTGACTGATAGTGAAATGAAGACACTCTGAATCAATTTTTACATACAAATCCATATCTGAGAAATATTAGTAAGTGACACTATTATACATAGAATTCAAGATAGTAAGCACCTACGTTTCGATTTCCACAATTCTACAAGAATTTTTAGTCACGGTTAATTCAAGGGTACCGATTTCACAATAGATTAAGTACTCGTAGTTGAACTTCAGAAATCGATTTGATGTTCTTAGGTAAAGAGAAGAACGTTCCATAGATGTCTGCAATATGAACGATCTACAAAATGATTCGTGTTAAGATCGAAGTACATTTCGAGCAGTTTCGATAGCACTCAAGCACGAAATGTAATAGTCGACAATCGGTAATTTTCTTTACAATATTGTTTTTATAGAGGCTAACGTGGCTCTGTCCCCACTGGAGCGACCGAGAGCCCAACCGTTACTTCTTTCTTCGGAAACGAAATAGCAACATCGATCATTACGACGACATGCAACCCACTGAGCAGTCGAAACAAAGAACGAAATGGGGGACTGTAATGATGATAGTGATTTAACAGGTCCCCTCAGTGTTTTCGTTCTGTACCTTCTGACCACCGTCATTGCCCCCTGTACCGTTTCACGAGCAATTATTCGCGTCCCCGTGGTTTCACGCAGGAAGCAGCGAAATTGCCCTTAGCTGCCACCGGGAACGAGACAATGCTCTTTCAGCTGGCACATGAATAAAACTGCCTGCCAGGGACATTTCGGTTCCGCGCTTCATTCATACACGAGAGATTCGTGTAATGTCGACTGTCATTTCGGTTCAGCGAGGATACCACCGAAGGATCGAACATCATATTCTTCTTGGAGTAATTTATAGTCAGACGTGTAACGCTAGAACTATACGACTAAATAATTGTCATAACTTTCTAAGATTGTTCGGAAAGTTTCATAATTATGAAGACGGCAAATACAGGGTGGGTACAAGTAAGGTCAAGGAGGTAGTACGATCCAAAATAAAACGAAAATCAAAAATAACTAAATTGCTTTTAAGATTTCGTTTTCGAGATACATACGAATTTTGGACTACCCTGTATAAATAAACGAGCTGTATACCTTCGTCAATATACATATAAATACTTACGTTTATCTTCGGTAATTCTAGTATTAAAGAGAAATTTATATTTCGTAAATTTTTAGGTCCATCTAGGTTTCCAAAATGGGCGCTAATTAGATCTGGGGGCCCGTTCTAGTTATTTTCAATTTAACTATTTAAGATTGAAAGATTACACGCAGAACATCACCTGAAAATTTTGACAATAGAAATAGTGTACTCGAACGGGACGCCGAAAAGAAAAAAATTGAGAAGTGGGTGTGCCAAAAAATATTGCGAAACTATGATCACCCTCGATTCACGTGGTCATCGAACCTCAGAAATTATTAGCGCATGTTTTATCGACTGTTCCATTGTATCCGCCTCACGCAAAGTTTATTTGCTCAGGGACAATCGGAACAGAGTCTCGAAAGTGCTGGATCGAGGGTAGAACCAGAGGATATACGCGACGATCACCGATTAACTGAGACCGGTGTAGAATACGATAAGAGGGCGGTGACTTTCCATGAACGAACGGAGGAGGTTCGATTTTGATAGAATGCGGGTGGTTCCGGGTACGGCGATAAATCGTATCGCGTGCAACGTAAAATCGTTTCTAAACCGACATCCGGGCAGGAACGGGGGCTGTGTTTTCTAACAGATCTAGAAACTTCGCGCTCGATCGTTCGAATGGAAACCGACCGACTCGGATGAAGAAAAAGATCTAATAACTGAAAAACAATCCACCTCGAGATCAGCCATATTTAATCGAATCCACTGTCGGTCGGTGGAAGATGTTTTTTCGCGGAATTTGCGAATTCCAACGTTGGCCATTATTGCACAACAAAAAATGTCGTGGCGGAAATGTCGCATTATCCGCAGGTAAAGGTGATGAAGGCACCTGAAAGTGAGTCGGAACAGAATTTTTCTGAAAAAAACAAACTAATATTAAAAAACTGTATTAATATGAGTGTATAGTATTGCGAAATAATTTTCTATAATAATTCTTTTATAATAATTTTCCTGAATACATACTTGTTTGTTCCGAGAAGAGGTTTAATTAAAAATTATTGCACAGTGGTTGGATTGCAGATGTTAGCTGGACAAACTATTTGTTTTTCTAGGAAAATGAATTACGTATTTTTTTATTCATTGGAATATTATTTCGAACAACATGTTATTTTATTTTTCATCGTTTGAAATAAGTCTTAGAAATAATTGTGAAATTGTTCTCCGAAATTATATCAGGCGACTAGGTCTAAATTTGGTTCATTGACATTTTTCTGAAGAGTAACATCCCTCCTTCCATCATCCACACCCCAGTGGAATGATTATTTTCATTCGTGATGAGCCCAAGCAAAAATCTGTCACGAATGAGCTTTTCGAATAACGGGTTCTGTTTAAAACAAATTACTGTAAAGATGTCTTAAAATAGAACTTTTTTGTTGCCTATTATTTTAAGCATTACTTCTTTCGCCAAATTTGAAATACAAAAATAACAAAATAATTCATTACTGGAAATAGCTATTATTTCAAATGAATCGATACTATTATTTATTATCAAATAACAGTATTGAAAATAAAGTCCCGAAATAAATAATTTAAAAATAGATAATTCTTAATTTAATTTCAAATAAAATTTGCCCAGTTCCGCATCTAACAATCGCTACGCCCCGCGAAATTCAAAGCATTAACAACGATCTACTTCTTCACTCCCTAATCATCGAATACCGCCACATCGAACCCCACCCATACTCAACATCGAATACTCCCACCGTTTCGTGCTTTGCTCCATCGATCCACCCAGATATCCCAGTAATCTTCGGTCTACAACGACAGTCGTCTGTTATCGTCCCGGTTGCCAGCTGCACCGTAACTCAAAAATCAGCATTTCTTCGTCATTCGTCCCATTGTAAATGCGACTGTCTCCCACCCACATCTCTCTCTCTTTTCTCCACACGCCACCCCTGCCGTCGACCCCTCCCCCCTTTGCCCCAACAGTCGTTGCCTCGTTTGCAAATGAACGACAAGGGGGAGTCCTTGCTGTACCGTTCGACAATATAACCTGACATATATATCGCCGGGTACAATTTGGATCACAGTACTTACCGTACGCATATATTGCCGGCTCGTCGCGCGGTGCTCATTTTTCACGGACTGTCGATCCACCTGGTAACTGAACCGTGGCCCGGCGTGGTACACCGTCCAGCCCCTCTCGGGTCCGCCGCGAGGAATCAAGAGCGGATCGGTTTAGTTCACGGTCGCTCGCTGCTCAGTCCGTTCCGTCCTCGGTCGAATACGTCATTTGGAAAATACGCTGGACGAATCTGATTGCCTGCAGGTGATTTATTCTTTTCGATTAATCGTTCGGTGAGCCAACGATTGACACGTGTTTGGGACAGTTGGTGCGACCGCTTCTGGATCATTTGTAAGTCTGACGGGGTCTCTCGAGTTCATTTCTTTATGGTGCTGGTAGAGCTTGAATGTGGACTGATTGATGAATGGGGTGGTGAGTTTATTTCATTGGTACATAGCGATGGTAATGGGTTCTTGTTTGTCGTCTGTTGTCCTTGGGAGGATGTCTGATCAGGCCACGTGGATCATGGTCTAGAGAGGAAGACATACTTTACTTGAAATTAATTATAATGTAGATGGTTTAATGTATTTGTGGGAAGTAGCGATTTTAAACCGGAATACAGAGCGAATTAAGTGCCTCGTATGATAGTGTGAACACATTCATTGAATAATTTCAGTGTCCACTGCAAGAGGTGTGCTGCAACAGTAGCATTCTGAGATATTAACCTTGACCCTTGATTACCTAATTAAAACTTTTATAAAAAGTAGTGAACAGTATATACATAGTATAATAAATGTATACATATTCATACATCATTCTTCAACTTTTTGTACAACTCTTGTACTGGACACCTAAACTAGTATTAATCGATATTAGGATGTACAGTAATGCTTGCTTAAGCATTCTAATTTTTTCTCAAATTAACGTCCGTTCTTATTCCCACCAGTTTCTGAAGCCGCACTCCTTATATTTTTCCCTCAAAGCACATTTTTCCTAGTTTCGAAAATGTGATGATTCTAGGATAATTAAGGCTTAATAAAGGAATCTATGAACGTATGATTATCTCGAGTCTCTTGATGGGTTAATGCAATAACTGATGAGCCAGTTGTTTATTTTTGTCAGTAACATCCAGGGGTGGGATTCGAAGAAATCATGTAACACCACCTGTCGCGATCACCTGAGGAGGAAACGAAGCGAAGCGCCCTGTAGGCGGATGTGTTTGAGTATCGTCGGGTCGGAGAACGCACGGTTGCCTCGAGGATGTAATTCGTGATCGTGGGTGATCGTGGACAGTATTCAGGTGAACCATCCAACGGGAAGATGCGATCGAGGGTGAATCTAGTCGCGATTCTGTTGACACTGAGCTGCGCGGCACGACTGCTGGAGACTGCCAAGTCCGATGTCAGACAGCAAGGTCTGACGAAAGGCGCCCATAAGGATAACGGATCCATTGGGAAGAAGATCTTCAAGGGAGCACAGAATAAGTTATCCCCGATAATTTTGGGTCCACCATTATTGGAGCACAAGACGACGAGTGCCAAGACGCAGATGAAGAAAGTCCAGGCTCTGGCGAAGGATTATCTGATCGAAAAAGGTAACAGGGAAATGAATTAGGACATAGCCGACGTTAAATCAGTATACTAGTGATTTAGAATTATAATCCTCATAAGTTTGTGTACTCTAGAAAAGGTACACTTGTCAGAATTTGAAAATGACAAAGATACTTGAATAAAAATTACCTTTCTAGTGACAAAGAATAGTCGATACCTACGGGGTCACAGAAGCCCTTCAATTAATTACAAATAAAGTTTACAAATACCTTTATTAATACAGAATCATTAGTTAAGAACGAAGTACAGATCGTCGAAGCATACTTCGTGGCGCCAGTAGTGTATCGATCCGAACGGGTTTTCAGATCGTCCACGACGAAAGAGACGGAAAATGGATCGCACGATGATGGCTCTACTGATGGCTTACAAGATGAAGTTCGTCGCCCTGGTACCGACCTTGGTCGGCGGTCTGATCCTCCTGAAGGCGACCGCTCTCCTCGCAGGATTTTTTTTCGCCCTGTTCGCCGCGGTCCTCGGGCTGAAGGTGCACTGATGGGAACGTTTTTCGCGTCGTGTTCTCTATGTGAACGTCATTGGGATCTCAAAGTGAGGCTGTCATACCGTTTTTAACTCGTGAAAGCATGGACGGAGCCACACACGGTCCCAAAGGGTATCGATCTCGAAGGGGATTTGTTTTCCGGTCTGTTCCTCGCGTGTACCAGGCGATCGAGGCGTATCCGTCCGGCGATCATCATCACGAGACCCGATTGTAACATATTATGTGTACAGTAGAGTGAAACAGTATGCGAGAATCACGGTGAATCATTAAAACATTTCTGTTCTTCCACTGTTCGATCTCTGTGCTCCCTATTTATTCGTATCGTCTACTGGCGCACGCTGGACTGCTGGCGATGCGCGAAGGCGAGAGAGAGAGACACGCTTACAAGTAAGTTCGTGACAATAAATACCATGGCGTTCAGTAATAAATATCGTTTAATCGAGCCTACGTAACTAATATATGAATATAATGTGCGAAGAGAACCGTGGATGAAACGACCTGCAAAATTCAAGGTTATTGGTGTTCTTGGTTACGATCTAGGATCTCTAGATCCATTGAGTATTGTATTTGCTGGTCGTTTCGATCATGAACGCAACTGCTTCGTCCTGGTTCCGTTAGAAACTAGCGTGCATGGAAATTCTTGGCAACGCTATTGATTCAGTTATTCGACTATGGGGTATTCAAATTTAAATTTGGCGGGCTAAATTCGAACGGAAACTGAATGGTGTATATTTGAAGTTGGTAGCTGGAACTCGATTTCGTATTTTTACATCGGAATTCGAGTTCAGCGAGCAGAATTCTGATCCATGAATTTAGAGAAAGGAAAGCTTCGTTGTATAATTCCGTTAGGGATTCGCGTGCAGGAAACTCGAAGCATCGTGATTATCCCGTCGTATAACTGGAAACCGAGTGACAGCTTAGTCGTTTCATTTGTCGCGTTATTCGAACGAATACAAGACCTTATTATTCTAACGATGATTATAACTTCTCGACAATTCCTTTCGGTGATTAAGAATCGATTTCTGAGAACAATGTATTCCATCTTCTATCAATATGTCTGTATTAACTATTACAAAACGTCAGATTTCCTGGGGGAAAATTAAAACTGACAAGGAACCGTTAAGGTTCCATCGTAGAAAACTCTAAAAAAATAATTAACCCCTAACGCAATCCAGGGTACTTTAATAACTCATCCTCTAAGACTGAAATACCAAATTGTACACGTTTTCCGGTACTTCATTCTCGAGTATTCTACGATCGATAAAGATTCTACTAGGTCGTGAAATTGGCGTATTCACTATGGATAAACAGTCTATTCAATTCAATCCCGTATGGATCGTCGTCATCGTCGATAGATCATCTCTCGATACAGCGTTTGCAAACGGAACCCAAGGACCTCCCGTAGCCTTCCCAATTCTATCTCAATGAAGATGTCTCGCCGAGTATGCCAAGTTCTGCGCGTACTTCATCGTCGCCTCCGTCGTGGAGGACATTTCAGCCGCCTCGGAAATAGTCTTCAGGCTCCTGTCCCAGCCGCCGCCGCCGCTCTGCTGCCAGCCGCCATGATCGTGGCTCTGTTTCTGGCTGAGAAGCTTCTTCAGTCCAATGATCAGTGACAGGACCAGAGCGATCTTGCTGATGATCAGCGCCTTTCCAGCCAGCAGGAACAGCACACCCAGGGCGATGGGTATCAGCGCCGCCATCTTCATGGCCATACCCATCATCATCATGCCCATCATCTTCTTCATCTTACCCCGCCCCTCCTCCATGCCCCTCTTCAGCTCGCCAGGTGTCGTTTTAGGCAAACGTATCTGAACATTGAAGCTATTCAACAACGAAGCGACACGGTCGAATAGGATCTCGTTCAAGATCTCATCCTTGCTAGCAGCATTCCTCCCGAGACTGGTCTCCAACTCCGTCACAGAGCTCTTCGGCGCCTCCTCGGTGGTTCTGATCAGCTCCAGGTTCTCCGACAACGGCAACGTGCGCATCCTGCCGAGCCTCTCGAAGAACGCGATCGCTTTCTTCTTCAGGCAAGGCGACACAGCGATGTTCCGTTGCTGACAGTCATCGTAGACCCGGTACATAGCCCTGAACCCTCTATCCACGAGGGTGTCGTCATCCTTTGCGGTGGATGTGGTCGCGTGGACCAGCGCACTGCAGGCGAACAAGAGAAACACACACTTGGCAAGAACCATTGTCTCGATCCTCTCTGTGCACTTTCCTGAGGGTATAATCCTGTTTCCTCGAGGATAGATCGGTTACGTGATCTTGGTCCACCGCGACGGAAGGAGTTCACACTTCAGAATCCTCGACTAGAGAGAACTGGCGGCAGGACCAGGTGTCCGGCCCGATATATACCATCCAGTGTGCTTCTATCCTTCCACGGACGGGGGTGAACCATCTCCCACGTAAGGAGCCTGGCAGAGAACCGCGGATGTGCCGACGGTACACGTGACAATATCCCCCCGCGCGCACACTCACCTTCTAGACCCCAGAGGCGAGAGCGACTCTAAACAACCGTCTTCTGTCCTTCGTTGGTTCACTGTGTTGGCGCTCGCTCGATCCTTTATTCCCCGTCGACAACGTCTCTCCCTCTCAGCGAGGCCACGCGGGGGGACCGTAGGATTCTCTCATAGAGGCATGTGACCCATCCTGACACAGAGACCCACTGAGCAAGCCAGAAAGGTAGAACGCCTATGCGCACCGTTCGCAGTCGTTAAAGTTTCGCTGATGCTACCAGGGGAATCGCTCTGGGAAACGCGGAGAGAGGGGAGGACAGGTGTGGAGGATGCGCCGGGAAGCATCCTATTGGCGTGCCTGGCACCGTGACCCAAGTGACCTTTCTGGTATCGTCGTGACGGTTGGAAGTAGTTTTAGGTCGTGGACGGTCCGCGTCCTTACTCTCTCGAGTACCACATCGAGTATCCCTTCCTCGTGTACTCGTATTATTACGATCTAGATCTGATCGAGTGTAAAACGATCAGGCGGTAAATGAACGATCACGATTGTCTCGGGGATTTCACGAAAATCGCTCCCGAGAGGCGGCGAGTTTCACCGTCGATCCGGTCGCTTTGTTTTCTGTGTTCAGGTCAGCATGATCGTTCTCAATCGAGTTGAAAAACGATGGATTCAATTTTCACCGGTGAAACTCGTGTTGGTCTTTTGTTTTCTTTTTTTATTCATGCAGTTTTCGTCTTCGTGGGGCGATTATTCTGCACAAGGTTTTATATTTATTACAATCTTGTCATTACACTTACTTATTAATAGACATTAATAACGGGATTTACATCTATTAATTGTCTCGAAGTTGTTGACGCCCTTAACCAAGTCCTCCTTGACTATGACATCGTTGGTGTTATTGGTTGCCAACAATTTATACATTTCCTGGTGATCCATGAATGGGACCTTAGGAGAATTCATTGGAGGTGAAGTTATAGCAATTTTTAGCCAATCCATCCGCAGTCTCATTACCCTCTATGTATCCCTGTGTGGTCCAGTATCCAATAAAACTGAATTTTGTTGTCTAAGACTTTCAGTGAATTAAATCAGTGAATTTAATAAAATTTCGATAACGTTTGCTTAGGGCAATACGAATAGTTGTTTTCGAGGGACATTCATAAGGGATACATCTCGTAGTGATAAATGCATCCGAGGATCGATCGTCGAGTCAGAGTGACGAATAAGTTTGCGAGTGATTTAGAAAAAAAGGAATTTTCGCCGCGAGGATACACGTGACGGCGCGAGGTGGATTACGTCTGGCGAAAAGTGAACAGATCTACGGTTGCAAGGAGTTCTTCTTTTTCCGAAGCCCGCCGGGTGTGTCCGTGTCGATGAAAACAAACGCGTCGACTTTGCGGATCGAATTAGCGGACTGGAACGTTCTCTTTCAAGAATTTACCATTCGTGTGAGTGTCGTGAGTACACTGCGGACGTTCATGCATTTAAAGGAAATTTTTAAGATGCAAAATCCAGTGAAATAAAGATTTTAATAAAATTTAATGACATTTAGTTGTATCAAAAATGGTGTTAATGAATTCTCTAAATATTATTTGGATTCTATTTATGTGAAAAAGTAAAAATCAACGAAATTGCTAGTTGTTCGTTTGTATTAAGTGTACAAATTAATTTGTGGTCCCCACGATCAATTATTGTCTCAAAACCGACATCATTTTTTCGGGACAGGATTTGCAAACTACCCGAAAAATGACGTAAATGTGTAGAATGTGATGGGGAATATGTTTAAGACTAGACTGTATTCCGGTTTCTTTTCGTAAATAAACAACAAATCTATAAAAAGGAAGCCACGAATTAATCTGTACACTTAATACTTTGCTGCCGTTGATACATAAACGTAACACGTTCCATGACGGACCAGTTTTTACCGTGACTTTCCATTCGCATCACGTGCGAGGTATATCTACACGTTGCGTAGCTTCATAAATTATGTTAGAATTATTCAATTCACAGCTATGCTTTCAATCAAAAATTTGTTATAAATCTGCAAACCGTAATTTCCAGAGTCTGGTAATTCTAGATGATAATATAATAAAACAATATATAACATGGTAGACCTATAATTAACTCTAGAATAAAAATGAAACATTCTAAATTTCACGAGATCCCTCAGACTCCATCTCGTCACTTAAGTACTAAATGAAATTTAATTTGCAAACAGACGAAATCCCGTAATATCAAAGTTCCATTTCAGATTCCGTGAAAGTTCTGAGAAACCTGGGGCATGAAAGGATACATTAAAACGAGTAACGTCTTCATTAACCCAAAACCAGTGAGATATTAATAATAACTACAATGGTATTTTGAGTTCATGGCCCGTATTCGTACCAGGGAATTCGAAAAAATCGTGTTACGATCCATAAATCAAAGGGGACGTGATTTTCAGTCGCGTTGCCCGCAGGCAGAAGAGTCGCCGCGGCGTATTCTTTCTGGTAAGTGAATCCATCACAACAGAATGTGTCACTGTGCCGATCTCACAATCGGGGAACGCGTTACGTTGGCTGGTATACACGCTCGATCGAGGTTAACGCATCTCTAATGCAACAAGGATGCATCCACGACGGGTTGCTCGCCTACTTCCTGATATTATCCCATACTAGTCGTGGACGGCGCGAAGTTGTTGAACAGTGTTAACGTGCGTGCCACATTCACGGCCACGCGAAGTTGTATTCACACGAGCATGCGCGCCGCGAGGCAACCGATTTCACGATGAAAAACAATACGCGCAGGAAACTGGTGTCGCGGCATACGGTGGTTCAGATCGGAATCTTGGGTTACATTTGTACAGTAAATCCTCGATGAGTGTTGGAATGATCCTCGGCAGTGAACATTAAATATTTCATAAATTAACACCTTGCCCATTCAATTTGTATTTAATAAACATTCATATAATTCGTTTTCTTTAAGTCAAAGTGAAATACTGTTTCGCTGGTATAAACAGTTAAGATTTAAAGTAAATGTTACACTCGCCATAAGAATAGAATTCTTTTGGTATCTGGGAAATTATTAACGATAATGTAATTCTTAACAAATAGTAGGGTAAGGGGTTAATGGATATATAAACAAGCATCATTGGCTTCAGAATTTCAAGATCTATCATAAACATGCTAAAATCTCATTATAAATGTCGGCGTTTTGGTTCCAGGAAGAATTTATTGTGTTAAGTAGTTTCAAAATCTTACTTTCTTCAATTAACGTTTGTGAAGGAACATAAAAAACTTTCTACCAAATGTAGGTATCAACAATCGGTTCATGAGAAAGATTTCTAGGAAAAACATACGTTCTATTTAAGACATTACTATTCAATATTAATAAAATATAATGACAAAATATAATAAAATATCAAGGACTATTGAACCTCGCTAATAACGTTGCAGTAGATGCAACGTAAAACCACTATTAAAAAAACAATTTTCAAAAACCCCCGTCTCTCGATTCAAGCTCCTTCGAAGTGACACTTTCGGTCTTCCTCATCGACATTAGCACACCTGCGTTTGAACGGCGCGCATGCCTGCGACAGGTCCCCCAGCGGAAAAGTGTTTCCCCTTACGCAATTTCAGCGGAAACCCCCCTGTGGTAAACGGAGCCGTTTCCGGCGTAATGGAAGCGTGGCAATGGGTCAAAGCGGCCGGAAAACGCGGGCTCCCATTCGCGGCTGATGCTTTTTTCTCTAGATAAGCAGCCAAGACCGCCGTTTTCTCTCCGTTATTAGATTCAGGTCACCGATCCGCGACAGGTGGCCGCGCTTTAGGTTCCGACCTAGCTCATTACCGTGACTCCGGAGCAACGAATTTATGCGCATCGGTGAACGCAGGAGCTACCGTTCGGTTTCGCTGCATCGTGGATGCGCACGCTAAATCATTATGTCGTTATTGCGCGTCCTCGTTCGCATACACGTGAAACACGTGGGAGGATGGTATCATTCGTCGACTGCTAAAGGATCCTTCTTCGAGGTGGATTTTAGGGGTCCCAATTGCTGTCACATTAAGATTGCAGCGTAATTTTATACAGGGTTTAGCAAAAGTGTAAAATGGGTCATTCGTGAGGTGATTTGGAACAAGTTTTTCCTTAGCGAAAATTTTCTCCGAGGCTTCGTTAACGAGATATTCACGATAAACCTCGAACCAATCAGAGCGCGAGTCTGCCGGCCGAGCACCTGCGGTAGCGTTCGCTACGCGCTGTGATTGGTAGGGTTCAGGTATTGGTTCAGATTTCTGGGAAAATTACGGTACGGTTTTCAATATTTCTTTTTTAATAATAAAGTTTGTACCTTTTACAGACTCCTCTAGATTATCGTCGTGCTTCTACACGATTATTGTCAGGCATCATCCTCATCACTGGTGGAACCTGTCAAGCGCATGCTTTCTTTTTCTTCTCTTCTTTTTTTCCCGAGCTTCGAGCAAAAAACGAATTTACGAGGGTCTGAAGCATTTCTCCCTATACGATTATTGTCCTGATGCTGGCCCGAGTTCAGGACGCTAATCGAGACGAGTCTGTAGAGGTTACTCGTGAGGTTGACCTTGATAATATATGTCAAAGTCAGAATCGTCGTGTGTGGATACTTTTCAGAAGTTTCTCTCAAATTGTCCACTTCCGAAACTGTTGTGAGTTTGCAGGATGATAGCACACAGACCTGTGGTAGTACATACCTCATTGATTTTAGAAATATTATAGGGGAAAAGGAAATTGGTCGATCGTGTACCGGACTGAGAGCTCGTAGCAGGGTTTTTCACTTTCCGGGAGACTGGTTTGACCAACTAACCTACCCAGGCCAGCGAGTTTTCATTTCCTGGTTCATGTAATATAAACAAAGACGGCCGCTGCGTTCTATGGCTTACGATACTAATGATTAAAGTTCATTGACACTTATAAACGACTCACTGACACTTGAAAGAACTAATTCATATCTTTATTTCGTTAATCATAACCCTGTAAATCAACATTAATTAATGGGAACGAGTCGAAATTTAAAACCGTAATAACTGGTCACGTAATTTAAATTATTTGCATTTCCAAAATTATTAAATCTTTATGCTTACTATTTTACAATCATTGGAACAAGATTGCCATGCCAGCTTTCTCGATCTACCGACATTCCAGGCTGTCAAGCGTTGCGAGGACAGGCATGTTCACCAGGTGATGTTAGGTGTCAAGCAGTTGTCGCTTCCTACATTTCGCGGTTTCCACGGTTTCGTGTTCCGTGCAGTCGGCGACCTTCGACGGCTATAATTCTGCATAGTTCGAGGCGGTTGAATCGAGGATGCTCGATCGGCCCAGTGGCACAGAAAGCCGTCGAAGAAAAAAAATACGCTGCCTTTTAGACCTTATTCTCTACTTCCCAGCGTATGGAGGAACTGGAGAGGTGGAACTAGGGGAGGCTGTTTTCAATGTATTTATTTAGTAATAACCTTAAACATAATGTGGAAATGAATCATTGTTGCGATCGTGAACATTCTTTCATACGAAATTATTTGGTTGGTTTGAAAGTAACGTTTTTGATAGTTTAACACTAACCCATAAAGTTAACTATTTTTCGAAGAAAATGCAAAACAATTTCGGAGTATTATTTTTTTTTAATCGAAAGTCTACTGTCGAGCATCAATAACAGAAATTTTTCTTACACTGTTAATATTCATGGACAATTCATTTTTACCACAGGACTGTCAAATGATGCGGTTTCTTCAAGATAAGCTCGCGATTTATCACTGCTCGTTCAGAAGTAACATTACGAAGTTTATTGAAAGATGATGTGAATAAGGATGTTGATGTTATATGATTTGCAGTAATTTGACGCAACTCGTTAACACACATAAACTTTAATAAATGTAATAAATATAATTTCTGTGTATGCGTGTGTACTAGTTGTGTTTGCTCTGTATGATAGATGTGCTCTCTTTGACCGTTGAATGTGTTCTCCGTGACTGTTCCATGCGTGAGCACTCGTTAATACGGATCACCTTGCTGTGTGTATTTTTATGATAGTGGAAATGAATCTTTTGGTTATATGTATTTTTATGATGGTGGAAATGAAGAATTCCAGTCGGTATATTTTACGTAGGTGTTGTAATGCGTGGAAAAAGAAGCGGAGCACAGCGTGTGTATTTCCTTTTCTGGGATTCCTGGAACTCACCGCGGGGTATAATGAGTCTGAAGATGTTTATGCATTTATAGCGTCCGTTAACTTGGAAAATGCAATAAAATATTAATATACTTTCATACTGTTTATTATTACTATGGTTCTAAAGCCTCGTGCAATTCAAGTATTCCTCCAAAAAATAAATGAAAAAAGAAAAATAATATATTAATTTGATATTTTCGACTGCAAAATAACAAAATATAATATACCGAGTGAATCAATGGGATATATTATCTAAAATAACTCGTTACTTATTGATTGCATCAAAAAACGTTTTAAACGAATTAGGTACCTATGTTGTACTTGAAGGGACTTATCAAATGAATACAATTCGATTTTTTATATCTTATATTTCCTAAGATATCAATGTAACCTTTGAATTTTTTTCACCTAGACACATATAATTGCATTTAAAATACTTTTTGAAACCACCAATAGTAATTTTAAATAATACATCTTATTGGCACACCCTGTACACCAGTCCCATAATTGTAAAATAAATATTTAATGATCCGGGCGTTAAAGGGTGAACGACAATTTTCAATTTTCCGCGTGCACCCGCGACTGGCCCCAATTCCTTTTGATTTCAATTGCATCGGGACCTGCCGTGCCCGTGTTTCACACTCGCTGCGCACCGCAATTACCAGCGACCGTGGACCGTGGATCCACGGAAGGTTCGCGTAACATCGTGTTAGACGGACGGCCGTAGTGCACACGCAGCAGCAGCGGGCCTGGCGTCTAAGTCCGTGGACGATCTATAATGACCGATCACGGCAAAACACACACCGGCTGGAATACCGCATTCACGCTCTGTATGCCGTAACCGTTAATTACTCCAGCCCCTATAAAAATGGCCACCGATCCACCGGGCCAGTCCGGGTCGAACATGCTTCGACGTATGTTCGTCGTTCTGCCGCTGTGCGGTGTTTTAGCGATTTGTAGCTGCACGATTATCCGTCAGGGATCGTACGTCGGTGTCAGACGACAGATCGATTGCAGGGAAAATGTCAATTCCACTGCTTGCGGAGCGAAAACAGGGGAGATCGGTACGGGACGCGATCCGGTGACGGTCAGAGAAGCGAGGACGATCGAGGGTGCGGTGTCTGGGGAAAGTGGCGACGGAGGGGTGGAAGAGGGTGAGTCGTGATGACTTTTTTTCAGGGGGTTGGAAGATCTTGTTTGTTGATTTATCCCTTGGTTGTGGCGGGTGTTCGTTTGCGGTTGGATTCTGGAGGAGATTGAGCATACAGTAAATCGTCGATTAGTGCTCGAAGGTTCTAACTGCCAAGGAGAGGTCCTCAGGTGTTCGCTGATTTTTGGATCGAGTTTGGGAAAGTGATACAGCTTGGAATTAGGAAGTAGATCATATTTGTTTCAGCTGTATACGGTCATTAGTTTGTGAAATATTTAATGTTCAGTGCTGAGGAATCTTCGAATATTCATCGCGGATTTAGTGTATTTGAGGCGGATATCTTGTGAGGAGATCGTTGAGACGGAAAGGGTCTGTGTTTGGTACTGTGGTAGGTGTGATCTGAGGGGGGTGTCAAATTGATTAGTATTGTTTTTAATACGTTAATTGGTTTGTGTGTGTATAGGTTAGTGTGTATTTTAACACTTTGCTGGCGGGGAGTTTTTTGTTTGCGAATATGCAACGTTCAGGTGTTCGAAAAATATTTAGAAATTAGTACTAACTTACATATTAGGAACATGGACCGTATTAGATACCTTCACCCTATGTAATTTCATGTCAATCAAAAGAAGTGTAATAAATATGGACTGATGTGTACAGAAATAACAAAATGGTACTTGTTAGAACTGCAAAGATAAGGGAAAATTATACTTGTGATTAGTTACTGAGAAGAATTGGTAGGTTCAGGTCAGACACCCTATGTACAAAGTTTTCTTAATTTTACTTACTATTTGTCACGTCTAATCTTAAATAAATGAGGAACACTGCGACAGAAATGGAATACAGGTGTGTAACCCATTGCTTCGGTTTTAAGTAGAATGGATGTGTCATGATCAGACCTCCTAAAAGTACTATTCTACTAGGTACATTATACTTCCGCACTAACCGTATCTGTGACACCGACCTGGGCAAATTTTATTCCAAATAAGAAAAAGAAATAAGTGTGTGAAATAATTTATTTCGGAATTTTATTTTCAATACTGTTATTCGAAAATAAAAGCAATTTCAAATAATGAATTATTTTCTTATTTTGATAAAATAACATGTTATGTCAAATAATATCATGTGAAAAGTGCCCAGGTCTACTGTCACAAAGATACAATAATACAATCATATAACAGAAAAACATGTCTTACCATTAATAATCTAATTTTAAGATGAATTGGCTAACATTGGTCAGACTTTCTGAATAGTACATAATTCCCACTAAAGATCAGCCTATTAAAATTAATCTCTGTTTCTAATGTTGGACAAGTACAAAAATTCAACAAAAATATATTACCAGCACTTTTATATTGTGTTGTTCTCGTTCTTCGGTAGAAGTCAAGATCAGATAATGCCCAGTAAAGAAACGCTCCTCTATCATTTAGAATACGGTTTCTTAGGAAACAATGCAGCATTGTTGTCCTTGTTAGCAGCTAATTATTCAATTACCAAATGATCATCATTCGTCGTTATCTTCGCAAAACGATCGCACAGGAGAGTGTTCTTTGAGCGAGAAGCACGACAACCAGTGTATCGCGTGACAAGGCATACTTTTCGTTATTCTGTGTTTACACTTCGCCACGAAACGAACGTCTGTGTACACAGAATAAGAGTTATTACCGAAGTGAATAACAAAAAGTCGTACTTATATCTTACAGTGAGCTCACGGAAGAAGAAGGGCAAAGGATACGGGAAGTTGTTGATGTACTTCCTGGGAGCAGGAAAGCTCACGATGCTGTACGTGATCATCAATACTGTCGCCGCGATCGCTGGAAAGGCTCTGGTCGTTGGTAAAGTCGCGCTCGCGATCGCCACTGCGCTTGCGTTGAAAAAATCATCTGGTACGTTGAATAATTTAAGAAAAATGATAAAAGATTGATATATTATTGTTAATATTAATAGTCGGTTCACGTATCAACGTTTTAGAATAGAAAAATTATAGAGAAATACGTATGAACTGAAAGGGACAGCTCGATGAAAAAGAATGAGATCAAATGATTTAATAATTACCAAAGTAATATTTTCTTATATTTCTGTGTACATTGCATGGCATATAAATGATTCAAAGGAACATTTTAATAACTGGAAACCGTCCAATGCGACTGTTTCATTCGTTGCTAACTTTTTTATTTTTATCGCAGTTATACAACAATAATTTCCATTATAACGTTATTATACATAATGTGACCCACTTTTTTCTTACCTTCGATCAATAAACCCTCTCGAAATATTTGTCGGAAATTAGAATCTTGTAAGCTACTATTGTCTTTGTAACAATGCTCGACGCTTGAATTTCATCAAACAAAAAAGACAAAGGACCAATAATGTCTTATTATACCGATAAGCTTTTAAATTGCACGTTCAAAGTGCCATGTCATCCATATAAGGCTAGAAGAAACTATTATACACTCACAGATATGAAACAAATACATGATACTATAATTTTATTTCGTAATTTAAAGTACGTAGCCATGTGGCAATAATGGGAACGACACGGTTAAGTAGGATTAAAAACGACCCAAATAAATACAATGAACATATTAATGCTACGAAGAATGTATCCGTGGCAATAATGAGATTTTCAAATGGATTATATGCAAATACTGTGGAATTTGTTTTGATTTGACTTGCAGAACACAAAGAGAAAGTGTCGTACGAGATAATCAAGCATCCACATCACACGTACGAACACACGCACAGCTCCAGCCTCGACTACGATCATGGAAGCTTCGGGGAGAATGATTTTGGTTACCGGAAGCGACGTGAAAATTACCGGTAGTCTTTGAAAGTACCGTCCGAGATCACCAAGGTGTCTAAGAATATATGTCTGTAGTACAAAGTATATGTATTTAAATGTGAATTATTGTCAACAAATGAGACGAATTTTGTCTGTAGGAAATAAAGTCTGAAATCGTATCTAAATATACATAAAAAATATATCATGATATGACAACATGTTCATTTTATTCCAATGTTAAGGAATAACATTAACATTAAAGCCTACAAACGTATTTAGATACGGTTTTCATATATTTAAATATATGTTCTTTAATTTCGACGAAGTTGTCTGAAAATATATTCTTATAGTGCAAATATATATCACAAATAGATATTACTGTTGAGGAATAAGATGGTCATTGAAGCTTGAAATCGTAACTAAATATTACGCCTTTTAATTTTAACGAGTGCTTAATATCACTATAATCCAAACTAAAAGTATAATCCCTTTAGTTTCCTTTAGAGTTATCTATTCCCAATTAGTACATAACTTCTGCGTCACATTACGTACATTTATTTTCAAGAATCAGAAAATAAAATGGTCTGTTTATCAACCTTTATTCCTCGGCCATGCTCAGCCGTCTTTACACAATATACATGCACAAAACACACTTCTTTATCCGTAAGAAAATATAAATAAATATTAATTTTTGGTACAATACAGCTTAGCAATCATATAAAAATGAACAATCAACTACCTTGTTGTCTAAGTTAAAGATCACGTTTCTAATTAATAATACCGCGATACATACATCACATTACTCGGATCAGTTATCCCAGTCGACCCCTAACGACAGAATTATCGTTCCACATACTTTATTTTACACGTAAAGTTAATAAAAAAAATAAATAATAAACCTCATCATGCTCCTTACGCTATATGGATCATTTTTATTATACCGAGTCGACGATTTAATGCGATAAAATTAACCTGAAATAAATTAAATCTTCCGTTCCGTTTATCTCTAACTGGATTCGTTTATTAGTTTCAAGTGGGAGGAACGCCTTCGATGGTTCGTTGCCATCCGCCACCGTAACCGCCGCCTCCACCGCCGCCGCCGCCGCCGCCGCTGAAGCTTCCATGGTGTTCCGATCCGGTCGCATAGATCACCTCGTGACCGCCGCCTCCCTGATTGGACACCAGCTTCTTCAGACCAACGATAGCACTCAGTACCAAGGCGATTTTCGCGGTAAGCAGAGCAGTGCCCGCTAGGAACGCGATTTTACCGTATGCCAACTGTGCCATCATCGCTGGAAAATGATTTTTCAATCAGAAGTTTTCCTCAAAAATTTCCTCATAGTTTCAGATAAAAGGAAACTTACCGCCCACTGCAAGAGCGCCTATCATGAGAGCACCGTAGCCTTTGTCCTTCTTCTTGCGACCTGAGGAATGAACGAAAAATCACGATTGAGTAAGTACTACACTTGAATTTTAACTAAATTAGATTGTACTATATTCTGAAGACCGAAAAGAATGATCTGTGGTGCTCTATATTCTTCAACTATTGCATTATCGATGATAATTATTAGAGGTAAAGAGAATTGCTTCGTAATCGCTCACCTTGAAAAGCATCGCCAGGAATCGTGAGTTTCACACTTCTGGATGCCAAGTACTCATGGAACTTGTCGTCCAGTTTCTCGTCCAGCGTCAATTCGGTCCCATTTTCGTCCTTAAATGATCGATCGCCACTCCTTGCGACAGCAGCTGGATCCCTGGCGATGGATATGTAATCGTTCAGCACGTACACCGAGTCGTCTTTCGCTGCTGAATCGAGGATCTCCAATGCTCTCTGCTTCAGACAGTCGAACGCGTTCTTCTCGTTCGCGCAACGGTTGAACAGCTTCGTGTATACATTTTTACCCTCCGTTAGAGCGATCAGCGCCGTCAGATGAAGGACAAGAATGAAATTCACGATCCAGTTCCTCATCATCGTGTTAGGTGAAAGATCTATGTTAACCTTTTAGCCGGCTAAATCGTCCCTCCGGCAATGTCTTTGATGGCCGGCAAGACCGACCGCTTGGAAAATACCACGAACTAATTCGAATTGCTCCGTACCTGGCTCTTTTATAAAGGTATTTCCAGGGTTCTCCCTACCATCGGTCACGTCCTTACGTTGTCCAGCTCACACCTGATCCACGCGCTGTTTAACGCCTCCTCCTATCGGGAGGAGGGATTCCTGAACCAAAACATTGTTGTACAGCCCCGTAAGTAAGTATCCCTCCGACCTGGTTGCTAACCGAAGCCGAAACCACTTCGGTTCGGCCCGCGAATGGGAATCAAAGGCCGGGCAGAAGCGAGGATCCGAAGGCCGCGACAGGATGTCCGTCCACTGCGTTTCTCGATCATCGATCGGGGGCACCGAAACAGAGACCAATTGACTTTGGATATTTTTTGTAATACGATTTTGGTAGATCTTATTTCTGTCATGAACAGTGGAGGATAATTTCAATTTTGTCACATGAAGATTTTAATTATAATTTTGGGGGACTTAATGCGCCCTGTTTCGATCATTTTTTAATTCCATTTTTATTTTCAAATACAGACGTATGTCTTGTGCCTCGAGTTTCGATCGTTTCTATTTTTTGGCATTTTCGTACCCTTTAGTCAATCTCAGTTCTATCCTGAAAAATGGAGGAAAATTCTTATATTCTAACGTGAAGGTTGTATGTATAATTTTGGGCTACCCAGTATCTCCAATCTCGATCTATTTTCTAATTCCATTTTCGTTTTCAAATACAAACATAATGTATGACGCCCCTCCAGTCTCGATCGTTTTTATTTCTCTTACTTCGACGTTTGCGTGACGAAGCAACTTGTTGCATTTTATTTCGCAGCGAAAGTCAGTGGTTGCATAAACCACATTGATGCTCGTTTTTTGTCTACCGCAGGCCCGTAGTCACGCGCGTTAAATCACCGCCGCCGCTGCGTATTAATTAATTAATGCCGCGTAGATACTGTTAATGCGACACAGATTACGGACCATGACGCGCCAGATACGAAAGATCGTCGGGGGCAGCCGGGTGCACAGGAATTATTCTGAAAAAATTGTCCACCGTCCGTGGCCGTTCGGTATCTTGAGATCCAGGGCGTTGATCCTTCGTTCCCCGACTCGGCCGTTCCCATGACCAGCAGCCAGTGATCGCGATTACCCTACTTCGCGCGTAAAGAACACCTCTAATAATATTATCTACGCAGCCTCGGTATAATTGCATAGAAATTTCTTAATGTTTAGCCTCGTGAAACCACCGAAGTAGGCATGAGTCTAGATCTTGAACATTTTCCGGAAAATGTTCAAGAGAATTCCGGAGAATGGAAATTAATTCCATTCGGTAATGTCGGTTCAAATGAATAATTTCTCGATAAATTATCACGGTACACGGTCTTCAATAGAGATTAAGAAAGAATGTAAAAAAAAAAAAAGAAAATCGAACCGTTGGAACGAATCGAACGCCACGCATGTTCGACGATGGCGAACGAACGCTGAAGACGAAACGCAAGATGATGGCCAGACAACTGGGTTTGGCAGGGGCCCATGAAACGTTGGAACGGAAAACGAGCAACTTTTACGGTCGACTGTCCTCCCCACGGCTAATGTATGCTCACCTTGATTGATACACCCTGACACAACGTGCTGGTAACACACGACGGAACGAGGAACCACGGGACCGTGGAGCCTCGCTACTATTACCATTTACGATCAGCCAGACGCATTTCCCGGACGCATTTCTACTCACTCTGCCGCGTGCGCGAGGTTCCACCTTCTTCCGCGGAAGGAACCTGTACAGTTAGACGACCGAAAGAGAGGACGTCGCGATAATGGAGTGAGACTAATGGACTCGCGGAGTGAAAACGACCGGGATAAATGGGAACGGATACGGGGAATATTCGAAATCGATAGTGACGGTGCTAGATCTGTTTTTGGAACGCAGAATGTTTCTGGGCGAGGGTTGATAGTCTTGAATGGGTCAAAATTGGGGCTTCTAGGTTACTTTAATAAGGTGTCACAGACTAGAGATGGGCAAACTAATTATCTAGATAAAAAGTTTCTAATAACGAATAAAAGATAAAAAAAAAGTATTTCGTCATTTTTGATTGTTTAGACGTGGAAATTTCAATTTTTATATTCAATTACTTAATCTCATTAACTGTTTAATCCAGTTTAAAAACCTTGATATTGTGATTTTATTTCTACGCAGGATCATAATTTTGTAGTTCTAAAAATTTGATTATTGTAAATTACGTTTGAGTTAAATTCAGGTTGCTTGAAAAATGTAAGTCAGGTCTAAATAAATTATACGAAAAAATAATTGCATCCACGATATGGCACCGTATCTTCTATGTACCACTAAATTTTGTAAAAATATTCATTTGCTGTTTAAAGAAAATAGTGGTCACGAGGATTTTCTTTTATTCCGACTGGTCGTTGACCTGACATCAGACATTCCCCCCACTTTGGGTTCAATCGCGGACCACAATGGCTATCTTTAATTCGTCCTGTATATAGGCCATTAGTCGGAACATGTGTTTTCCCGCGGAAGAGAGTAGAGAAGTGGACGGCCAATGGTAGGGAGACTTCTACATAATGGAAGCGGAACAATCGGTGACGGAAGAACGAAGTAAAGCGTGGTTGTGCACTGATTGTGAGTCTCTCCTGGAATTTCAATTTTATTCGAGAACGTAGTAGAATCAGCTTCCAAGATGTATCCTAATGAACAAATACCTTAAATCTCTATAATACATGAAGGTAAAATACTGGGTAATAATACTTCGTCTCTCACTAACGTGTGACATATCTTTGGATAGTAATAACAATCTGTTATTTTCACATTGTCACTTATATACGACTTTAGCCTACACTTTGAATTAATCACAGTTCAATTAAACGTTCATTATTCCCGTCAACTGGACTTCATCCAAACGAAGTTCTTCCCACTTCGCTTATTCTTGGCATCATCCGCGTTATCGTACACGTCCACGACTTCCCTGATCACGTGTTGAGTGTACGGCCCGAAGTCACCGGTCTGATATCCTCTGTAAGGTCGATGCTGGAAATTATGATGATCGTAATGAGGATATCCACCGATCGAAGACTCTTGGCCATACGTATGTAAGCCATTGAATCCCCCTGTCGGATAGGATGTCGTGGCTGTAGAAAATAAAGAATTCCAGCCCAGCAAACCGCTGATGAACAGAGCTATCTTGGTCAGAATCAATGCTTTCTTCGTCAGCAACAGAAGGAATCCGAATAGCAGTGGAATCAGCGAGGCTAGGTTGAACTTAAACCCTAGAAGGAAGGGCAATAGCAATTGCCTCATCACCTGTCTTCCTAAAAATAAAGGAACACGTTCGTTTCAGTTCGAATTTTTTTCCAACATCTACAAATCATTACTAAATAATAATTTTATTACTCGTTCAAAATGAAGTGAACGAAATACTATAAAATTATCGATTAAACCCCCTATGAAATATATAAGTCAACCAGACAATAAAAAGAGTCAGTGCTAGATGTTAAGTAAAGTTTCAAAATTCGGTAATAAAATAGATCGAAGAAATCGTTCGTCTACTTCACATTTCCTTCAAACGTGGCAGCTGTTTAATATTCACGAACAGGAGCATACATCTGTGAATACATATTTCAAGAAAGAAAGACACAACTATGTCGAAGTTAACATAGTTCGTTAATAAATGTCTACGAATCTAGACTCTCGATCGTATCTCGAATACCAGAGTCCCCATAAATTCTGAAACGTTCCACGAGCTAAAAGACCACCTCCGCGAGTGGCCTTGACCGTGCTGCCTGCTGGAGGTAATTCCGGAAAGCAACAGGTGGCGAACGCCTCAGCGAAGATGCGAACCCTGACGTACGCGATGGGTTCGTTTCCAGGCTGACGCGGCCAGCACACAGTTCCCTCTACATCATTAGCCTCAACTTCGATCTTAAAACGTGATATTAATGAAACCTACAACCACCAGAGAACTTCGTTCTATCAGAAACAGATCTACCTAATATTCCCAAAAATTGGAACACACAAATCGATAATCACCACGAACGAACTCACCTGGGCCAGCCTGTCTATCGGCGAATACCGTTGGCCTGTCGTTCATCACGAACTCTAGAATACCATTTCCGTTCAGCATGGGTCCAGCCCGTAGCTGGAGACCAGGATACAGGTTATCCAGATTCCACTTCAGGCTTCTACGTTCCATTAACCTGGTCGCTGCTGTCACGATACTCCCGAAATCTTTGGGATCGTAGTCCCAATCCAATAGATCCCTACCATAGCCGTCAGCCCTCTCCAGATGAGCCTCTCCGAATTCCAGATCGTCTTCCTGATTGAACGACTGTAGAGCGCTCAGAGCCCCCCTGTTAACGCATTCTAGAGTACCGAACTCTTTTCTGGTCAGGCAGCTACCGAAAGCCTCGGTGAAGCTAGCTGGATCGTCAACGTTCAACACGGGATCCTCGGTTGGCTCCATGATCACCGTGATCCCAGTGGAGACGAAGATCAATAGACAGAGGCCTCTTAGCTCCCGTTTCATACCGATCATCGGGTTGCTCAACGCCGGATGAGAATAATGCTGAGGATGATCGTCGGAGAAAGTTGATAAGGCTCTGTGTTAATTGCGCCGCGATGAAAGTTCCGCGGCAGGAAGGAGGAATGCGTAATTAAACCGATCGCTTCGCTCTGGGAACAGATAATTCGCGGTTGTATGGCAGGTGAGAGAAGGGGAATGGTTTATGGCTGCCTGGAGGGGGAACGGGGAAACGTAATTAGCCCGAAATTGAAGTTGTTTTTTTTTAAATCTATCTTAAATCTACTTTGTTCATCGTACATTCGCGGTAGTTTATGTAACTGCTGCAGCATTTCGATTCTTTCGATTTGGATTGCTATTTTGATTCAAGAGTTCTATAGGAAATTGGAGTATTTTTTTTTAAATCTACCTTTGTTTATCGTAGATTCGCGGTAGTCTATGTAACTGCTGGAGAATTTCGATTCTTTCGATTTGAATTACAGTTTTGATTCAAGCATTCTATAGGAAATTGAAGTATTTTACTTTTCTATTGGGTTGAACGGAAAGTTCTCGTGTTTCTACAGGATGTTACTGTACCATCCTGTTGCATAATTCATTGGTAGTTGTTCTTTTGTCTTCATCACCTAGTATTCTCTCACGTACTTTCGCCACAATTACTTTTTGAGCTTCCCAGTTTTTTTTTCTCTTTTTGTACATTCACCACATGAAGATTCAATCGTCTAAAGTAAATTTTCATAACATTACAATGAAACATTCCTGCACACATAATTCTACCAAATCGAGACACTTTCCTTGCTACCCCTAAATCTTATATTTCACAACGTTTTTAGGCCCGAGGTATGTCACCCACGTTTCCTATTTCCCTATCCCACTGTCACGCCACCATTCTCACCTAACAAGGCCCTTCCGCATTTTTCCTACGATCCACGAGACTCACAACCGAAGATCACACGTCCGATCATCGAGTCACCATGTCAACGGATCGCTCACGAACAGAAGAAAACCGGCCGAGTTCTGAAATGATACTGTTCATCCAGCACTCACGATCACCCGGCTATATAGGCGTCAAGGGGGCGTTCGCACACACGATGGAACAATCGGTTTCACTCGACGGAACCTTCGTAGCCAGCGAAAGTACCGTCGTCCGTCTGTACAGGTGCCTGGATACACCGGATGCACCCGAATAAGAGCGATCCATCGTCTGTGGTCCGGTGTTCCGGGTCTCGTTACCCCGTCAAAACGTCCAGGTGTCCTAGAAATGACGAAGAGAAACTCTTGCATACCCTGTCCACCATGAACAAGACTCGAAAACTAACCGATATCGATGATATACTAGGCGGCAAAAGGTCTCTCCAGGTCGTCAGTAAAAAATGTTCAAACAAAACTCACCGTCACAGACAGGTAAACACCAGCAGGCGTTAATGTGATTACTATCGGTTAACATGTTGCAGGTGAACGGAGCGAAGTGGAATGGTAGACACCGAAGTAGGATAACAAACATCGACAGAGGCGTTCGTTCATTATAAAATTAAGATTTATTTATAAATAATTGCGATAAGTTACATGGCAGACCCCCAGGCCGGGGGCGATATATAAATAATCATTGGAATTAAATCTGGTGGACCTTGTGCAGGTACTGACTACGAGTCCGAGTGCGTTCGAACCCGGGATCTCCGTGTGAGATCGCACCGAAGTGTCGACCCCTGAAGGGATACCGCACTGTGCAGGGGTGGGATCAAGGGTGCGCGACTACCACCTGATTCACTTGTTCCTAACAAAAGTCTGTCTGTTTCTGATCACCAGGTGAAAACAGTAAAAAAACAACCCCCATTGGAGGTGTCCCAGGTGATCAGTAGCGTCGAAGCTGTACAGTGTCCCATCCGTCGTCGTTAATCGTCACGGTTCGTGTCAAAGTTCGGTCACTGGTCACGTAAACGTTCGTCTTAATCAACTAAACAGGTCCCAGTTGAGTGGTCGGTCTGTCTGTCGGTCCGGTCGGTACGCCTATCCGTTTGTGCACACGGTGCGACGGTAGATGTAGAGGTCGTCCTCGAGGGATCGAGTCGCGCAGGTCCCCCCACCCCTTTATTGGTGATCGCCAGCGGTTGGACGATCACTTTGGCGAACGAAGGTAGAGAATGCAAGAAGCGCTTTGCGTGGATCTGGCCCAGGCGTCGATCTTACTCGGACGGTTTGTACGCGTTGTACGCCAAGTCCGAGCCAGCCGATCTTGCCCAGCCGTGATGATCGTGGTGTTCCTCGTGTCCGTACGAGTGGACAGGATGGGCGACTACTTCGTAGCTCTGGTGCTTGTTGGCGAACAGCTTCTGGAGCCCAATCACGGCGCTGATGATCAGAGCAAGCTTGCCGATAGCCAGAGCCTTCAGGGCCAGAAGAGCCAAAGCGCCAAGAGCGATCGGGATCAGAGCAGCGGCCTTCAGTTTCAGGAGCAACAGGATGGGCAGCAGAGACTTAACGATCCTCTTCTTCTTTCCACGAGCTGGAACGAAATCGTGATCACAGTTAGATCCATATGGTTCTAGGTAGCAAAACGTCTTGTTCAACGTTCAACGCGGGTCAAGATGTGTTACCTTCGTCGAACGAGCGGGAGACCTCTTCAGGAATGCTCAGCTCCACAGTATGGGTAGAGAGGAACTTGGCGGTTCTGTCGAAGAGAGCTTCATTGATCGCGGTCTCCTTGGCTTCGACTTCAGTCGGCAGGGTACTTTCGATGTCATTCAAGGACCTGGCGTTGTCGGCACGACTGGAAAGTAAAATCCACGCGTGAGAACCTATCCCCTCTCGCGAATCGACCTTCGTTCCATTGAATTTGAAACCATCGGCGATTTCACTTAGCAATTCAATGAAAACACCCTAATATCACTTTCTCTCTTACCTGTTCTTCGCCTCTTCAGTCTGCACGATCTTGAACCCGTCGACCACGTCGATGTCAGCGGACCTGGCCGCACGGTCGACGAAACGCAACGCCTTCAGCTTCAAGCACACCGCGAGACTCTCCTCGCTGGAGCACGACGCGTACACGTCGAGGGCCTCCTCGAGGATCGACGTCTGACCGGCTGGATCCTGGCCGGCTGGCGCGGCGATAACGGACGCGGTTAAGACCGCAACGATGACCACGTACTTGAACATATTCTCCTGCCGTGGGGCGTTGCCTCGAACGGGTTTATCACAAAGTTACAAATGAACAAAAAATAAAGAACCAACGAAAACGATGGCAATCTTCTCCGTCCACACGACCGTCCGGTGGTGGTGGTAAACTCCAAAATTCCAGGAGGGTGGCGAATTGGGCGGGGGGAACTTAATCGGCTCGCGGCACCGGTAACTCGAACTACTGCGGCGATCGTATCGACACTGACCGAAAGAATCACGATTGCTGCCTTTTATCCTCGTCGCGAAAGGGGCCCGCGTACGTTTTTGAAATTTTGATGGCCCCCACCGAACGGGCCCCGATGGACCCCCTCCTCTTTCCCCGCTGGCCGGACCGCCCGACCCCGCTGGGTTACAACCCATACGAGCTATTGGTTCTCCTCCTTGGTACTGTCTCTCGCGTCCCCGTGGTTCCTCTCTGTCGCGCGCGCGCCTCTCGTGTCCACGTTGGCTCCACACGCTAGTGTGCCGCCCGGTCCTTCCTCGGTTTTCTCTCCTCTCCGCGCATCGTGGTCCGCTCTCGCTCCCGTCCGCCAGGGACCAGCCCTGTACGTGTTGGTCACACGCACTCATGCGAACCGGGACCGTTCAGGTATGGGTCGAGGGGCGAGAGAGAGTGGAAATTGGTTGGAAGATTCTTGCCCACGCGTACAGTGCCCTTTTCCAGCCGGCGGTGATTCGGGCATCAACGGGGGAGACGAGCCGGCGCGCAGGTCAATAGTCACCTACAGAGGACACCGAGAGCGTCGGCTGGACTGCGGAATACGGGCTGCTGCAGCCGTTTCCGGTAAGAACGGACCAATACGACTGTGGAGGTCTTGCTGTGAGAATGGAACCTGGCTGTCTTTGGATTTGAGACTTGTGTGGTTTGGGTTGGTTTTAGGGAATGTTGCCATTTGTGAGACAAAGGGAATGGAAGGTTGAATTTAAACGATTAAGAGGATTTTTTTGGCGGTGGCTTTTATAAGTGATCTGTTTTAATGCGGTAGAGTTATATTTGATTGGAGACCGAGTTAAGGAGGCTAGGCTTTAGTAGTCTATAGATGGCTAATATAGAATGAGAGCTGTGCAGAAACGAGGTGTCTCGTTTCGGTCGAAGACACGTGGAGAATATTTTAAGGATCGGATATTCAAGGTCAATTATATTCATGGAGAACTGTTGACATTGAAACCGAACCCCACGGAACACCACCGTGGAGCACCGACGTTAAATTTGTATTTGATTAAAAGGACGTTTGGCTTTCGTGCTTTTTGTGGGTAATATTCTGTACGTTCAGTCGTTTATTAAAAATCACGATCAACTAACAGTTGTTTCGAGAATGATATGAAAGTTAATAAGTACAATTCCTATTAAAAGTATTTCAGGAATGTATCAGTCATTTACTGAGCATTCACACGTTTTGCACATAATAAATAATCCTTTTAAAATCACGATCACAATAAGTAATTCTTTTTATAAAAACATCAAGAAACATAAATGCAATAAATTGCTATTTCAACAGCTGTTTCGTTGTAATAAATAAATACATCTGAAACGTCCATAAATTCAACAATTCGGTCCATTTACTGGTTGGTTTGCCCTACCAACATTCCCGGAGGTTTCCCTCGAAAACCGTTCCCACAGTTTCACGCATAATTTCGCCAGTTTCCACGGTCATTTCAGCGACCAAGATATCAAGGATATCCGCGGCGGGTTTCGCTTTCAACAAGCCGTATAATACCTGGCATTATGTAGAAGATACTTCAATCTCACACGCCTCCGCAACTTTCCTCGTCACAGCCGCGGCCTATCAAACAGGATTTCGCGACGTTTTCGCTCCCGCAATGTCGGATAAATATTTCAGGGAATCACATACCCGAAATTCCTTCGTTCTTTTTCTGTCCTATAAGCGAGGGGGAGGGGCTAGATGAAATCTGGTCGTTCGATTATTCAGAACGGTCCCGTGGAGTTTTCTCGCTAACTGTAATTCGCAGTTAAGCCGCATTACCCGTAGATCTATCTCTCCTCGTCTGTTCCTTTTATCTTTCCTCGTTTTCTGTTCGTTTCTTCCTCTCCTTTCAATTTTTTTTTTTTTTTGCCTCGAACCTCCCATTCATCCCAGTCCGAGTGTCATCGGTTATTGGTCCTCCGCGACCGTATCCTCGATGAAATTAATATATTCGCGCGTGTAACCGTCCCCGCGCGGAACGTTTAACGGTTTTTCATGGAATGTCCACGCGGACGAGTTGGGCCCGCGCCAGACCCAACTCCGTGGTGGACACGGGGCCGCGCCTCTCCGCGTGACCCCGAAGACGTCTCATCGCCTAGAAAAAAAAAACACACGGTGAAAAGAAGGGAGAGAAAAAAAAATGACGGGGAGGGCAGGACGAAACGCGACGGCGGCGACGAGGAGGAATCGTTTCCGATCGTGGCCGATGCGGGGAAACGAAACGATCGCCGCCGCCGCGACTTTCTCCGCGCGTCGAAGATGGTAACACGAGGTTACCTCGAAATTCCACGCTTCCTCCGTTGTCGTTCTCCTTTACGTCTCAATTTAATTGAGACTCGTGCTCACTTCGATGAGCAGCTCTGGCTTTAGACAACTCTGATTAGTGGTTCGACGTGGACGAACCGACAGATTAGCCGATTAAAACATTGCCTTATAACATCGAGTCGGACTCGTGGTGACGATATCAAAAGGGATTCAACAATCAGAAATATTATTTGTTTTCGTTGAGTCAATGCGAAATACTAGTTTGCTGATATTTATATTTAAGTTTTAGTGTAAATGTAGAATTGCGATAAGTACAGGAAGTCCTTTTGCTTCTGGGGAATTATTGATGGTAACGTTATTCGGGAGACTGCTGACATCAAGAAAATCGTAGGGCAAGGGGTTAAGGGGTCTTGCCACTGTGAAGCCCGGAGAAATTGCCATTTTTTGGGGAATATTTCTTTTACTGAATGAATTGTTCAACATAAATGTGTCTGTTTATTAGGACAGTTATTGAGAGTATACAAATATTTTGTTTTGAAACTTTTAATAGTTTTATATATATATCGCACTGAAGTGAACGCATTCGGACAATTATGTAATGCTGGCGTAGGTGATACCAGACGAACGAAGCATCTATCGTCGGAACGAAAATTACTTTGACCACTGAAAAATAAAGAAAATGGCGAAGGTTGGAAGCCCAAATTTCGAAAGTCGGAGAATTTATTTAGACATTTTGGACTGTAAAAAGTATAAAATCAAAAAGGTATTTTATAGCCATTGATATGCTGAATAACATCAATCAGAATAATAATGAATCACAATACTCTCCACTTGTATAGGTTGCTTAGAAAAAATAATAATTTGACATTATTAGGTTGAAAATTACATTTATTCTCTTATCTATTTACCTCTTCTAAAAGCTTAATACCTGTGGTCGTCGACGGATTAAAGGAAACCTTTTTTTAACTTTCATACCTGCAATGTAAATTAATTTATATCTTCATGTAATAGGAATCGTTTTTACGAAACAAAATCGTAAATAAAGAGTTTTACGTAGATACAGATTAACGGTAAACGGCTTAGAGAGTGCGACCTGAAACATTCTTGCAGGAGGCACGAATAAGTACTATTTCATCATAAATTTATAGATAGTAGAATATATATTTATATCTCTGTAGATTCGAACTTCAACTCTGAAGTGATAATTCAGCGAGGTCGCCGTTGCTGTTCCTACCACGCGTTGAAATCGCCAGAGAGCAGCGTCTCTCTCACCGCGCGTTGAAATCACCAATGGCTGGCATCTCTCTTACCTCCGCGTCGAAATCACTGGAACACCAGTTGTCCTCACGTCCGCAGAATTTATTGCATCCTACATTTTTATTTCCACCTCCCTATTATCCTATACAATTTCTTTTATCGCTGCTTCTCCAATTTTCTGGTCGTAGTGAAAGTAAAACAACATCGAAACCAGGGGAGAAAACGAAAAATCCATCGAAGCTGCAAACCAGTTACAATACGTACACATAAATTCAACTGAAAATCCAATTACAACATACGAATGAATTTATTTCAATATAAACATTATCAATTGAGTCGTCGATTGAAACGCAACTGATGACCAAAAGAAACTTCTCGACCGCGAACGAGTTCTAGAAAATCATCTACACGTTGAAACGAAAGTGTCTGAAAGCGAACGAAACGAAAAAGAGACCAGGATAAAAAAGGAAGGAGAGAATCGCGGGGCGTTACATCCCACAGAAGACTTTCACTTTATCTCCGATACGTAGGCAGCTAACGAATCAGTGAACTTCGATTCGTTTCTTTCGTCTTCCTCCCTGTTGTTCAACGGTGGGCCCACTTCGTCCAACGACCAGGCTCATCGGCGAACCGTGTCACGAACTCGCGTGTGTGTGCGTTCGCCAGCACGTGACCACCACGATGGAATTACGAGGAGTATATACTACGTACCCACTCGAGGAGTGCTATTCTCGTGGACCAAAACGCTAATCTCGATGGGACAGCCAGGCGAGCTGTACGGGGCTCTGGTAATGGAACACTTTCCTCTCGACCGACGCCGGCGAGAGTGAACTCGACCGAGGATCGAGGTCAGGTCAAGGCCCCCACGTAGCGAAGCCAGGAGCTCCTCGATCTTCACTCCTCTTTCCTCCGTCCGACTCGAGATTTCTTCTCTGATCCTCGTTTTGGTCAAAACTTTGATAAACACGTATTTCTTCGTTCAATTTTATACTATTTCATATTTATCTTTTGTTCAATTTCTTGCAGTTCACTTGTCTTCAGGTTATATTGTTCAATAGACATCTGGACTTGTAACATTCAATAGTTTCTTATGAATTTTTATGCCCTGAATGTGGAAACGGTTTTTTGCCAGGGTCCTCAGTATTCGAAAAATTTGTAAATTTTCAACTTTGAACATTTCTTGTGTTTAAACAGTAATAGTTATTCGGTTTATTGTTGCATCCATTTATTCTGTAAACTTTCCCAGATACTATGGTATGTGTCGTTATTGCTAATGAACATTTAAACAACTCGAGAACTATAGAGAAATTCTACAAGAGATGGCTATTGAATGTTAGAAGTCTGAGAAAAAGTTAAAATTTGTTGAACGGTATTATTGTCATAACCTGGTTACTATTAGATTTTGCTCGAAAAATTCGAATAATATTTTCTCCAGAAAAAGATCGATTGTTTTCTAGAAAAAAGGTGGTTGATTTTAATTTTAACCACAATGTATAGGAATTGCAAATTTTAAGGGTTTTATAGTTATGCCACGTAGATGACGTTCATTTCCCTAATTTATCATGTTTCTTGAGCAGTTGTCATTGACAATGGTGTTCTTACAGTTGCTCGATGAGTCCGCTTATGGCAAGGAAGCCTGTATACCACACAGGTTGCGAAAGAAAGTGGTCAGAAGTGGGTCTTCCGTGATTCGCGAACGAACAGGTGCACGAACGTCTGTGTTTCGTGATTCCCTATTAATCCTGCTGTTAAATTCCACAAACCGCAAGAAACTAAAAAATCTATCACACAAATCCGTGGTTCCCTAACATTTTTCTTGTGCTTTCATTTACCATTTCCTGCTCTGCAAAATCAAAGTGACCCCGTGCAATAAAAAAAAAAAAGAAACAGATCCAGGCAACTTTCCATATACGTTGACAGCATGATTCAGCGATGCTTCCTCCTCCGTCATTTTACACTTCAAACACCTCGACTTCTTTCTCATCCGTACTATCAACATAATCCCGAAACCAAGTATCTATCGCCTAAAATAAAATAATAAAAGGGGACTCACCGAAAGAAACGGTAAATACGAAATTAAATAGTCGACGATCGATCAAAACCGTGTCGGTGGGTGTACAGTAATCTCGAATATACATATATGTATATACATACCATACGGGTTGTCACGAATTTCCCACAAGATCTACGAAACGAAAGCGGGCGTATCGGTCGTATTTCCATCGGAACGATAATTACCACTAAGCCCGGTCTGTCCCACTTGACGGCCGGTTCTGTCCTACTTTCGGATCGATCTTAACCGAATCGACGACCAAATCGCCGTGGCTAATTAGCAAGCTTATCCTTTCCACGTAGACACTTCCATCGTAGGATGATCAAAGGTATAGGACAACTTCGTGGCCATTGCGAAAAAGGAGGTGAATTATTCATAGGGCTCGTGAACGGACTTTCGGAAGTCGGAAAGGGCCCCAGATGGCGGCGTCATCTTCGGAACGGGACCACCTGACCCGAAGGTGTGTTCGAGGATCGATGAACCTCGACGCTGCGCCGGCGCGGTAGGGAGATCGATCGACGACGACCATGAGGAGGGGTGATGAGGGGACGAAACGACAGAGGGGGAGCAGAGAGACCACGCTCAGCTTTTTCTCCAGGATGGTAGAGAGTGTTAGGCGCACCTTGAAAAGGCTCTCAGCGCGGATGCTGACTGGCCTGGTCGGTCTCTGGTCGGCCTGGTTTACTTCTCGAGCCAGACGTGTGTCCGCCGTCTCGTTTGTGTATACGTGTGCATATACGTGGCGGACGCATACACGAGCAATCGAGCCTCCCAGGTTCCCAATGGCAAGTGCGTAAGGTGCCAGCGCGTTTCCAGTATGTAGGTAACGCGACTCTCTGCCTCTTCTCTGCGTCTCCTCCGGCTGAGGAAGAAGCCGGAAGTGCTCTCCTGGCCTGCATCCAGCGCTGCTCGACGCTCGAGATGCCGATCGACCCGTTCGAGATCGTTCACCGGCAAATCGACCTTTCTAATGAGGTCTCGCGTGCTCCGTTGAGCGTTACTTTCAATGGAGCTGCAAATTCTTGGGGCTAAGCTCTGATTCCCCGTGCTTCGTGTCACGGAGCATCATCTAAAGCTTGTCGCGGATTTTCACGGCGAGCTTCACACCGTTTTAATCGGTCAGGGACCGGAACTACGGTCCAAGAGTGGAAGTACCTCAGGGTTCGGATAAGAAGAAGACGATTGTGAACGGTACAAATGTTAATCTTAATATATTTGCGTATCTATAAATATACATGGCTGCGACGCAGCACCGCGAAGAACAATAATAAATAGTGAGGATGACGTGGAACGGGCGCTCGCGATGATCTTTCGATGGGGTAGGAGGATAGAGAAGGATCGATGGAGAAAGGAGGAAGATGAAGTGTCGGATCGAAGTGAGGAAGATGAAGGACGATCGAGGAGGAAAGCGACGCCCGTGCGGTGGGCGCTTCGTGAAAGCGAAGTGCAACGAGATTCTGATGTAGACTCGCGCAAGACTTTGTTTTCCTAGGGGGACGATGGCTTGTAGGCGGAGTAGGCGAGGTCGTGGCTCGATCTTGCCCATCCGCTCGATCCGTGGCCACCGGCGACCTGAACGACCTCGTGGCCGTGATCGCCGCCTCCTGACACGAGCTTCTTCAAACCGATGATAGAAGCCAATACCAAAGCCAGCTTGCTGACGATCAACGCTTTACCGGCCAGAAGGGCCAGTGCCCCGAGTGCAAGGGGCACCAAGGTACCACCGATCAACAGAGGTATGGCCAGAAGACCGCTCATATTCTTCTTCTTCTTACGACCTGGAAACGACAATACGCTTAATCAGATTCGGCCAGCGAGGCGTGAACAATGGAATAATGACTGGTATATCCGTCGAATTCCGTTGGAAAAGAGTAGGCTATACGGTCTACTGAACCGAGAAATGGATTTCGGTTGATTGGCTAGAATTAACCGGACCTGAAGACATTTTTCCCTTCGGACTTAATATTGTAAGAGATAATATTTTCGGCTGAAAAGTTTTGCACACTAAACAAAACTAAATATCGAAATGAGGCAGAAAATAAATAAATGTTTGTGTTTCTCACCTTCCTCCACGAGGCTACGTTGCAGATCCTCGACATTGGGTAATTTCAGTTTCAAGGTATGACTCTGGAAGAACTTGACGACCTTGTCGTAGATCATCGTGTTCAGCGCGTCCTCTTTGTCGTCCAGAGCCCTGGGCAAGCTAGCCTCGATCTCTTGAAGTGACTTTGAAGGTTCCTCCTCGTTCACGACAGGATCGTCGCGCACGAAGGTGACACCCTCGGCCACGTTCAGTTGGACGCTCCTGTACATCCTGTCCACCGCTGACAAGAGTCTCATTTTCAGACATGGGCTGAGCTCCTCGGCGGAGCATTCTTTGTAGACTTGGTATATCTGTCGGAGATCGCCGAAGATATTGCTGTTGGCGGGTGACCTTGCGGTCTCCTCGTCGATCGAGTTGGTCGTCGGGTTGGTCTCGGCCGACCTTGCCGAGGCCGTAGCCAGCAGCACGGCCAGGCACACGTAACGGTGGGCGAAGCGTCTCATCGTGTACGAGCTTGAATTATTCAGAAACATGAAATCAACATCCATTAAAACTGTCTTTATTAAATACCTCTACGACACCGATGAAACGTGAACTCGGTGCAAATAATCTCGTGTATACCCTCGTCCACGAATTCTTCGAGGATCCTCTAAACCAGGAAGATTACAAATGGTGGATTTCGCCATAAAATTTCTCAAATACCGAAAACCCATATTGCCCTATTTTCCAACCCCAACCATGAAAATAAGAAGGTAGAAAAGGTGCCCGAGTTGTATGGCGCATCTGAGCTCGTATGTGAAAAAATTGGTATATAAAAGGGTGGCCACCACTGCTCTAAACCCAAATTAGAGGATCCATAGTCACTTTCCAGTTACGGAATACCTACCAAAATGGATCTATATCCACGCGATCCGATCGGAATCAAGCACCTCGTCTTCGGTTCGCCTAACGTCCTCGTTCCCTCCGATTTATCCGACGATATTCGAACGATATTCAAACCACCACAACTCGTTTGTTGCCCACGCCGCGAGATGCGTGCGTACAGAGAGCACTGTAACTGGACTGTCCGTAACGGAAGCCCTGCCCTAGCTCTATATATCTGGTCAGGTGTACCTCCTGGTAGACGCTAGCGATATTCATCCCCACCGTGGGGCCCCCCTGTACAGTGGACAACCATTGTGGGAGCAATTTTCATTGCCAAGGATCAGTTGGAAGAGCTGGTATTCGCGCGACCAGAGCAGCCACGGAATTCGTTCCCTCCTATTTCCCCGTACACCCCACCAGCCCAGACCGATAAAACCGGCGAACCCGACGAATCGTTTCGCTACTCTCCAACGGACTCCCTCGTCGTACACCAATCGCTTCTAATCCAGTCTAACCGGATCACGATGACGGTCTCTCTGCATAGACGCCGTGGCTTCCGCTGCACACACGGCCACGTGCCTAGTGTTTAGATACGCGAGCTAGCAAGCGGAAGCGCGCTAGCGATCGGTGTCCTTTTGCCGTGATTTCCCCTCGTGTTATCGGTGAATCTCGATAAGCCTGAAATCGAAAGCGACCTGATGATTCCTGATCAAGTCTGTCGATCTATCTTACCTTCTTCCTAGAGTGATCGATAAGATCGAGGATCCTTTCTTCCGAGACGATCCGTGTCGATCAATTGTCCTTCTAGGGTAAACGTTTACCATTTTGGATTTATCAATCCTCGATTCTACGAATATGGTATTTACAACCGGGCATTAAGTATCACGCGTGAATGTTTCACGATCAAGTGTAAATGTATCGATTAGTCTCGAAATGAGCAAAGTGAAACCCGCCGATGCAAAGCGTACCGTTAACCGATCGCGCGCTATCAGCCGACCCGGTTAGCTTTTCCCCTTATCCACGTCGTCCCCTGGAATCCTTTTGCCGTTTCTCGTCCTGGACGCCGTCTGGTCTAGGTAACCAGGTCACCGCCAAGTGAAACCACGTTACCCGCGTAGACAAGCGTAGGCCAGAGGGTAGCAGGAGGGGGAGTTTGTAGGTGATATAGTTCTCTCGATGTTTCGCGAGCGCTGAAGCATCGAAAACCACCGAGGCAAGATCAGAAATTTCGGTATAGAGAGGGGAGGTTGGCCCTGTTCCGGTTCGATTTCTTTTCCCTCTGTCTCATCAGCCTTCCTCGATCACGATGAATCAGCGACTCGCCGAGTTCTGTCAATCAACGATGATGCCAGGACATCGCAGGAAGGATCTTAAAAAAGGTTCTTGGCTTTGTTCGCAATCAGACTTGCCGGATCTTCGGCTGCATTACCGATTTCCCGGCCGTGTGCGTGGCTGTGGAAATGATTCACACGGCGAAAGCTAGGAGAGTCTCGCGGAATCGCGTGGACCAACCTCGTCCTGTGTCCAATTTCCTAGCAAGAGGAAGAGGGGGGGGCAGAGTTTCCGGTTCGACAGGCCGCGATCTTCGACGCCGGTCATTTTCTGCATCGCGATCCATGTTGATGGTAGCCTGGTCACGCGTCACTTGCTCCCCGATGAAAACGTCGTTATTATATCTGGCCCCGACGATTCGACGTCGAGACATTAGCCGCGGAATGCAGGTTACCGACGTCCGAAGTTTCGCGTATCCGGGGCTATGCCTTGCTCGCGTACCACCTACCGGTTATCTATGCAGAGGTAATGAAGGTGTTTTGCAAAAGAATAACTCTCGGCGTGGCTTTTACGAGCTATCCGTACGACCATGGAACGGGACTGGGTCAGCAGTGACACAGGAGGATTTTTCCACGATATGGTTTACGAGGGGACGTTTTCGTGGAATGCAAAACCAATGGAATACGATTTCGAGGCAACCGAAGGCGTCACGGGAACGACGATGAGGATCGAGCTCGTTCTCGTTCGTAAAGCTTCACGGTTCGCTGCGCTCTTTGTGGTCCTCTTTTCTGTTTCCACTTGAAAATAAAGGATAGACCTTATCAGGATGTACTTTCTACGAGCTGCTGGAAGGAATCCCCGTGTTTACGCGTCGCTCATTAAAGTCGTATCTGGTTCATGTATCAATGGATACGTGTGGTTTATATATATGCTACTTTCACTCGTTTTCATAAATATCAGCCGCCACTACAGCGGCTGGTGTATACAGACAGCTCATGTGGGAGAGGATATTTTTCTTTCGTCTGTGTGGCACACGAGTGCAACGATAAAGGGTCGCATCATTTTGATTTCTTTGGGACTGGACGCCTGCCAGGCGCACGCCATCACTTTATTACAAAGAACAACGGAGGCAATAACAAATAGCACACGATGGTCGAGTAATCAAATAAATACTAAGTCGTGTTAGCCGCAGGGGAATAAATAACAAAGTCTCGGGTAGCAATGTTATACATTGTGAACGAGTATCCCGACGAGGCACTGGTTCGTGGAACAGGAAGACGATAGAAGAGGATTAGATACGAGGTACATGGAACAATGAAGAGGACGAGAAAAGAGGATTAAACAAGAGGTACATGGAACAGGAAGAGGGCAATATAACAGGAATAGGTAGGAGAGTCTAAAACGATAGGAACAATAAATTAGTGTATAAAAATAGATAGTAAGAAAGGGTTGGAGAGAGAAAGGGGGGAGAAGATCAGACATGGATGAATGCTAGAGAAACGAAAGGGAAGAACGAACGAGGACCAGGTGAAAGTAGGAATGGGGAGAAATATTTCTATCGGACGCTTCATGCTTGTGGTTGTGGTTGATGGGCGCGATAGGCCATCTCGTGAGCGTCCTGCGGCAGACTTCTAGCCCAGCCGTGTCCACTGCTGCCGCCTGAGTAACCGCCGCCATAGTCAGCGCCACCACCACCGTAACCACCGCCACCGTGGCCTTCGTCGTGGCTGACTACGTGGCTGTTGCTGTGATGGGGATGCGAGACGACCTCGTAGGTCACGTGCTTTCCGCTCGAGCTGAGCAGCTTCTTCAGTCCAATAATGGCGGAGATCACCAGGGCGATCTTACCGACCAGCAGGGCCTTTCCAGCGATCGCGGCGATCGCCCCGAGGGCCAGGGGCAACAGGGCTGCAGCCTTTAACGCCAGGGCCATCATCAGCGGGCCGAGAATTTTCTGGGCCTTCTCTGTAATCGTTTCAATTAATCGTTAGTCGAGTTGTACCCCACATGGGAACAGGATCATTCAAGGGGATCCTCTACGGTCGATAATTCAGACTCCTAGAACCGTTCAACATGAAGTGTCCAATTTACGCGAGAAGCTACTTGCTCCGCTAGTCGCCTCGTTCCAACGCATAATCCTCTTATACCTAATTTACCGCTCAAACGCGTGCACGCTTGGCGTACCATAGCCGCGATTTCTCACCGATTACGGTCCGTATAATCCATGCATGACTGTCATTTCTGACGAGGAACTGTATATGTATGAATGAGGATTTCTCACGAAGGTGCCGGTGGAACGCGCTGCAGGAACACGACCCGACCTTTCTCAGGATGATGGTGATGATGTTGTTCGCTGGGTTTACGAGGGAATCCTCGAAGTGGAATAGGCGAAGGTCAAGAAGATGTACCCCCCGCGCGCACGGGATGGAAAGTATGTCAAAAATCTCGAGATATCTCTGAGAGATCTATCGCTGTCTCTGTTCCCGTGTAAACCCTCTCCACGCGTCGCCGGAGGTGTTCTCAAGGGGAAGCGGAACCAGTTCCTCAGTGGGTCAACGTCTCGCGATCAGCTTCCCCCTCCTACCCTCCCGGGGTCGTCGTCGTCGTCGTCGTCACCGTTGAATAGAACGACGACGAACACGGTTGACACCGACTACGTGAATTCCAGTTACCAGCCCGTGAACGAGAACGTTAATTACTGCCCCGGATAATTGGGTGATTACAATGCCCCCCATGGGTCGGAAGTAGCTACATTGTTCCTGGATCATTCTGATTGTTCCTGGTTTAATTGAGACGAATAATCGTGCGAAGTAATTGAACGTCTTGGAGAACTATGGTGAGAAATTGCCGGTTGAATTGATCGGCTAATGATTCGGGGATTCGGAATTGTTTAACCTACTTCATCCTGTTATTACAGTAAATTATCGATGAGAGTCCGAAGGCTCGTTTGACAAGGAGAGATCCCGAGGTGTGACGCTGACTTTTTCATGAGATTTAGTACAGTGATAGAGCATGGAATTTTGAAGCTAACGATTTTTCTTTCAGCCACATATGGACATTAGTTTATGAACTGTTTAATGTTCAGTGTTGAGCAACCTTTAAACACTCATCGATGATTCACTGTAGTTCGAATATGGTAAAAGAAGATTCTACTTGGAAACTTGGAATAATGTTTTCAAGCTTTGGGTTTCTTTTCGGATAACGATCGAATATTTATACTCACTCTTTTTGCCACGGCTTTCGACAGCGTTGTCGGTGATGTCCTCGAAGCTGCGACCAGCAGACTCGATGGCTCCGAGGATGTCGGTGCCTTTAAGATCGACCTTGACCGTGTGTGTCCTCAGGAATCTTCCCAGTCTATCGAACAACAGCGTCTCTAAGTCGCTGGACTCGATGGACCTGCAAAAACGCAATTTTCCATTAATATTAATACTTCATGTACCACATAATACCGTCAATGTCAAAATAGAAATATGCCAGTAAAAGAAAAATATCTAGTGCACACAAGAAAAGTATTCTATCCCAGAAAATCAAAAAGATACGGTCAAACAATAATTACGACACGTGTATTCACGAGTGTTGCGAAATAAAAACCGACCTAGGCGCGCCTTCCTCGGCGTTCGATGTCTTGACCACCGTGATTCCTTCCGTGAGCGTGATATCCTCCTTGTCAGCGAGCATTTTGTCCATGTACGAGAATACTTTGTACTTGATGCAATTGATCGACTCCTTCTTCAGACAGTCGCTGTAGATGGTAGCCATCAGGTCATTCTCGGTCCCGCCGGGTTTCTCGTTCGCCGGGAGCGTGAGGGCCGCGGCAAACACCGGAAGTAGCCAAAGAACGGTCACAGTGTACTTGGTCATGTTGTCCGGTCAATCGATATCACCGGCACGGTACGATGAAACAGGTGCGAATCGATGCGCCGATACTTCCTCGTCGTTTATCCTTTGACGGTGTCCTCTATTGGCTCCACAGGCCTGTTTGTCGGCTGCCTCTGTCTGTTTTGCGGCTCGGTGAACGTGGACGCCAGGATGCGTCGATCGAACCTCGTGTGTTACATCCAAAAGAGGTTGCATTGCTTTTATACCGAAGTATCGCACGAAGGGGAGACCTCGTGAGCCACGGGCCACCGAGAGTTCGCGTTCGCTTGGTGCGCGCTCTCTCTCCGACCGCGCTCTCTCCCCTCCCCCTGTGTTGTGTCTCTGATGCTCGTCTCCTCGCCGCCTCTCTCCTATCCCTCTCCGTGTCGACGGGGTCCTCTCAGGGGTCCCTCTCTACGATGGGCCCTCCTCTCCCTTTCGGGCATCCCTCTCCTTCGTTTGAACAGGCATTATTTCGGCAGGGCAAAAAGTTCCCGCTCTAAGCGACCGCCACGGCCTAGGGAGGAAGGGGAGGGAGGGGGACGGGCCCTGAAGAGATGGGACCGACGGATGGGAAATAGGAGAGGGACGCACTTGCATTTTCTTTCTCGTTCTCCTCGTCTTCCGCTCGACGGACACCTCGTTTCCCTCTTTCTTACCGTCGCCTGCAGCAGACCTACTTCGGGCGTCCATTAAGGTCCGATGGTAGAAGGGAGACCCCCCATCCCCCCTCTCCGGCCGCAGGGGCCCGCTCCTCGAATGAGATTCAATGAGGGAAATCTACGGCTGAGGTCGTGGGGAAGGATATACAACGACGAACAGCTCCCTTGTGATTTCTCGCACGACTTCCCGCGTGTGTCTCGCGAATTGCCATGCTATTATTCACCATGAGAGTGGTTTCCCCGTGGTCCCGGGCGACACCCTTTATTTTCTTTCTTTCCTCGTTGCTTCTGCATTCGACGAGCATCGCGGCCGTAAATTCGCGAGGTCGACAACGTGTGGCCATCCGAGGCAGGGTCACGACCGACGGGAGAATTTTTCTGCGGGAGTTGTCATCGTTTTCTCCGGAAGGAAAACGTTTCTATAACCTGTTTCTTCGTTCGAGTCGTCCCGATAATACGCATTTCGCGTTGAATTACGTTCTGCTCTGCGATCGCGTGCCGATGTTTAACGCGCGGGGACTGATGCGACCTCCTCCTCAGCACGCGTTCAAATCGTCGAAATTACCGGAAATATCAATTGCTTGTAATTATGTTTCACGACTTTATTACACCGATACTGTAAGTACTATCCATTTAAATGTTGTATTCCACTGTGTTATTTACAATTCTGTACCTTAAAAATTTGAAACTTCGTACAATCTTCAACTCAATTGGAAGTGTCCACAGAGTCTTCTCAAAAGACCTCATCAAGACAACCTTTCGGAGTATTTATTTTGTGTCAACTGAATTTTACTGCATCACTAGAGTACCATAAATTGAGGTATCTTTAACTCAGTTAGAGGTTTGGTTCCAAATTCAAAAAATGATTATTTCCTATTTCCAAAATCTTTCGCCGGTATTTTTAAATGAAATACCTTCTCACATTTAACGTAACAATTTTCAATGCTGCAAATTCGAAAACGATCATTTTCCAATCGAGTCAAAGTTACCCCAACTTGAGGGTACACATAAAAAAAATAAATCCCATCAGCAAGAACCTGCGAAGGTACATTGGTGTCCGCTATAAATCGCTTGATCATTAATTGTCGCAGGCACATCGACGCGTCCAAAGGAAAAATTCGTCGGTAGATGATGGACGCGAGGATATTATCTCGTAAACGGGGTCGCTCACCCATTTACAACTGGGTCGAGCGTCGGTCGTTCAATTTCGGCTCCCCTATCTCTCTTTCCACCTGCCTCCATCTCCCCTCGATCCATTCCATTTTTTCGATCCTCCGTCTCTCTTCTGTCTGACCGCCAGATAAAGAGAAGACACGTTTCCCCCGGTCCCCTCCAAGTTTCGGGGATCAAGATCGTGGCCCGGGTCCACGAGAGCGAACGTCGCCCCGGGCGGAATCATCCACCTGACGCTTCGACGCGCGTTTTCGTGGCGCACATACCTGTGGAACAAAAGCGAAACGCTTCGTGTCGTCTCAAAATACATGTACACTTAGGAGCAAACTCGACTACCACTAGGGGAAAAATTGACGTAGAAGGGCCTTCTAGCACTTGATAAATTTATTTCAAGTACTGAAATAAATGTTAAAATGCATGGTAATTTGGCATCAATTTCAGGAAGTTCCGAATTCAAATGGTAGAAGGCCTTTTCCCTACGCAACGGTTTTCCCTGGCGGAAGCCAAGTTTGCTGATGGGTGTACACTTAGGAGCAAACTCGGGTTCCACTAGGGGAAAAAGTGACGTAGGGAAAAGGCCTTCTACCATTTGAATTCAGAAGTTCCTGAAATTTATGCCAAATTACCATGCATTTTAACATTTATTTCAGTACTTGAAATAAATTTACCAAGTGGTAGGAGGCCCATCCACTAGGGGAAACAGTGACGTAGGGAAGGACCTGCTGCTATTTGGTATCGAGAATTATTGAAATATGATTAAACATTTATTTTAGTATCTGAAATCAATTTACCAAGTGTTAGGAGGTCTATTCCCTACGCCACTTTCTTCCCTAGCGTAAGCCGAGTTTGCACGTCAGTGTACACGGTCGAACCTGAGATGCAATTTACGGGGAGGGTGAGGGGAATCATGGATGGGAAAACGGTTTCTAGCGCGGCTATCGGGGACGTTTTAGTTAGAGATCGACGCAAACCAGCAGAGGGGAATCCGAAGGTTAAAGAGCTCGCCGCCAGCAGAGAGGAGCAGACGCGGCAGGCACACTTTCGGGCCGATCAAGAAAGTCGCCGAAAGTTCGAAATGCTTCTCGAGCTCATCGAAAGTTCCGTCCGTCGGGATCGCGCACGTGTGCGCTGAAATCGACGAAGAGAGAGAACGATCGTCGTGGGGATAAACCTGTTACGGGGTACAAAGAGCCCTTTCCTGGTCGTCGAATTAGACGTTGATCAGATGGACATCGACGGGGACAAGAGACAGACCTCGGCTGAAACGCAACGAATTACGGGACGCACGATGGCACGGAATAACGGTCGGTTGGATGATTGTTTCGAAACGCGCTCGTTGAAGTTCAAGGTGTAGCCGTGAATCTGAGGCACCTCGTGATCCGGGGACAATGTCGCCGCGGTGAGAGTCACCATCCTGTCTGTGCACCTTGACTCTCTGAACGAACGGGAACGTTTACTGTTTCTTTGGATGTTCTTTCCTTTTTTTTTTTTTTTGGTAGAATTATCTGCAATCAGAATGCTAGTTATTCTGTGAGCCGATGTGCTCAGTTGACCCTCTAACGCTCAGTGTTGCAACCGATGAGATACTCATTTCAAAGGTGCGTCGATTTCTGTCGCTGGTTAATATTCTGTTAGCGAGAATCCGTAGTTCCATTCGAGTGAATTATGTCACGACGTTTTTAGTTGAGATATCCAAATATTGTATAAAAAAATGTGAAAAAAAAATAGATCTGTCCACCATGTTTCTAGATCATCCGAAGTTAATCTTAGGAACATCCTAGAGATGTTCAAAATGGACGTAGGATATTCGGGGATAAACTGAAAATGAAATGGACGTCCTCATAATTTTGAAATAACGATTTAGGGCCTGGGCGTTAAAGGGTTAAGTATTGGATGCCCTTGGACCCTCGATCCGCCAGCCAAAAACAGGTGGATCTGGGACATTTTTGACCCACATTGAAAGTTTAAATACTAGAAATCATCCAGTATCGATTATGACATTGGACCAGAAACATGGGTCAAAGGTGACCCGACTCGACAATAACCTTGAGACTTTAACCTTGTAGCAGGTCTGTTGGCCATGTTTCTTCAGATGAAATTGATTTTAAATGTAATTTCCTGTTATTACACTTAGAAATGATCTATTTATAACAGTTCTATTTCAACACGGCAATACTTACGCGGGAAACTTAGAATTCGCGGTCGTCAGTGGATTAATTAGCCATTAGAGGACGTGGTCTAAATATGGGCTGCCACTTTTACTTCAGGACTTATTACCACATCTGTCGAAGACTTTAAAGATGTAACACTTCAATGTATCTAAACCATGTTTGCTTTATGATATGGAATTAAGATGAACTTCTTTTATTTTCGAGTCGTAGTTTTGCATTACTAATGACGAAGCACCTAACGTGACTCTATACAGGGACTTGCAGATTTGTTCACAAGTTACTTTCAATTCTACCATTCGTCTATAACAAATTCCCCTGAATTTTAAATCAAAATTTACGGTTCGATATATGTTTCGCGAGTAGATTCAACCAGCCCATGTTTAGACTCCAACTATTTCGACCACTCGAAAATATTCGAGTACTCGAATGTTCTCAAGTGAACTAGTATTCGAATTTCCTCAACACAAAATGTCAATGTCGTGCGTGGGCGGTCGAATAAAAAGAAGAAAAAAAATAATAATTCGTCCGACTTCCAATCGCACGACCGGAAAAGGACGGTTCCCCGGCGATCATCCGTCGAAAGAATCCGTGTCGCGCTTTTACCAGATTTTACAGTGTTGTATACATATGTATATATCGTGATTCGAATCGCCTGGCGATCGGGCACGACGAACGGAGGGGGAAGGCGACTGTCGATGTCCACCGGTTGACATTAACCACTATCGAACCGGCTGGTATGCCGGCTAATAAGGCACTAGGAAATCCAAGCGGGCGGACAAAGTGGTAGGGAGAGTCCAAGTAACCCAGTGACGCATGAGAAACCGTCTTGGAGTCTAATCGTGACGTGAGAACCGTACCGAGATTTAGATACGAGCCGTAGAAGCCAAGCTCTCGTTCGGCCCACCGTCGCTTTAACTTTACGACTCTCTAATAATGAGATACGGACACGGTCAGCCCGCGCTATGAACGTTACGAGCACGGTGAAATTCCGCTTTTGTGAATCCAAAGAAAGCCTCTCTATTCATCCGCCAACGGATCCGTGACGACGGGGCGCAGCGCCAATTTTCATGGGCGCCTCTTTTTTATTCTACCCTCTCTGTCTGTCGGCCCAGTTTTACTTCGGGATTTTTAACGGTCGTTGCATTGTTCTGATTTTGTTTGTCCGTGTTTTCCACGACGTTAGATAGAGAAAAATTGGACGATTTATAGAACTGGTTGCTTATGGAATGAGACTTCCAGCTAAGGAGTTCTCGAACGCATCATTATGTCGTTACTACAGGAAATAATCGATGAGTGCTCGGAGACTCCTCGGAACTGACAAGAAGAGATACCCCGCTCTAACACTGACTTTTTAACACTAGAAGTACCCAACCATATTAAAATGTTATAACAATACACTTTTTTAGATCTTTTACAACTTTTATTATATGAAAGTAAAGAAATCAGTTAATTTATAAATTTGTAAATTTTCAAAAGTCGGTTATGTTTATTGACAGATAGAAATAGGTATACGTTTGTTGTCGGTAGTTTTAGTGTTAATGAGGTTTGGTGATAGAGCTTGGAATTCTGGAGCCAATGATATTTATATCAACCGCACATGGCCATTAGTTTATAAAATCGTTGGATTCCGGGTGATGGAATCTGCACGACAATTTTTAAAATAAAACTTCAACAGTAGTCATTTAACAGGTGGAAATTCTCGACCGTATATCCAAAAAATGACCTCGAGTAAATTATTAAAAAAAAAGAAAAACGTAATTAAGGACGTAGCTCTGATATTGGCGCAGATTGTTAAAACGCGTGCAACCGTAATTTCACCCGAATCATCTTCGTCATTTTCACTTCATTGTTCCTGCAGAAGGGTTAACGAGAAATTAACGAGCACGAGGGGCAAGTATTCAGGTTGCCAGAGGATTCGTGTCGACGGCTCGCGCAATAAGAGGCCCGGGTAGATAATACGACGAGACGCAACGAGACAAGTCGCCTGAATACCGTAGTCGCGATTAATGCACCGTGTCTCCCCTGCCCGCGTGACTTCGCCACCAACGAAAGTCCTCCTCTTCCTTTCGAAATAATTCCGCGGATGTTTCTTTTTCCCGCGGGATCCCTCAGCGATCCTGTCGCGGCACAGGCTGCAAGTAACGAGCCGTGACACTCGCGGTATTCCTCTCTTCTCCCCTGATTCGTTTCACCTTCGTTCCATTCGATATCGCGATAGCTTACGCGCCCGTTAATAAACATTCCCGTTTAATTCTGATTGTGCACCGTTTTTACTGTGCCAGTAATTTATCGTCAACTTTGAAAACAAAAATCAAAAGCTTAATATATATGGGGTGTGGTCATAATTACGGACGTTTTAAGCATATTACTACATGAATTTCATATTCTGAAAGTCAACATCTGGTGCTAAACAATTTCGTTTGTGTACAGGAAATTTTTTAAACAAAAAAAATTATATCTTTGTAATGTATTTAATTAAACAGAAATAGAGGTTTTTGTTAGTATTACGGAGCACTTTCAGTAGCTGAAGATGTGCCCTGTATTATTGTGTCTTTAAATGTCGGTTCTAACCTAGCTTTTGTGAGGTTGGGCTAGTTTGTTCCAAATATTGTTAAATTGTAGTATATCATTTAATTAAAAAAACAAGTAATTATGTAATAAATTTAATTGATGTAATATTACTGTAATTCACTCTTGGTTTAACGAAAATTAATTTATGGGTAAGACCCACGGAGGCTTCGTGTTACGGACAAGATTGAAAATGTTGTTTTACAGATTTTACTTAAAAGAAAAAATGAAAATATTCGTAGGTTTTCTACACAGTTTTATTATATACTACTGCGCGATGGCCCAGAAACGACGATGCAAAAATCATTTTTACTGGCAGCAGCATCATCGCCGAACGGAAGAAACCGGCAGTTTTACGCCAACCTCCTTTCCAAACCGCTTATTTTCCCTACTACATCGTGACTGCAGTAAGGACATCGGTCGCGAAAGATCAAGAATGACGAACGCGAGCCTCGCGACCTCCCGTCGTCAAACAACACACCCATCTTCGCTCCGACCGGATATGCACCTTGCCGGTGCACTTTCCCCTCGAACGGTGCGATTCTCGTTCGACACGACGATTTTCCATCTCGTCGACGGCCGAGATCGTAACACGAGGAAGTTGACCGGGCCGGTTTCGAGGCCGCGCACTTGAAATTTCGCCGGTGAAACAGCGAAAAAAGAAACCGTTTCGGAGGTTCCTGGAAGGTTGGAAAGTCGGCGAACCAAGCGCGTGATTTCTCTTTTCGCCATGGATCCGGGAGGATTTTCGACTTACGGTCGAGCCTGAATGCCTGCTATCGATCCTTCCATTTAATCGACTCACAGATTACTTACAGGCGCAAAATACATTTCGAATTGTGACGTTTTATACGGAAATCAGAAAAGATTTTTTACTGGTAGCCTGGGGCGAATACAGCTTATTGATCCTTCTATTTGTTTAATTAACTTAAAAATAGGTACTATCGTTTTGAATACAAATTTCAAATCGTGATGTTTATAAATCAATCCTGGTGGCAGGACCCTTTTATTAATCGTTTTATCTGTCTGTATAACCTAAAAATAGCTACTATCGTTTTAAATACAAATTTCGAATTGCCAACGTCTATAAGAAACTGTTGTGCACGTTGTAAGAATGTCCGAGGAGTATTTAACGATAATGGAAATACAGACTTGTAGACAGTAATCGCATAGAGTGATGGAATGTATATTATGTCGGTGATGGATGAAACGTGAATAGTGAGAAAGGAATGGCAATTAATATTATAATTTAGTACCATCTTACTGGTGACTTTAATGCTCGGGGAAGCGACCGCGGTGATTCCAACGCCTGGAAAACGAGCGCATGCGGTGACTTCGACGCGTGGACGGTCGTAACCGCGATGATTTCAGCCGCATGTTGGGCCTAATTTCGAAGAGTAAAATGGAAAATTGGTAGACTGGTGAATGGAATTAAAGCTTCTGTTATTTTTCTAAAAATTGTATTTTCACTGAAGAATCGGTGTTACAGAGCATTCAGTGAGGAGTATTTGAAAGGGAGCTTCGTTTAAACCGTACTGGACTAGATGGTCATTCAGTTGCGATGAGGGGAGCAAAGACAAAAAAAAAACAAAAAAAAACAAATGTGGTTTGTTTTAACGTTGTATCATATCGCGGGCGGACGTCGTAGCCGCGACAACGATTTCTGTTATACACTGAAAAGAACGGTATTATTACGTTGCGACTAGCCTCTGTGTTTTCATTTTTGATTCTGTATACGTCGTTTTCTCTGGTCTCGTTCTATTCGTACACGCATACCTCGACGATTTTACAATACGTATTATTTACATCGGTCCGCGGGCTAGCCCGCTTACTATTAGAACATGATAAATAAACAAATAAATATACCCTACTGATCGGAATTGGGGAGGGGTCTAGGGGATCCTCTCGAGCGATTTAGCTGACGATCGGAGACCAATTGAATGGAACATCGAGACTTATAGATCGACGAGAGAGGGAATGAAGAGAGAATAAGGAAAAGGAATGAAGAAAAGGGAGAACAGAGGAGGATAACAAGAATGGGAGAACAGTTTACATTGATGATACTCCTAGGAGATTAATGATGGTAGCCGGAATAGGCTTGGCTCTGCGCGTAGCCGTGACCATCGTCCCAGGAACCGCCAGATGACCATCCACCTGATGAAACAGGGGCGGACCATCCACTGGAGGACGATGCTGGTCCGCTGCTCCAGCCGTGATACGGAGTGACATCGTGGGATCCTTTCGACCAGAGGGACTTCAGTCCAATGAACGCAGAGATTGCGAGGGAGATCAGGGAGACGACGATGGCCTTCTTGGCGATGAAACCAGTCACGAAGTAAGCCAGGGTGGCCAGGGCTCCGATTTTCGCTTTCGCGGCGAGCAACAGCGGTAGCAGCTGCCTCAGCTGCTTCTTCTTGCCTCGGCCTAAAAGACATCGAACGTACACATTAGTTGAAATATGTCTGAGAGGAACATTATCAAGTACTTTATAAAAATCATTCGATATGATCTTAGAGTCGAGCAGACCATTACTTAACTATCTGCTACTATCTCTATCCATCCTTCAACTCCAACTTTACACTCTGTAATAATATTATCAATCTTGATAAATTAATTTACCTTCGACAACTAGATCGACAGCCTCGCGAACCTCCTCAGGTGCAGCCTCGCTGATGGCCCGAGCTGACGTACCGATTTTCTCGATGATAGGAGTGAAGTTGATCTATCGACAAGAGGTCATTATTGCATCAGAACAACCAAACGACGTGAATTGTTACGGATCAAAGACCGATAAAATTGTAAAACCAATTGTGCGTTTAATTACCCTAAGACTGCGTCCAGCAAGGAACTCTCCAGCCTCTTCGGTAACGTAATTCACAAGAGCATCCTGCCTCTCGGAGACACTGTTCGCGGTGTCGATCTCCTGATCGTAGACCAGCTCTTTGCCGGTACGCGAGGTTCGTTCCTGGCTCTTCACCAACGTAACACCACTCACGATCTCAAGACTCTCCGTGTCGAAGAGCTCCTTGGCACGCCTGTAGATGGTCTTCTGCACGCAGCCGATACTGTCCTTCTCCAGACAATTCTCGATCGTTTGACCGGCCGCGTACGCGAGCACGGCGGTGAACAGCACAACCGCGAAAAGCTTCATGATAAATTATTGTGATTCTCGTTCCACCGCAAGAATGCAAGACAGTTGAGAACTTAAAGGCACGCCGCGTGTCGATGAAAAACGTCTGTGTCTTGGAATGACGAAGGCCGGCCCTTATTCCACAAACCCGTCCCGTCGGTAGTGAAATTTCGTGTGGTCCATCGTACAATCTCTTTAGCTTATATTTGGCGGGCCCCTCCTCTACCGTCGCCTGCGTCGCCGCCCCACCGCGCCTCTTTTTTCTTCCTATTTGCCTCGCCGCCGTTGTGTCGTCACACAACACCGATGCCTCGTCGAGACGGGGCGTCTCGTGGGCCCGTGCGCGCGCGCGCTCGTTTAGTCAAGCGGCCTGACCGACGAAAGTATTCGCCCAATCGACTGCCTGGACACAGAGAGGTGTTTCTCCTTGTGTGTGACGAAAACGTCGCGTCGTGCACGCCGCCCATCGGGCCCAACGACGACCTGCGACCTGCCTACCAGGCCGGGTAAATACTGGCCCCGGGGCGAGAAATCTTCTTCGTTAGTTTGTTCCCTTTTATCTTTCGCCTAGGAAGTTTCCACGATCGTGCCCTGTTCCTTCGACATCATTGAATTCCAGGATGATCGAAATGGGCCCAATGATGATTTAGTTCGGTGACTATGAATAAGAAATCTTTTTCGTAGTTTTCTGTTCCCTTTTATTTTTCGCCTAAGAAGGTTCCACGATCGTACCCTGTTCCTTCGAGATCATTGAATTCCAAGATGATCGAAATGGGCCCAATGATGATTTAGTTCGGTGACTATGAATAAGGAATCTTCTCCATCGTTTGTATTCCCTTTTGTCTTTTGTCAAGAAGCTTCTACGTTCCTACCCTGTTCCTACGCGATCATTGAATTCCCAGATGATCGAAATGGGCCCAATGATGATTTAATTCGGTGACCATGAATAAGGAATCTTCTCCATCCCTTTATCTTTTGCCTGGGAAGTTTCCACGATCCTACCTTGTTCTTTCGTGATCATTGAATTCTGTGATAATCGAAATGGGCCCAATGATGATTCAATTCGGTGACTATGAATGAGAAATCTTCTCCATTGTTTGTGTTCCCTTCTATCCTTCGCCTAGGAAGTTTCCACGATCCTACTATAATTTATTAATATAGACATTCTGCGGTGAATCTAGAAATAAAGTACTAATGATTCATAGGTAAGTTTTACGACTGGTTCGAAAGAGGACAGACCGGAGAATCTTTTCCGGCACGACCTAGAATACCAAGATAACCTAGCCAGCGACTTAACAATTTCCTACACAAAATATATCATCAAACTCTCCTCGCCTACAAAGTTCCACAAAATCTACTATTTTCGCCCAATACATAAAAATCTAAAAGCCAACCATCGGAATTAAAAACAATCATAAAATCAAGCTGTTTAGTGTGATTAACGTCTCGAGTCTCATTCCATCCGTAAATTGCCCCATTCCCTCTGGTTCCTCTTCCCAGCGCTCTCTCCTGGAAGCGTCACGAGGCTCCTCCATTGGACAATTATCGAGGATCCTCCAATTAACGATCCCAAGGAAGAGATCGGTAAAACGTGTACAAGTGAGCAGCACTAAACGTCGCTGATAAGAACAAGGAGGGGAAGAGTGACGAACATTCCATAGAAGAGAGAAGAACCTAGCCTGGACAATTGTTCCAGACCCCTCTAGGGGTCAGTCACGAAATGTCCCATCGAATCGTGCAAGGAATCTGTTTGTTTCCGACGAAATTTCCACAGGAAACGGGCAGATACGCGTACTCTCTCCGCCGTGTGTCCGACATGAAACACGATCACCATGAATGAAAGAAAACTGGTATAGATCAGGCTCAAGCATCCCGGATCCGACCTTCATCGAGGCGTTCGTGCGCGCGCGCACCACTTTCTACTCTGACCCCGCGCGGCTCTCACGGGGCCGGCCGATAACGCCTCTTGTCGTTTTCGTTTCGTTCCTTCCGCCGTCGAAACGGTCACAAAGGAGAGTCGATAGAATTTCGGTTGCGAAATACAGCGTGTGTAGGTGCCAACCGTTGGAATTTTCGTGTGTGTGTGTGTGCGCGCGTGTGCGTGCGCGTGTGTGCGTTCGAAGCATCGAAATTCCGTCCGCGTGCAAACACGATGTGCTACCGTGACACCGTGACTCTTGTCGATAATCCGAGAACGTGGTTACGAGTGGGATTTATCGTGTGAACAACGAGATCTTTACGATTTTTTGGAATCGTAGAAATGCACGAACGACGCTTTTCGATTCTGGTTCAGTGGTGAAGAAATCTGGAGCCCTGGGCTTGGTCGGAGAAATTTTGTGGGGTTTGGTGACTGATAGGACGTTTTTTTATCGTCGCTTGATAAGTAGACTGTAGATTTTTATGGATTTATAGTGTCTCGTAAATTGGACAATTGGGTGAAACTAAAATTTTAGGGTAAAGCAACCAGTGAATCATATTTGAGATTAATAGTTGAATGTATTTATTTATTACTACAAAACAACTGTTGAAATTGCAATTACATTTATTTGTCTTGAAATTTTGATAAAAAATATTTTCATAGTTTTAAAGAAAATCATTTTAAAGTGCAAAAGTGTAAAAGTCCAGACTGCAACATTTCTGAAATATTTTTAATAAGAATTGTAATGTGTTGATAAATTATTAATAACTTTCTAGTAAACAACAATCGGTAGTTAAAACCTTTTGAAATTTACTCGGGATGGTGACTTTGATAACACAATGCCAAAGTCATGATCATCGGAGTGTGGCTGTTTCTCGAAAGCTCACCCATCGCGTCTAACAAGGCAAAAGGGCAAAAAAACTTTCCCCATTTTCCAAACTCAATTATCACGAAGATTCTCCGTTTAAGGGAAGTCGATGAATCAGTCGCGACGAAGCGTTTCGCACTTTCGTGTCGGCTGACAATCGCTTCGTAAAACGACCTCGATTCACCCCGAAACGGGAGAGACAAAAGGTCCCGACGTAACTCGGTTACCTGGGCTCGCATAATCGGCCGCGCGTGTCATCGTGGAAAAGTCTTCTGCGTCGTTCTGGGACACAATAAAAGCCGCCGCGTAATCAACGCTAATAAGCCGGAAGCTCTCACCGTGGGTTAATTCGACCATGGGGATAGAGGGGTCGGCCGTGACGACGGGACGTGAAGGGACGTCGATGAAAAGGAAATTCGCAGTGATCTTACGTCAGTGTTCATTCATCCTTTCTCGGTCGATGTCGGCCGCGCAACGCACGCCGTCTCTGTATCCTTTCGTCGATCCTTCGCTACCTACCTGACCGAGCCAGTTAAAAAGTAAAACCAAAGTTTCTCCTTTAACCGGAGGATCGAGAGACAACTAAGTGAAGCCCGTGTTACCGTGGACCACGCCCCACATCTTGGCTGGAAGGTGAAAATCACCGTGGTTTCACGAGAAATAGTGTAGCTCACGAGGATAATTGCATCGCGAAATTACAACCAACGCTCGAAAATCTGTCCTGGACATATTGGTAGACTTCTAGTAACGGCACGTACGACCCTAGTAGCACAAAAATATTGAAAAACTATCTTTTTAGCCACAATTTTTAATATGAAATAAATATTGTATACATATGCAGGAAATATAAAATACATGTTTCCAATATTAACAAGAGGTAGCCAGTTGCCTCAAATCGTAATAGTACATTCAACATGTTCAACGATATTTACAAAATATTCAAGTTGTAGCTTTGAATTTCTTTTTTTCAAATTTTTCTACTTTCTATTCATCCCAAAAATGTTAAAATCATATCCAACTGGTACGATCTTACAATAGTAGGTTGCTACAAAAGTATTACAGATTACAATAAAATCATGTGATTTAAATTACATACAAACTATCAAAGTCTGGGTACTTTTTAACGGTGGTATAGGTGTGGCTGATAGATCATGGTGAACGGATTACGTAAACTTTCCCCGTGAACGGTGGATCACTTATCTGGATCGACTTTTTGTTGCTACCGATGATGGAACATCCGATGATGATCACATAATAATCTCTCTGTTCCGCTGAGCTTGCTCGCCGCGATAAGGAATCTTAGCAAGAAAAACGCGAATATCGAGTCGGCAGCACTTTCTGACAGGTTGAAGTAAGATTTGCTACATTGATTAACCCGTCAAGTGAGGAGAATGGATCTATCCGCCGCGGCGAATCGATCTTATACGCCTTACACTTTCTGTATACAATTTAACGTCACAAAAATGGTCGTCATGTTACTTCATTTTAATAATATTATAAGCAAAAAATACACTTATTATCTTTAATTAACTTTAAAAATTGTGGACAATTCTTTTTAAGTCAAATACTTCACACTGCGGCGAGTGAACATCCTTTTTCTACTCGGACAACCGAAACAGTTAAGTTATCTTTAGGAATTTTTTCTTTAGGAATGTAATCAAATGCATTTTGTTAGTATTTATTGACCTATTTACAGATAACATAAAAAAATTGCAAAAATAATTTTATTATCATCTGCGCCATAGAAATACCTTTTTTGAGATGTCACTTCCATGCTACGAAAAAAATTAAAACAAAATATAATAAAATTATTTTTGCAATTTTTATTATTTGTAAGCAGTTCAATACATACTAACAAGATGCACTTGATTACATACTGTATTTCCGGAGGAAAAAATCCGTAAATATATCTTAATATTTTCAGTCATCAAATTAGAATGATTCTTTGTAGGGTTAATGTTTCGCAGTGTTATCCACTGTTTAACCCTTCATCTCCAAGTTATAAAGAAATTGGAGATAAATTTTTTTAACGTTCTTTAATCGTACGTTTAGTAAAAATAGTGGATATTGGTGAAGTTCACGTGCTTATTAGTTAATAATTAATCATTGCTGAATGTGATATCGATCGTGTTAATAAAGTCCACATAACTTTGCGTAAGAAAGTTCATTTGACGTATTTTCGAATTTGAGTCCGACGCGAAACGGTGTCAATGGACCACGCGAAGTTTCCCATGTCCAGAAGGTACGTCCACTTTCAGTTTTAGCGCTAATATCAGGCTGTCTCGTGACCGTCACGCGATAGAAAATTTAAAGTGGCGTTTTGCGCGTGGCGTTCGAAGCGATCTCCCTATTCTTGGTCATGCACAAACGATCGCCGAGTGAAATGTGAAATTACGGGAAAAATATGGTATTGAGCAGATCATGAATGACTGGCGTGGCCTAGAAATCTTTAACTTTTATTCAGACGTCGATTTAGTAATGTCTTTAAACACTTCAAATAATATCATTTCAGAAATGCTCAGGTACACATAAGCCAGGACTGGTTTCGCCCGGGATTTTTCGCGTTTCGCCTCTAACGATCGTTCCCGTGGACAAAAGTTCGCGCTCGTGAAATCACGAGACACTGCGTGAAAGTACGTAGCTCGACGGCGAAGTCGGTCAATAAAGTGTAGCGATCGACGCGCGACACGCGGAATTTTCCGCTTACCCGGTGAAAATACACCGTGATTCGGATCGGTATCGACGGAGAAAATATTCGTTGCGAGATCTCGTTGCCGAGATTGATCGATAAATTTCCCGTGGACGACGCACATTCGTCCTGAATGCAAATTTTAGCAATTCATACGCTCATTTAGCTGAAGAAATCAGAAATGTTGAATCTTGAAATTTATTTAAGTAGAAGTGGATAAAGGAAGAAATTTTTATCAATTTTAACCCTTTCATTCCCAAATAATTTCACAATTACAGAAAAATAATTTTTTTTTTTATAGTTTTATCTGGATTACATTTTATAACCATTTAATGTCATTTTGCAATCATTGATGTTTGGCAAATTCCTTTACTTTCATTACAGTTACGTATAATAATTTATATTATACAGTTATATATAATAAAATCCATTTAACTTACCTTTGATGAGTAAACTCTCTTAAATACCTGAAGAAAATTAAAACTTCATAAGCTTTTATTCTATTTCCAAACAGTGTTCATTGATTTGCAAAATTTAATCATTTCCTTATTCTAGTAACATAATTTACACATTTTTATATACATTTTACATTCACTGGCACATGTTCATTTACTGCTGCATCCACCTTACTTCCAAAAAATGCAAAAGAAAAATCGATATTTATATGGTTCAAACGATTCTTTACCTTTCTACTTCAGACACTAACCCGATTCTAGGAATACCCCCTTATTATCATGAAACAGTCGTGTTAAGATAAAGATTGACAATGATTCCCCGGTCGTAAACAAATCACGAATTCAGCTCTCCAATTCCGTCTCATCAACGATCGAACTGGGTCAGAGGTAGCAACCAATCTCAAGGTTGCAAAGACCCCGTTTCCACCCCCTGTACACCTTCGATCCCCCCCATCCTATCATCCCTACAAACTGTCCAAATTCTTTACAAAAAAATATCAAATTTTCTGTCACTCTCACCTCCGGTAGAATTAGAGAGTCAATCTCCTCGACATTCCGCTCTAACGCCTCGTTAAAGTACGTCGCGACAAGAATTTCTCGCTGTTGATCGTCTTCGTGGACACGCGAGCGGCCCGAAGAAAAAAATCGGCCAGACGCGATTTGAATTTCAAATTTCCGTCCGTTCGATCGGTAATGAGCGTGGAATGTAACGGGCTTCTCTCCCGAGATGGGATCGTCGTCTCAGTGGTGGAGGCTGCTGTGCCAGAAAACGTGATTATTAATAGGCGAACCGAAGCATTGGAACGGGGAAAAAAGGTGTGGGGCGAAGGAACGTTTGTTACCCGTCGTGTTGCAATCGACTGTGTGTGTGTCGTGTGTATTGACTGGAATTTCAAAAAGTAGAAATTTTCTGTTTCGACGGTGGGACCAATGTGTTATGCCCGTTACCAGGAAACTGGCCAGGGAAGAGGACACGCGCATACGGGCTGGTTCCGTCGATGTTCGTTCCGTTTCACCGAGGTCCATTCACGAAAACGGTTCTAACTTTCGTTTTCTCTTGGCGGGATGCTGGTGACGTCAACGCGGACCGCGCTCGAGTTTACGGCGCTATAAAAATTTAAACGTACCGTTGTGTCCGTCGGGGCGGCGGAGGGAGGACGAAAACGAAAGCAGAGCGGCCATTGTGGGACCGATATCGATACAACCCGGGATCGCTAAACCGTTGGGTACGATTTATTCAATGGGAGTGGTACGATTGATTGTGAGATGGAAGGGGAACGAAGGGAAAATGGTACTTTCCTTTTGAGAAATTGATATTTTCGGGATTTAATGTTTTATTTCGTCAACGAAGTGGTTGGAACGATTGACTGGGGAAGAGAAAGGGAACGAAGGGAAAATGGTACTTTCCTTTTGAGACGTGGATATTCTCGGAATTGAATGTTTTATTTTTGGTCAACGGTGTAGTTCGAACGATTGACTGGAAGATGGTAGGGGAACGATAGGAAACGGTACTTTCCTTTTGAGAAATGGATATTTTCTGAATTTCATTTTTTATTTGTAGAACGGGGTGGTTCGAGCAGTTGATTGTGGGACGAAAAGGGAAAAATGGTACTTTCCATTTATGAAATGGATGTCTGAATTTATTAATAATAATCCCCCTTGGGAATCTTTTTATTTACTTCGGTTATCGGTCTGATCGGTGATTGTGAAGGTAAAAAAATGGTAACTCAAATGAAGAAATTTCAAGAGAAATATCTCTAGTTACGGATAAACAATTCTGATCCAATGTGATACTGAAATTATTAAAGTAACGAATCACAATAACTTCGGTTGCTGTCCTCGGAGATCAGTGAGCGCAAAAATTGCGATCATCTTGAAGAAACAGAACAAGCTCGACTGCCGAGAGAAACGAAATAAATTATATACAAAATGGGCAAGTAGAGATCATAAATAGCAGTCAGATGTCAATTGATACGTTCTACAATATCGATGAATACTTCCAAAAGACATCAATTGTAAACAATAAAGAGCGAAAAAAGAAGAAGTATCTAAAAAAAAGAATCTTCTAGAAACGATCTCAATTACAACAACAAAATCTAACTCTGCAAAAGATGAACCTAAACACTGATGATAAATGGAAGGAAAACGGTCCGCCACGAAACGGTGAACAGCATCGTTGGAAAAACGATAATATGCTGTTCGCCGATCGCGACAACTCAGAAGACGGTTCATCGTCCTGATACGCCTGCGCAGAAGCCACGGCTTGTTCTGAGCCGATTTCAACCGGGATCTATCCGTTTTATGATATTCCAAACGTAAAAAAGGAAGCGCTCGGAATCTGTGCCAGTGGGTCTTGGCGCCCCCCCCCTACCCAGTCCGATACTTTTCCTCCCTCCAGGCTGTGTCCGTCCAGAGGACCCCGGTGAACGGGCCTAGGTCGACCAAGTAGTGGGGGAAGGACCGAGCGGAGGGGGAACACGGAGGAGAGGCCGCATAGAGAGAAAGATCCGTACACAGAGGCCAGCTCTCTCGACAGCGATCCCTCCGTTCCGCGGCTTTCTTTCGCGAGAATGACTCACAGATTCACGCCCCGTGTTTCAGTCGAGTTTTCCACCTGTTCAGCCGACTTCCATCGGGCTAGCAGCTTTCCAGGACACGAACGAGACGTGTGTCGTTTCGAATTACATCCTTTCCCACCGGCAAGACCAACGGGAGCAATTTTCAACGGGTTTCGGTAACGTAGGATAAGTAATTTAATTACGGCCACCAATTAACCGATCCCACGACCGGGAAATACGACGCTAATTGACGTAGAGCAGCACAAACTCTAACGCGCACTAGTCTCCCCACGAAGCGTCGTTTCACTTTGCACGATTTGTTGCACAATCGGGTGCGTGCTACTTCGCGTGGACACGGTTACCCATATAAACACGGACATCCGGATGGATCGACGGTTAGCAACCTGAAGTGTTTGCAGTTCCTCGCCTCGTTTCATGGCCGTTTAATCCGTTCGAATATGGGAGAGACCAAGGGATACGTTCGATGAATTCGTGGATCGACGTAGTATATGCAACGGTGCGATGCCACGGGCTCACGTTGGCACACTTTTCCCTCGTTCGATGTATCGACTTGCCCCCCACCCTCCCTCCGTTATGATCCCTCGTGGTTGACGTTCGTTTCGACAATAAATAGAACACACGACTTCTTTTTTGGTCAATGATTACGTATACTTTTTATTCGGGTTTCTAAATAAATACAAAAATAAAAGGGGCAGAGATGATTATGGTGATTATGAGAGAATAAATAAAGACGTATGTACTTTGGTTTCTCCAGCGTACGGTCCATTGTCAAAGTCCGTCGTCGAACGTACGAGTTTTATCACATTGCGTATACATCCCACCGTCACTTTCTACGAAACGTCCCAGTCACTGTCGTCGCGTCCGTGTGTTTGTGTCGTTTTGGTAACTGTCGATACGCGTCCCGGGTGCGTTGTGTGTGGGAGTGCATCTTCAGGATTCGGTCTGAATGTCTTCTACGTAACAGGGTTAACCGACGAGCTCCTGGTGATGATCTACGAAGAGCGAATGCAATCAGGACACCCGTGACTCGCCGAACAGATGAGAGTATGCTCTGTACGGCAGATCGTGGTCCTCATCGCCGAGGGACCGTTTTTTGCGATAATGGTGGTGGCCAACGTCCTGGGCGTATACCACGTGGTGGCCACCGCCGCTATCGTGGCCGCCTGCCAGTTTCTTCACAGCGACGATCAGCGAGAGCATCAGCGCCATCGCGGACACCATCAACGCTTTCATGGCCAGGAGACCGAGTGCACCCATTCCCATTGCCGCCATCATCTTGCCTGGAAATTTCGAGAACAGGGGGTCAGTCGATATCTAGGGATATTAGGGTGATCTGTTGACTCCTAAGTTTGGTGATTCCTAGGTCTAATCCTTAATCAGAGGGATTTTGTTTATGGAACTTGGATTCATCCTTAACACCTCTTGACCCAAAAGCTTAGCAGTAGGGTCTTTGCTCCTTGTTGAGTTCTTTTGAGGATTTATGATAGGATTAGGTCGATTGACTCCTAGGTCTGAGGACCTCAACGATAGGGATTTTCTTTATGGAACTTTGATTCATCCTTAACACTTCCTGACCCAAAAGCTTAGCAGTAGGGTATTTGTTTCTTGTTCAGTTTTTTTAAGAATGTACGATAGGACTAGGTCTGAGGACCTCAACGATAGGGATTTTCTTTATGGCACTTGGATTCATCCTTAACACCTCATCGTCCAACTTTGTAGTTAGAGTCTTTCCTTTTTGTTGAGTTCTTTTAGTGGTTTACGATTCTAACATTCTCAGCGGGTACGAAAAATTGATTAATAGGGTTTCAGATATTTCAGGTATTTAGATTAGATTTCTCACATGTTGGATTACCCAAAGTAATCTGTGGATTTTTATATAACACACTATCCTTCTTTTATATATCATTAAACACACTATCCTTCTTGTTTCACTTTATAATATTCATATTTTCAAATTTTGCAATTACTGTCCTTAACTCTGGAACTACCAAAGCGGTTGAAAATACTGGTTCGTAAACTCTGTCCCTTTTACCAACTTGATAGAAACAGAAACACATCCATCTCCGGTAGTTCCATAGTTAAATCAACATATTACTCAATAGAACTCATGAAACCAACAATGTATTGTAACTTTATTTACAGAAATAGTAAACCAACACTAGCAAAATCATACAAATTAAGATAGCGTTACCCTGTTATACCATTTCTGTAAATCAAGCCTACACATTGTTTACAAAGAATCTAAACTATAAAAGATTCAATGGTATTATAAATATCCCATCTTACCCATCATCAGCGCCATAATCATGTATCCCCCATCGCCTCCCTTCTTTTTGCCGCCACCCCCGCCGTATCCGCCGCCGCCACCGCCACCGCCATATCCTCCTGCCCTGCCTGAAACCAGAACACATCACTTAAGTAAATATTCCCATAATACACCCAGAAAAGTACTCCATCGAATTTCCCAGCGGACCTTGTTCAGCCGGCAGGCTCTCCTGAAAAGCTCTCTCGATATTCTGAGGCAGGAAGCTCGGTAGTTTGATTCTCAGTTCCCTTCCCTCCAAAAACTGCACCAATGTCCCCATGCCACCGAATCCCTTCATCAGCCTTCCCTTTCTATTTGGACCAGAACCAGGTACCTCCACCAGGCTAACACCATCGAAGATCTCGATATTCGGCTCTTTGCTGGACTTCTCCAACAGCTGTTGAACGATCTTTCTGACAATCCTGACCCCGTAACAGGAAACCGACAAATTCTTGTTGTCCATATTCGAGCATCCATTCGTGAGTCCAGACCATGTGTCCTTGGTCTCGTTGGTATCCACCGCGTACGAGTGTTCCACGAGCACGAAGACGATCAACAGACACATCGCCGACATCCGTCGATCCCCTAATCCAAGTGTCCTCCCGAACCAATCCATGATCGTCGAATCACGATGTACAATAAAACCTCGAGAAAATTCCCAGCCGTGCACCAAGAACTTCTTGTTCCTCCCCTACGAAAAATCTTCCCGATTACCGTGCTGGGCGACGCGATGCGGAAACGGAGGGACGAAACACGTATCGAAGCCGTGAATTGCGTCTACTGTACTGATCCTGCGGAACCTACGGCGGAGGTCCGAGTGGTGCATCCAGGCCCGTTTGAAATCTCATTTATATAGTTGTTGCACCAGCTCGCCTGCGCCGGTGATTGTACTACGAAAAAGGAAAGAAACGAAAAAAAAGGAAGATAGAACACAAGCCAACGAGAGCATCGGCACCAGGCATCATGCCCTGGCATTCCCTGTTCTTACCGTGTGCATTAAGCCTGCAATTTTTTCGTTCGCTCGGACGATCCTTCCCCGTGGATTCCTTTAATTCTTGTTTTCGAAGTGTTTCAGAGCGTTACGCCGCGGTTGGCTGCGGGGAAGCCTAGGTTGTTTAGCTCCCGATGCCAGACGAGGGAACGGATCCCCAACGGTGTTGCCTGTGCGTCTGGCTAGTCTCCTTCTTTATCTTTCTAATGTTTTCATATCGAGACAATCCCGTGACTCTCCCTCGCCTCTTATTTCTAGATCACTGGGTATCAACCAGTGAGCGAGCGGTCACGGTTCCAGCATAGAGGGATCCAACAGCGATCCTCTTAGCAGGCCTGCATCTTCCTTTCCCTCTTTCCGCGCTTTAGTGGAGCGGAAGAGAACGTGTGGGCCGATTTCGAAACGCGATACTCTGACCGCCTCCCATCGACGTCTAATTAGTGGATTCGATTCTGGTATGCAACGGAGATTCTTGGAAATTAACGATCATCGGGATTCCATCCGTGAAATTAATTTGTTTCGTTGAATGGTGGTGCTGGGTTACTCTGGTCCGTGGCTATTGGTTATTAGACAAAAACTTATCTATCCTATTGGGATACTCTTTGATGATTCAAGGACAATTGTCGGGGAATGTGGGGGAGGCGGTGCATGGAACGATCAGACGGGATCGCCTAACCGAAACTAGTTCATCTTCGGATACCTTTCTCTTCTGTTCCACTTCCCTTCGCGTACTCGCCGATACGACACGGTATACATATACGTAAGGACCGCTGGTAGGTATAACTAGGCCCAGCACGAAACCGTTCGCTCGTTCCTCGGGACGACGCCACACGGAACGATCGTGTATCCTTTAAACCAGATCATCCCGACGGTCATGGGGGATCTCTACGCGGCCCGTGGGTGATCCTCCAGCGATCGTTTCCGTGTCCCTTTTGGTCTCCTTCCTCGTTCGATGGTCTGCTGGAGGGACAGTCGTTGGACCGTCTCACGAAGTATTCGTAAAATCGAAAGCGGAGATGTAATCGAGAATAATTCTTGGGGAATATAGTTTAAATTATATACTCGCGATTGTAACGTTCCGGGTAATTTCTGGTTCGATGACGGGTCTGGTAAATGAATCATCATGACAGGTTATTCATAAAGGAAATACTGGTCTTTTATTTGGACGAATCGTCTTGTTGAGAAGTCGTTAGAAATTTCGATTGAGATCAGGATATGGTTCCTCATTGGCTCACATTTTGTTTCTTTTTCAATAGATTGATATCGTATTTTTCCTTCTATTGTTCAATGGATCAATATCGTATTTTTCCTTCTATTGTTCAATGGATTAATATCCTATTTTTCCTCCTATTGTTCGATAGATTAATATCGTGATGCAACAGAAACAGTGACCAGAGCTTTTGGTGTATTCCTTTCCCGTAAGATTCCTAGTAAACAATTTCAATTATACTTCGTCGAACGGTACCGATTTCTTGAATTTTCAAGGATAAATCTGAGCCTCGAGAATCCACGGTAGCACCGCGTTCTGTCCCATAGAAGAATCAGAGCCTCCAATTAGTGTTTTTCCTTCTATTGTTCAATAGATTAATTTTGTGATTCAACAGAAACAGTGACCAGATTCCTAGTAAACATTTCAATTATACTTGGTCGAATAATACCGATTTCTTGAATTTTCAAGGTTAAATCTGAGCCACGGTAGTAACGCGTTCTGTCCTATAGAAGAATCAGAGCCTCCAATTAGTCCACGGTTTCTCCGCGCGCTTCCGCGAGTCGAACGTTAGAATCCAATCTTGCCAGGTGTGTTTTCTCCTTTCCTCGATACACGGAGAATGTGTGTCGATCATTCATGGGACAGGCGAGCACCGTTACCAGCCCCGCGACGTCCCCGTGTCAATAACAAGAGGATCAACCGATCAATAACCGACACTTTCTCCTTTCGCGACGAATTTCTTTCGAATCCGTCGAAACGCACAGCGAAGTAAAAAGAAATCGGGTCACGGAACCAATCTATCGTGGAGGAACTCGATCCATCTCCGATCGAAATTTTATCATTTAAATAACAATACTTTTATCAATTACAATAGGAAAATTCTAGAGTTCTGAATAAAAATATGAAATTTCGTACAACGCCTGACCACGTGTCGATTTTAACCGATTTTACGAGAATCCCGGGAACTGGGTCAACGATGATAGGCCACGCAACGGGGCCCCTCTTCTTTACCCGAAACCGAAAGTTGATCTTCACGGTGGGACCACACGTTCTTTCTCTTAACCGTACCCTTATCGACCTGTCATCTCCTTTCCGATCCTTACCAATCGAGGCGGAGAAAGCGGCTTCAAAACGAGGCCGACTCATTTGAATTGAGAGAGATGCCTCGTGCATTCGTCCGGTAGTTTTCCCTTCGTTCCGATCGTCATCCTCCGAGCACTTGCCCCACACAGAGAAGACATTCGTACAAAAATCGACTTCGTAGAGGCATCGAGGTCGGGGTGAACAAAGCTTTTGGCCCCGATTGGGCATCTGGAAATCTTTCTTCTCTCCTCGTAAAAACGGTATTCGGGTCAGTCTGGGTCGGAAATCTCTGGTCGTTTCATTCAGCGTAATTTAAATGCCTGATTTTATTGGTCACGATTTTTATTCGATCGATATTATTAATATGGGATTTAATTGTTTTTCTGGGGTTTTCATTGGATCCTCTATTGGTATGATATTCTCACGAAGAAGTTGAAGAAACATTGAAATTATATATTTCGCTACGTGGAATCACATTCTTCGTTGTAACTCGATGTTGTAGTTGCACCTGGCGTTTCGAGTCCCGCTAAGTTCTGCAAACCGGAGCACGCCGCGATGAATACGTGACTTTCGACATATTTTTAGTGTGGCGCGACTTGCCAATCAAACAATTGAATTAGATTTCCTTTGCAGTGAAATTTTGATAAGTCTAAAATGAGGATAATATCGTTTAAAGGTTTAATGTTTCGTAGATTCTTTAGGGCTGTAATTAAGACCCAGAAAAACCTTTGAAATTGCTGTTACACAAAATGATTAGATTCCACAATGTAGTTCCAATTCACTCGGGCCGTTTCATCGTGTTCAATCTCCGTCCAACATATTTGAACAACTATTCACGGGCTATTAACTGTGCTCCACCGGTAAATCGTTCGTAATGAAAAGCACACGGTTACGTTTCAGTGATCCCCGGCTGGCAAACAGACCAAATCCGAAAATATTAACGTGCTACATACTTTTATAACTAACCGGACAATGAAACAGATAACGTTTGTCGATCATTGGGAATTATCAAAATTATCTTGTGGGATTTCGGATGAAATTTCGATGGTTTTTCTTTCAACGTCGATTGTGAAATTATTTCTATCGTGGTGTTACAGTGAGACAATTTCTCTTAAATGGTATCATACCTACCCGAGAACCGTGAAGTTACCCGACGAGTTCAGTCCCGCGGCCTTCATTTTCCGTTCGGTTGTAATTGCCTGTAATGACTGTAATTAACCAGGAAGGGAGAAATTTCTCGTGCACATGGATATTGTTCTTGTTGTTATTTTCAACGCCCTGTAATACAGCATTACAATGTAGTCGGAACTACGATCGCGTGTTCGATTACTGGGAAGGAATTATCTAAACGAGGTGGCGTCCTCTCACGGTGAACGACTGTTCCTCTGCTTTTCTTCTTTCTCGGTCGCGAGAACACGACTGGTCTAATTTAATTCATTCAGTACAATGGCCAGATAAAGAAACTAATAAAAATCCGTAAAATCCGTACTATCATGAACCCATTAAAATTTGCTAGAAGTTAAATCAATTATTTCGGCGAATGGATCAAAAGATAGGAGTTGTTAAAAATATTTGAACAGAATAAAATTGTAACATTCTCGTTCGTAAAATATTTAAAAATAAATAAGTTAATTTGACGCATTATAAGAATTATTTTCTAACGGTGGTGTATAGTTGAAGTGAATCGAGAAATATCAATCGACTTCATTTCACGTGACGGAGAATCGACTGGCGCAGATGCAGGGATACACACGTTACAAAAAAAACAATAAATATTTATTTATACAAAAGAAAACAACAGGCGTACAACGTTATGGTACAATCCGCGCGGACGTGGCGGTGAGAATAAGTTAATATATAAATAATATCGATATGGTATAGTTACAAAGTTCCACGCGTTCGTATGTCTCTGCGTCGTTTCGTGTCAGATGGTAGGCGTTGTGTTTGTCGAGTCAGTCATCCATCAACGTGATTCGGTCTATTAAGTCAAGTAAATCAGTCTTTGGGTATGTACCTTAAATAAGAATCTCTTGTTGCGTTTCATTTCTACGATTAGGTGATAATCTAATGGAGCTGTCAGTCTAAAAGTCATTAATTTTTCAACTAGAATAAGCTGAAAAAAATATTTTGATGCTGCTTCGACAGTGGGAAACTATCTGAAGTCAATTTTCAATCTCCAAAGTGAACAGAACTTTAGGGCCTTAAGAACATTCAGTGGCTAATTAAATAATAACCCCTGGGTCCTTTCACATATTTCGACGAATCGATAGTCTCACAGTACTTTGAGGCCCAGCTATCGATTTTAAATTGAACAGAATTTTAAGTTCTCAAGAACCATCGGTGACTTTCACAGATTTCGATCGATCAATAGCAAGAGCTTCAGTCCCAATTCCGGGCCTTAATTCGACCGCAGCATCAAATTATCCAAGTACTCGAAATAGAGTATCGTTAACGATGCAAAAGAAATTGCGTCCGTCGCGTGGTCCCGTCGGTCGATCGGTCAGTGACGTGAGTAAACGGTCAAAGGAGGAAAGTGAGTTAGTCCCAGTCCACGGACCCGAACAAATAAGGGAAAGAAGAATTGTAGAAACAGAGAAAGAGAGAGTGAGAAGACCAGAGTCAGGAGAAGAATTAAATACAAAAACTAACGGCAAGAATGTGCTGGCAATCGTCAGTCGAGAAGCAAACTCGAGCAAACGGACTCCGTGTGACGTCATCGTGTGTCGCGAATCCGGGCCCAATGGTCCCAGGGCTCGTATCACTTGGCGTGCGCCGAGTAGGCCATCTGGTGGGCGTCTGTCTGACCAGCGACAGGCCCTTGGCCGTGGAAGCTTCTCGCCCAACCGCTCGAGTAGCTGTCCCCGTGGCCGTGATCGGAGCTGAAAGTGTGGCTCGAACTGTGATGCGGATGAGCGACCACCTCGTACGTGACGTGCTTCTGATGGGAGAACAGCTTCTTCAGGCCGATTATACCAGCCAACAGGAGCGCGATCTTCGAAAGTAGAAGCGCCTTGCCGACCAGCAGCGCCAATGCTTTGAACGCAAGACCACCGATCAGACCGATTTTCAGCACTGCGGCAGCGATCAGGGGTCCCATGTTGTTGTTCTTCTTGCCACGACCTGAAAGAAGATGTTCAGCTGGGCTATATCGCTTTCGTTGTGGAAGGTAAAACGGAGGACTTTCTATGGCGTGATTAAATTACCAAGACATTCAAGAACCTTGAGGGGGTTGTATTCTTTGGGTAGGTAAATAGTGGGACTTAATAGTTGAGGAATCTTCTTTTTTCGATTGTCAGGGTAATTGCTAATTCTTTTTTCACAAGGATTAGAGAACTTAGTTCGTAGAGGAAGCTAGATTTCGATGGGCTAGGGAGTTAGGCATCAGAAAAGCATTTACCATCCTGCACAGCAACATTGTCAGCTCGTTCAATGGACACACTGAGGTTCAGGGAACCGTTCTCGTCCTCGGAGGCGGACACAACGACGTCGTCTTCAGGAAGAATCCTCCATTTGATGCTCCTAGACTTGATGAACGCGTACACCTTATTGGCGACAAGGTCGAAGACCTCGGACTCGTCGTCTTTGCTTCGACCAGCTTCGAAGGTGACCATCTCCTCGGACACCTGGCTGGTTTTTCTGATCTCGATGTCGTCCGTCAGCTCTATCGACGCCTTCTTCAGAAACTTGTTCATGTTCGTCACCAGCTTCAGCATCACGCAACTGCTCAGATGGTTTTGGGAACAGTTCGAGTTCAATTTACGGAGGAGCTCCTCCTCGTACTTGGCACGGTCCTTGACCGTCGTGGATTGTTGCTCGAGCGTGTTCATCTTGTCGAGCTTCTCCAACGGGTTCGCCGAGCACATGGCCAGGCATGAGATCGTCAGGAATACCAGGATCGCCTTCATTGTGTTCCTCTGTGGAAGGAATATGGAGTTAGTATCATCGATGTTGGATTTAATAAAAATGTTGACAGCTGTGTTAGTGACACTAGAGACACTTCAATTGACATTCTGGTAGATGTGGAGATGGTAGCGAAGACAGCAATTGGATGTAGTATATTGACAGTTGATAGAGCACCACGGAAATTTGGGTATTTAATCATTTTTGTCGGATCATAGAACTTTACCACACGTTCGAATCGTCAGACGTTATTAGAAACAGTTGAATTTCATTATGATAAGTCTAACTAATTGTTAAAAAAAAAACAGATATATTTTAGCATTTCTAACCATTAAATCAAGCTTTATCACACGTTGAAATCACTAAAGATACACTAAAGGATAAGTTTCTTGTACTTATCGCAATTGTAAATTTACCCTAAAAGTCAAACATTAATATCATCAAAATAAAATATTTCACTTTGACTCAAAGAAAACGAATAATATTAATGTTCGTTGAATCCATTTTGACATCGTCACCACGAGTCTGACTCGATATAAGTCAAAGGGTTAAGAGCCTCGAAGCAAGAATCGAAAGGTATCACCAACCTTGATACTGATCCTCTGTGTATGTAACCGGAAGCTGGGTCGAGGGCACACTGCTGGCGCCTCTTCTCTCTTCCTTCCAGTAATCGGACTTGCGTCGATATACCCGATGCGTGGATCGAGCGTGTCGAGGTATTCTGAACCCGTCGTCTCGCCCCGGCCACTTTATATACGTAGAGATCGCCAACGGGTTAACCAGGCAGGCGTACGCGAAAAGTGTTCTCTGTCCGCGCCCGCCGTCGCCGCCCTCCTCGAGATACCCGGCGTTGGGGAGCGGGTGGTGTGCCCACTTTTGCGTTTGATACGAGCTTGTTGGCTGGCCGCTTCTGGTGGTGGGATCCGTGATCGACTGCCTCCTTCTACGCGCGATCACGCTGAAAAGAGAACCCGTACCCGATCCCCCAAGGTAGTAGAGGGCTTCTCTCCTCCGTCCGCGGAAACTGGTTACCACGAAGGAACACCTTCGGGGACACCATCCGCGGATCCGAGAGAGACAGCCCCCCCCCCTCCCCTCTATTCCCTGTTTGTGTGAACGTTAATGCGCATATGGGATACGCACACACGGAGAGAAAACCCTGGATTTGCCGCGTCGGGGACCCACGACCCACCGCGAGAACCGTGTCACGGATGTGGAGCACGCAACGCCAATGGCCGATTGGGTGGTCGTTTTGGTTGCGCCAAGGAGCGCAACCTGGGTAGTAGGTATGCATTGACGGCGTGAAATTGTCGCGGTTTCGTTGGGACAATGTCGTGGCTTGACTGGGTGCAGTCCTGTGGAATAGATGCTTCGGGATATTCAGGGAATACGGAATTTTAGTGGTTTCTGGGAGAGTTTGGACAATAGTTCGGAACGGAAAATGCTTCGATGTTTATACTCGGGAGGGTGTCTGTTTTAACGGGGGTATAGTTTGGTTTGGGAAGGGATGCTGAGGGAATGTTCAGTAGGGATGTGGCGAAGTCATTATCTGGATTCGAATAACGGAGGAAAGATGAGAAAGTACAGTAAATACTCGATGAATGCTCGAAGGCTCCACGACAATAGACATTAAATGTTTGATGAACTAAACATGTCGTATTAGCTAAGAAAATTTTCGATCGAACAGGTAGCAGTAGAATAATCTAACTGATCACGTTTCGTGATCCACCCTGTATATCATTACTTATATACTATCATTTTACAAAACCCTGTTAAAATCGAAGTCGGACTATTACACATCAGAAACCTAAGGATAGCTACCACAGTCTACACAATCAATTCAGAATACAGTAAATCCTCGATGAGTGCTGGAAGGCTCTTAATTTTAATTAAATATTTCGTAAACTAATGACCGTACACGGCTGAAAAAAATATCATTGGCTTCAGAATTCCAAGCTCTGTCACCTTAAAATGTCTTTAAATCACTTCGGACACTCATCGAGTATTTACTGTAGATATCCCGTTGTCGGTATGCGTTGGATTCAAATCGGGAGCGAAAAACACAGTCTGGAAAGCAACGGGACGGCGTTATTATTGCGCTCGTAAAGAAAGTAAATATCACGGAGCACTGTATGCCGTAACGAGGAACAATTACGGGGCGCGGAAGGAACAACGTTCCGGACGGTCACGTACGCCGAAGTGTGCCAAGCTCGAAGCTTGTTCGCGAGTCCTCGCGAGTAAAAACGATCCTCTGGGACAAATATTTATAAATAATCGTTATTGAGTGGCTGGCGTGCCGAGCAATTTTTAATAGGGGAAAACATTAATAGAACTTTAATTATTACTGAATTATATCGAAAAAATTTGAAGATTAACATAGAATCTCATTAAAGCAAATAACGTAGAATTACATATTAAAAATAATCAGAATAATTTGTAAGCATATAAAATAATGTCACTGGTTAATGGTTCACGTGCTGGTTTTAGGTCCATGAGGATTCTTAAGTTATCTCCAATGGAGCCTCGATCTTCACGATCTTCACATTTTAAGAGATTCTCCAAAAATTGGTAATATTTTAAAAAGGAAATACTCTTAGAAATATTTTATTTATTCAAAGCTTGGCCTACGGTGTCCCTCTTTTATTAACAGCATAGTTCTTATCCTCTAGGAAATCTAATCAATTATTTCTAAAGACTTACATCTAATTAATTACATTCCTCGGAGGATCAGTAACGTGGACCATGTTGTTAATAAATTGAAAATTCGTTTCTTGTATTTTTCTTCTTTAAATTAATCCCATCAAAGGTATCCAAGATCTCGAAAATCTTCAGATCTTGGCATTCATCATTATAGACCCAGTCAAGCCTGAAGTTTCTTAGCAAGCTAGAAAACAGGTCAAGCCATTCAAAACTCTCGATTCTCGAAGTTCAAGGTCCACCGTCAGCAATCGTTCCATTAGATTAAATAAGAGAGCAGAAAATAACAGGAACGATCCACGTAGCTGTCGTGAACAGACCTCTGTGGTCTACGGAGCAAATCAAAAAGCAAAAGCAAAACCTCTGTGGTGTCCCTCTTTTAATCAATAAAACACTTTCCACCGCCTTGCGGTTAGCGCATGCCACGGTTAAAGATCGAACGAAAAAACGACCAATCCGAACGGGATCCATTTGTTCCGTGTATCCTCGATACACTTTCCTGGACACGCGACGTGTCGTTCAGGACAAGGAGAAAAGGTATCGCGCTAGAAAGCAACGCAGTGTGCACGAGATTTATATTTGCGTTACGGTTGATAGGTGAGTGTGTATGTGTGTCTATATAAAACGACCCGTCGGCTTGAAATTCTTGATACAATCGTACAGATGGGGACTATTAAACCGACAGTACGCGTGCACGACTTCGTGGACCGTTGTGCTGATCGCGACGTCGATCTGGATCCGGAGAGAAAAACGTCCATTTACTCTGCATGGCATTCTTGAACAGAGTGTGAAGGAATTTCAACTGGAAAATTAAACATTTTTATTGAGTGTACAATACCGTTCAGACGAATTAGGTAGGGTTGGATTTCTCGAAACATCGAAACTGGAGATGTGCAATATTGGTTCCAATATTGATAATGCTTATCGATGTATGTTTTTTCGGTAAATATCGATACATGAAAAATATTGGTTTGAAAGTATCGTTACGGAAATCTTATCAATTTTCTAATTAAGAAATAAGTTTCGAATTTTCGAGAATTCTTCCAGGGCAAAGTTACCCCAACTTACGATATTCCATTAAATAGAGATGTCTATGATATCAATATTAGAAGAGAAAATCTAGGTCTTACAAAAAAAAAAACCCGATGACAACCATGTGAATGTCAAGCTACAGTTCATAAAGACAGGATATAGAACGAAACCCCTAGGGCACAGACACATACTACTCTATTTGTAATTCAGATATCAAATTAGAAACGCAGACGGACGGCGTGCGATCCTCGAATTAGCATTTCAAATTGAAAATCGCCAGACGTTCCGTTTTCGAAAACCGCACCTACCGCCGTTGAAGCACCGTTCCTAGATGCTACCCAAGCTCGCGTGTGCGAAACACGCGTTGACGATCGGCAAGCTGAATGATGAAGGAAAAAAGAAAAAAAAAACAATCCGTAGAAAAATTATGTGGTATTCGTATAGGGTGAGTCAATAAAAACTATTATTTAAAATAACTCGTTACCCATGGTTGTATCAAAAAACATTCTAATGAATTATATAATGTAATAAGTATATAGTAATAGTAGTATACAGTAATAGAATTATATATTTCCAATGAATTATATGTGATTTCATTGTATCGTATTTTTCTTGAGATTATCAAGGTGACCTTGAGGTTTTTCAAGATCAACGCATCTTTTTTTAAGGCCATGTTGTTGCCAGCAGAAGGACGAATTCAACGACCTATAGCATGATGATATTAAAAAACAAGATACATTGACCTTTAAAAAACTCAAGGTCACCTTGATATCTGAATAAAAAAATAAGATATAATGAAATTAAATTGTATCCATCCGATGTGTGCCTTAAAATGCTATTTAATTCATTAAAATGTTTTTTGATACAAGTAATAGATAATGAATTATTTTAGATAGTATTTCTTATTGACTCACCCTGTATATATGGTAAAGGATTATTCCTTGTGCGGACGATCTCACGGTCCATCGTGGAGGTGTTTTGGTACTCCCAGCGAACGAACCGTTACGTCGAATTCCAATCGGTCGATTCGTCAGGGTCGCGATCTCCGAGCCTTGTTTCGCCGGCCAGACAGCGTGGGTGACCGGTTCCAGGTGAAATCGTTGGATCTGTATTTGGACCTACGCTTTGTTCATAGATTACTTTCAAACGACACCGGTCTCCCGTAACGTTTATCACCACTGGAGACCTAGAAAATGTGATCGTATTAAGAGTATTTTCGATTTTTCATGGTGAACTAGGAAATCTATATGACTTACAAATAAATAAAATTTTTTAGAGGGACAATATCCTCATGAGGCGACTTGCAAGGGAAGGACCCCAATTGTCGGACTTCGATTTTAGAGGGGTTTTGTAAGATGATAGTATACAGGTTCCTTTAAGATAATTTAAGTAACATAAACAATTAAAATTACGAACCTTCGAGATGTATTATAAATATAAGTCAAAGTTATGGAAGTTGCGTTGGCAAAGTAAAACAAAAATATTTCGTTGGACAGGAATCGAAACCAGGCCGTCCGATTTACCAGCGGATAAATTTTTAAAGAATTTTAAATAATCTTGTATTTTGATAAGTTCAAAACCACTGTTTAACATATTCAGTCTTTATAGGTTGTCTATAATCCACGATACAAATGATCATAAAAACTTGAAGGATCTACTATTCCTCAGCTTCATTATGTGAAAACGAACTATGAATGGAACTTGTACTAAATCAATACAATTCTTACTTTCCTCCAGGTGAAATGTTTCACTTCAACCGTAAGAAAAGTGATACTATTTTCAACCTAACAAAAGAAACATAATATTTCCAAGGACCACACAATTCTGAGCAGTATTTTCTCTCGGTTTCCATCGTTTTTCATCCAGCTCCACTGAGAAACCGTCGACAATTTCACGAGAGAACGGGACAAACTTGTTCCTCTATACCTCGCCAAGTGAAAATCGTTATCAGACTCTCCATTTACGAAGAATCCACGGAGGCCGTCTAAGATCCTCCGCGACGCAGTCTAATCTACGGAGCTTCCAGTCCCGTAGTTTCACTTTTAAACGTCCAACCATTACCTCCTGATATCGCGTTGTCGTTAATCCAGGGGTACCGATGTCAATAACGTTCATCATATGAAATCAAGGTCACGAGTAACCTGGCGCAGTAACTGCAATTTTCCGCGAAATGTGGCCTTGATATCGCGTGTCTACAGAATATTTCTCGAACGGCCAATCAATCGAGTCGCGCGAAAAAATGGTCGACACGAACGGTAACGCGGCGAACGCAAAGAAATAAAAAAAAAAATGAGGGAACAGGGTTATCCAGGAGAAAGTTAACGAAACAGGTAGATAATGCGCCACGGCGATGCAAATCGACTTATAGCACGTGACCATTCGGTTTCTTCCGTTTAATCCCGTATTGATCCGATGGACGATCGGTTCGTGTCGCTGACAGGCGATCACTTAAGGGGAAATAGGATAATCGGCGGTTCAATGGTATTCCAGCGAGAAGGTGTGCCTGGTTCTATTTCATGGGCAGTTAAACCGTCGTGGTTTCCGAGAACCAGCCGGAATTTCTAGAAAGAATGTATATGTATATAATAAATCCTTCGTTTGTGAGATTTGGTGATCCCTCGACACGGGGCGATCAGTATCCGAGGAGTATTAATTAATTGATCCTGGTGATCCTGACGGGTTCCAATCTCGATGGAATTCTTGTGCCAAAGTGTGCCACGTTTTCTTTTATCCTTAATCTTGACCGAATGGAAACGTATTGATATATTCATGTGTCGTGCAACTTTGAGTATACAGATGGTCCCTCGTAACGCGACTCATTATTTTTCTGCCATTGAAACAAAATGTGTTTTGAACTTCATGGCATAGAGTGCTGTACAAATGACGATAAAAAAAATTGCGAAAACACTTTGTTTACATAACGATACCACGGTCACCTTGGTTAGCATAAATAGGATCGAATTTTCTTCGTGTGATAGTAGGGGATTTCCCCCTATTTCCCTAAAAATCCCCTATTTTCTTCCTTAATGGGACCCAGAAGTTCGTAGCTATTTTCATCGGGAAATAATCGAGCGACCAATCCCAATTCTTCCGGGGGGTAATTCTCGAATTCCTCGATGGCACGAAGGAATGTCCATGAAACGACCGCCGGTCACGCGCACGATTTCATTGTGAGATGCCGCGCATTGAACTGGTTTCGCAAAATCGTGTTTTTACGATCGGCGACGCAACGTGCGCGCGCGGCTTTCCGTGGTTTTCCGTGTATCGCCTCGGGACGGCAGACCGCTGCTTCCGGTCTCCGAGTTACCGAACGAGGCCACTTGGTCAACAGGTCCGTTCCATCCGATTCCTTGGATCGCGCGAGTGAGATTCGCAGTCGAACCGGTTACCAGGCGTCCATCCTTCCTTCCCCCGACTTTTGCACCTGAACAGAAGGATAGAGAAAGAGAGAGAAAGAAAGAGAACCAAAGACGAGATTTTCACGCGTGGTTCGATCGCTTCGAATCTCTTGTCACGTTGCTGTCGTGCATCGAGAAAGAAGAAAATAAGTACAGTCGATCACGAAAGTACGTAGCCCGTCTTGTTTGAAAGTTTTACTAAATATTCGACTTGCATCAGCTGTACCAGTCAGTAGTCCACGATTAGTTTTTTATCGGGACGAAATTGGTATTCATTGGAAAGCAAATGAAGGATCTGTGTACTTTCTTGTGGATCTCAACGACTTATAACATGATGGTATCTTATTTTTTTTTTTTTTTTTTTTAGATATCAAGGTGAACTTGAGTTTTTTCAAGGTCAATGCACCTTTTTTTAATACCATCGTGCTACAGGTCGTTGAATTTATCGTTTTATTGACAATAACGTGGAAGTAAAAAAAAAAGATGCATGGACCTTGAAGATACTCAAGGGACCTTGATATCTCAAAAAAAATAACATATAAAAAAAATCGAATTCTATCCAACAATGTTGGTCTTGTTTTAAATGACACAGCGGTATTAATTTTATGCAACAAAATTTGTAACGGTATTTATATTGTCTAGCTTCTTCACAATGTACGTATCACCCATATTTGGGTATCGTGGCAGTCGAAGTGTTAAGTTGAAGTTCCCTTGTTAGTACACCTTGTATTACGTTAATCCTTTAGGAAATCAGAAAACTGTTTCCTTTTTCAATCTTTCATTTTAATTTTTATTGCAACCTAATTTAAATGATCGTCTGGATTATGAGATTGCACAATGGAAGGATATTCACTAAGAATTGTTGATGCAAAATGGTGATATCCCTAGTATGGAAATTCGTGGTGTTCTCTCTCGGGTCTCGTGTTATTCGAGCAACGTACTATCTACGAGTACGTAAATCACATTACACTGTTGAGTGAAAAAGGAACCAGTCGGGCACAGTTTCGAGCAGTAATCTGTTTACACAGGTTGAGGCCGATGGCCCCATTTTCTCGGTGACTTCCGGTTGGGAAAATTAATGAACGAGCCGCTGAATTGCGAGAAAACGGGGAACCGAATGATCCGAGGTCAGATATTTCTGGAACGCCGCGGGAGACCGTTAATGGGACATTTTCACGGGAATGGGTACGATAAACACCATAAAACGACAACGATATTTCTTATTGAATTATAATGATAACGGTCAGATTAGTTGCGTGACATTGTAAAGTAGCGTCGGTTATTTAAATCTCTCTTGGATCGAGATATTCCATCTTACGAAACCTAATAATTGATCAGAAATTCCGTTTTTCCTATTTTCATATAAAAAGGGCAGGCGGTTTTAAGCAATGTTGATCTGTCGTGGCGATCGATTCACTTTATTGACACTAATCGCTAAAGCAAATATAAAATACAAAACAATTAAGTAACCTACGGAATAAATAGTTCCTAAATTCCGAAACGACACGATTCGTTCGTTGAATGATCAGCTACAGAGCTATCTACAAAACGAAAATAATTAAATAATATTTACAAGTCAACGTGTTCCAAAAAGCACTCGTCGATTCGAAACATGGCCGTTGTTCCTAAATATCGTCTGGCATCGAAATAATACGCCTGTTCGATGGCAACGTCGTACAGCGCGAATTCTTTACGTATTCATTTCCAACAATTCATATCCTAACTTCATTTCGATCAAACTGACCTCACAAAGATTATTCAAACATCAGAGAGCATTCGACATTTTCTACGATCCTGAACATGTCATAGAATCTCAATAAAAAAAAACACACAGTAAGCGCTAAAAATTATTAAAATTCAACTACTTCAAACAGAATTCTTCTCATATTCTAAACAAATTAATCAACTCCCCAATATATCAACAATTATTTCGTAATACAGTAAAGACTCTATGAGAGTTGGATGACAAGTTCCTCGTAAGAGTTTCTATTTAATCCCCACAAATGTTGAAACGATTCATGGTACACCGTGAAAATTTTGACTCGTGTTTCAAACTCTCATGGAGTATTTACTGTACCATTAAGTTCTTCCAAGTCCTATACAACAGAGGAAAACAATTATGGAGCCTTTCACGACTGATACTCTCGATAGCCTCGATAAGCAAGGTCCTGGCCAAAAGACACAGTGTCCCTGTTGTGGTAGTCTTGATACTCAGGCCCATGATGGCCGTTCTGATCGCCATAAGGATAGCTATTGGAGTTGTCTTTGTAATAAGGATAACCGACACCGCTCTGACTGTACACTGGCGGTTGATAATTCTGACTGAGGGGCTTGTACAGCTTGAAGAAGCCGATCAGACCAGGTATCACGATCGCAAGGAAGCCGAGGAACTTCTTGAAGGACGCCAGACCCAAGATCAACGGCAGGAACAACAGTAGTTTCAGCTTGAACAGTTTCAGCACGATCAGCATTGGTATCAAAAGCTTCTTCAGCTGATGTCGGGCTGCAAGAAAGAAACATTCATCGATGAACCATTACAACAAAGAGGTGACGTTTTTTGAAAATGGAAACTCACAGAACAACGTGTCCTTCTTGTTCTCGAGAGTGTCGATTTCGTCCGCGATTTCGTCCAAGAACCGTGGCGCGTACACATCGTTTTCACCGGTTTCTGTGGATGGAATGTGCAGCTCGATGACCGCTGTTTTCACGAATTTCTCTACTTTTCGTAGAGCGAACTTCATCAGATGGTCCCATTCTGAATCGCTGGATCTGAAGAAGGAAAATGCAACAAAGAAATCAGTACAGATCAGATTTATTCCTCTATTTTACGCGTAATCGGAATCCATATACTACTGTAATGGACAATGTGGAAATGTTTATCGTAGTAGATACAGGGTGAGTCAATGAGAACTAGTATCTAAAATAACTCGTCACCTGTTGATTGTATCAGAAAATGTTTCAATGAGTTATATGTATAGCATTTTAAGGAACACATCGGATGGATACAATATGATTTTTTTATCTTATATTTTTGAGATATCAAAGTGACCTTGGATTTTCCCAAGGTTAAGGCATCTTTGTTCAATACCATGTATTAAAAAAAAAAGATGCATTGACCTTGGAAAAACTCAAGGTCACCTCTTAATTATCGAAACTATAAGTCAGAATGCTTCTAACATTTCTACTATTTATTCACCAATACCTCGCTTCGCTCGAATATTCGTACGGCTGACGACTGACATCCTGGACCACGTCCCTGGACATCCTGACGACCTTCACGTGATCGTTCAGGTCGTAGTGCGAGTGATCGAAGAAGTCTGAGAAGTAACTCAACGCCTGGGACTTGAAGCAATCAGCTAGATCGCCGTTCAGGCAGCCTTTGTTCGTCCTCGCTATATAGGGATCGACATTTCGTCCCGTTCCGAGGCCGATCCAATCGAAAATTCCCTTACCCTGTCTGGTTCCATTATACGGCACCTGTTGTTGCGGTTCTGGTACATTGTTGTCTGAAAAAGAAATTAATAATAATCACTGCCAGATCAAGTCGCCAACCGAATTAAGCTACTTGATTCGAAGAATTGAGGACACTCAATGAAAAAGTGAATCCTAATTTTACAATAATTTTTTTTAAAATCGTTGAACCTGTGCGTAGAAATTTCAAGCTTCAACAGGGAGAGGGTTAAATCAAAAAATTCCACCATAGACGAGATACAGTGACTCACATATTCGTTCACGGACTTTTGAAATAACAATTAGGTGCCAAAACTTTTCTGCAATTTCTATTTATACACATATTCTTTTGTAATCAATTCTTCTTAATTTTGAAATAGAATTCGCATAAATTATTTGGTCAAATACAAGTGACAGCGTTTCGTGAACAAACTTGTGAGTCACTGTATATTCTTATACATCGTCTGTGATTCTACTCACCGCGACTCTCTGATTGGTCGCTGGAAGCCTCGTCCTCGAAGGTAACCGACTGACACGGTAACAACAGCATCCAGAACAGCACCAGACCGTGGGTTACCAGCAACGGGACTAGTCGCATGCTGCTCACCTGGACGTTGTACCTGCAGTGACATCACCTTATCGACACTCGTTTTCACGTGGGTCACATATTACGAATAACCTTGCATGGTCCCACGTGTTCTGTTTTCCGTGGACCACGCGCTGTCTCTAGTTTTACGATTCGAAAGCTCGTAATTTCAAGAAGGAAAACAAAACGGGGACAGAAGCAAACGAACTCAGTTACGCTTACGTCGAGACAGCTGCATACGTCTATTTTATCAAGGATTAATCGTGGACAGAAATTGATCAACGATGACGAGATCGTGATGGTTTTAATTAAAAAAAAAAAAATTGACGCCTCTTACCAGCACTCCGTCAACTGACCCGCTTCCGGGACACAGTAACCGACAGCATTGTCTCACAATTTCGAGCAAAAACAACAAAAAAGCACGCTCGTCTTGATTCACGAACAGCACTACAGTGTCTGCAGTGGAGCAGTTTCGATCGTAGCCGCGCCGTGGGCCCCGGAAAGTGCCGTTAGCTCGACGAGCCAATCGTGGCCACGGATTGAAAGGAACCGGGTCCGTAACCTTGTATTCCGGCCGCGCGCGCGTCGTATTCGTCAGGCTGATCACGTACTCCCTTCGATCCTGGATCGATAGAACCCGAAATTTTCTGATTTTCGACAGTTTATCCACCGTTTACGAATTTAACAATTCTATTGTCACGTTGGGACGTAAATGGGCCCTATTGGAACCGTATTTATCGCGCTAGTTAGGTAATCTATGTGATTGTGGATCGATAGATCCCGAAATTTTCTGATTTTCAACAGTATATCCACCGTTTACGAATGTAACAATTCTATTGTCACGTTGGGACGTAAATGGGCCCTTTTGGGACCGTATTCGTCGCGCTAGTTAGGTAATCTTTACGATTGTGGATCGATAGATCCCAAATTTTCCTAGTTTTCGACAGTATATCCACCATTTACTAATTTGACAATTCTATTGTCACGTTGGGACGTAAATGGGCCCTATTGGGACCGTATTCGTCCCGCTAGTTAGGTAATCTTTACGATTGTGGATCGATAGATCCCAAATTTTCCTGGTTTTCGACAGTATATCCACCATTTACTAATTTGACAATTCTATTGTCACGTTGGGACGTAAATGGGCCCTATTGGGACCGTATTCGTCGCGCTAGTTAGGTAATCTTTACGATTGTGGATCGATAGATCTCGAATTTTCATATTTTTCGACAGTATATCCACCGTTTACTAATTTGACAATTGTATTGCACGAGGTATACTTAATAATAATATTTTTAACAAAAATTACACCACGAACCACGGGCTTTTACCAAACTTTGTAAAATACAAATACTGTACTGTATAAAAGTCACTGTCCTCCATATTCACCGGAAAAAAAGTGCATCGAGTAAATATTGGTCGCTTAATAATCATAGTTTCCTCCAAGCATTGCATCACAAACCTTTAAACTCAACGAAATTTCGTCGAATAAATTTACCGTACTGCAAAAACTCGACGATTCTCACCTTCACGATAAAAATTTCGAACTCCGCGATTGAATCCCGGCCAATAACACCGAGATGACGAACCAAGAGTCAAACGCATCCGTTCGCGACCGTTGCTCTTTATATAAAGGCGCAGCAAACGAAGAATGGTAGAGGGGAAGATAGATCCGTGGGTTGTGAGAGCAGCGAGTGGAGAAAAAAAAAAGAAAAAGAAAACATTAAAAACCGAAAGTGAAAGTGGTCCCCCCGCCCGGATATAGGACCGGAACCTGGGACGGTTTTGAAGAAAGAGGGACGAGCAAGAGCGAGAAATAAGACGCGAGAGTCGTTGGGACTTTCCTTCGTGATCCAACGATCGAACCATGCGTCATCGCCCCCTTTCGTTTTCTCTCTGCGTGTCTTCGTAAACCACACTAGGCCTTTGTACGTTTCTCTGGTTAATATACTCGTTAAGCCCTTCCCTGTTACGTGATCGCCAAGGAAATTTCGTTACCTGTAAGTAAATCACGATATACAGAGTGAGTCAATAAGAACTACTATCTAAAATAACCCATTACCTGTTAGTTGTATCAAAAAACGTTGAATGAATTATATAGTATTTTAAGGGACACATCGAATGGATATATCTTTATTTCATCGTAACTTATTTTTTTCTGTAGATATCAAAGTGACCTGGAATTTTTTCAGGGTCAATGCATCCGTTTTTTAATACCAGGTTATTGTCAATAGAAGGACGAATTCAACGACCTACTGATGGTATCTTATTTTTTTTTTTTCTTAGATATCAACGTGATCTTGAGTTTTTTCTATTGGCAAAAACGTGGTATTAAAAAAATGATGCATTGACCTTGAAAGAATTCAAGATCACCTTGATATCTCAACAAAAATAAGATACGAATTAATCAAGTTGTATTAATCGAATTGCATCCCTCAAAATGCTACATAATTCATTGGAACGTTTTCCGTTACAATAAATAGGTAACGAGTTATTTTACATAATAGTTCTTATTGACTCACCCCCTGTATTAGTCGACGCGTGACGAAACGTTCCCGGTATTATTCGTTACGCAATCGACAGAAAAGAAAAAGAAACGAAAAAGCAGAGAATGTAGCGCAGTCACAGCATTTATTGGCGCACACTGTACATCAGACGCGGTTCGAGCCGCGTCGGGTCGTCGTACGACCCCGCTCGAATAAATAAATAGACATTTAATTTATACGGGAACGTTCATACACCACACACGATTTAATCGATAAATTAACACCCGCGCGCGATACAAATAAACTAGGACCAGCGAAGCCTCGGGCGACATCCTCGAATTATTTGGGGAAAAGGGGAGGGTCGGTTTAACCCTCGCCCGACCGATCCGGGTCATTCTTGACCCTTGCTTCTGATCCAGTGATGTATACGTTACTGGACGATATTTCAGGTAAACGCACCAATGAATGAACGCTAGAGAGATTTTATAACCCTAAAAAAAGAAATTTTACATAATAATGTTAATAAATAATTGGCACATGAAAATTAGATTTCCTAAATATCTCTATCTTCTTGGATTCAATTTAAAAAATTGGGACCAATGGCGCGAAACTTGTATGTGAAACAAGGATTTGAAAAAAAGATGAATATTTCATTAATTTCTTATTTTAATAACTTAATTTCCTATCTAAAACTTCATTACGGGTGAAAAGTGATCCGGATCGGCCTAGTTTTTGATTGGCGTTTCGAGGTTCAAAAGGGACGTCGCTCGATGCAGGGCTCAGCTGAGAGGCTACGGTAATTCGTTACGATATTTCGATAGGACTCTGAATCGCGAATCAGTGGGCTCCGTTCGCTGGAAAATCGTGGCGTCGTCGACGTAGCGACGTGACCATTTCCCGCGATTGCGAGAAGAATGTACGAAACCGATCGAAATTACGGGACCAGTTGACTGAACGAAACAATAATTCTATCTTTGCGATGGTATACTTGAAACATTATTTTTCACAGCAAAACAGAACTAATTACAATAACTTTAAACCATTAGCCGCTTATGTTGTTATATTTTTATAACTAAATAATTGTTATATTTCTGCCACTGTTGTATTTATTTCGTTCCATCTTTTATTCACGTATCTTTGTTTATATTTACAATATCTCTGCACCAGAGAGTTTTTCCCGTTAAAATAAATTATTGTTATTGTTTTGAGAATCTGTAGCTTCTAATTTTACAAAGATTTGGAGAAACATTGTTTTGTTACATTAAAATATCTAATACTACAACTTTGTTTCCAGTGTCTTATGAAAATTTACTAAAAATTTTGTAATTAACTATATGTTTTTCCTTGGATCACATGGATTTTGATTAGACAGTATACGTTCGTTTCGTTAATTGCATATACTGGTCCCATATTTGCGATCGATAGCGTATCTAGAATATCGTTCGAGCGAATTGCTATTGTGCATCGGACCTACTTCTGCTCGCCAGTAGCTATTACGCAAGAGCCACATTCGAGTAAATGTATACGCGAATCCCGGCTCGAATAGCGTGGTACCGTTATCACCGTGGCCGAACGTAATCATTACCATTTCATCGTGTCACCATTAACCTCTCGCGAAAAACCGATCTCACGGACAGGTGACAAGTGTCTCCGGTTTTCATTGAAACTTTAATTGTCCCGACCGACATGAACGACCACAGAATGTAACAATTCTGAATCGTCTGTTGCGACTTCGGAGGAACGTCGTTCGCATGATTTACGAAAGATAGGTCGACGTACGGTGGTATGCATGTAAAGGACTCGAAGAGTTTCGTCGTTTGGACCCTAAAAGTACTCGAATCATTTAAATATAGAATATTCGAATAAATAAATAAATAAATAAGTAAATTTGTAAGTATCTCTGTAGCGATGGTGCTAATACCCTGTGAATATTTCACGAGAAAAGACTTTGGTGTCCTCGAGTAAATGGCCATCTTAATTAATCGAAATTTTACTGTGTAATATTCCGAGACTTCGATACCCGCATAGGACAGCATTCTATGTACAGGGTAAGTCAATGAGAACTACTATAGAAAATAACTCGTTACCTATTCGTTGTAGCAGAAAACGTTTTAATAAATTGTGTAGCATTGTGACTTATTTTTCTTGAGATATCAAGGTGACCTTAAGTTTTTTTAAGGTCAACGCATGTTTTTTTTATTACCATCATTCTGTAGGTTGTTGAATTTGTCCTTCTATTGCCAACAAGGTGGTATTAAAAACAAAGATACATTGACCTTGAAAAAACTCAAGGTCACTCCGATATCTAAAAAAAAATAAGATATAAAAAAACTAAATTGTATCCATCCGATGCGTCCCTTAAAATGCCAAATAATTCATTAAAACGTGTTCTGACACAATCATTAGATTTTTAAGTCAATTTCCAAAATTAATTAATCGAATTATATCGAAGCAACTGAATATTTACAATCCCAGACATACAATATACCTACCTAATTAAAAAAAACACGTAAAACAGTCGAAATAAAAATACGCAATTTAAGCGATCTTTCCTAGCAACCGAAAGTCCCCTTACGCGGTTTATTCTCAACTTCAACAGCCAGAGCTTTCTACACCGCTAATCTCTTCGAAGCCATCGCATATCTGGCTCCAAATCAGTCCGACAACCTCAATCTCGCATATAAATAAACCTCATCTGGCCAGTAATTTCCACATACTGAAATCCCCCTAAATCTATAATTACCGCCCACAGAAAATTCCGTTCCGAGACGCTGGGTACCTGCATACCAACGCACGATCGACGTAAACGAAATCATTTCCACTCCATTGCTACTCGAGGCACCTGATCATCGACACCTAACAATGTCACCGTAAGGTCCTCCACGGTCAGGTCCTCTTCGATCCTTAGGATCTATATGTTCGGCGATCGATTCGCCGTCAGAAGCAATCCTGAACGGTGTTTTCTTTTGGCCAAGTTTCTACAAATTCCTCGCGTGGACAAGCTTGTCGATGTCCTGATAGGTCGCCAGAATCGCCTGATTCTGTCTGTGACTCTCGTCCTCACGCGCGATCGCGCAATTCGTGTACGCGTCCTCGCACTTCACGCCGTCCTGGCCGTCCTTCGCGGCCTTCATGTACCGGAAGAACCGTAGGACGTCCGGATTGTCGCTGCTCGGCCTTCGTAGCTCGTTCAGCTCCCTGGACAGCTGGGCCGAGACCAGATTCGAGTACGGCGCGTACCTGGCCGGGCTTCGATACATCGCGCAGACCATGTGCTCCCGGCAACCCTCCGTGGTGTGGCCCAAACGGGAGAACACGGCGTCGAGACGCGACAGAAGAGGCGAGTAGAAGGGATCGTAGTTGGTCAGCATCAACGAGCTCGTCGGGATCTCGTGGAACACCTGTCGTTCGTGGTCAAAACGTGACTTGTGAAGATTTTTAGACACTAAGGTTGGATTTTTCGTTCGGTATTGTGAGTGAATTGACGATGTCAAAAAGTACAATTAAATATTTTGTTCAGTATTGTGAGTGAATTTACGATGTCAAAAAGTACAATTAAATATTTTGTTCCGTATTGTGAGTGAATTGACGATGTCGAGAAGTACAGTTAGATTTTTTGTTCGGTATTGTGAGTGAATTGACGATGTCGAGAAGTACAGTTAGATTTTTTGTTCGGTATTGTGAGTGAATTGACGATGTCGAGAAGTACAGTTAGATTTTTTGTTCGGTATTGTGAGTGAATTGACGATGTCGAGAAGTACAGTAAATCATCGATGAGTGTTCGAAGCTCCTTGGCATTGGCAAGGTGAGATCGCCAGGTGTAAGGCTGACGTTTTTAATGGAGTTCAGCTTAGTGATTGACCTTGGAATTCTGGAGCCAATGGTATTTGTTTCAGCCATAAGTGACAATTAGTTTATGAGATATTTAACTAATTTACCGATGAAGCCTCCGAACATTCCTAGAGAATTTACTGTATTGTGAATTTGCTCTTTAATGGGGTTCAGCAAAGAATTCTGAAGTTGATGTTCGATTCAGCCGCATACGATCATTAAAATTTCACTCAAAGTCACTTTAAAATTCATTGAACTCATTTTCATGCCTGATTCATCCTCAGAATTCTAAAGTGACTTTAACTGAAATTTATTACTTATTCACAAAAAAATATTGAGTGTCTAGTGTGAAAGATCTTTCAAAGGAAACACCGCGATTTGCATGAAGCAAGTGGTTCCATTGAATTGGGAAACAAAACTCGTAAATGGAGATGTTACCTTAAAGTCCTGCTTTTTACTCGAGAGCCCGTTCATGGCAACGTGCCGTGTGTAATAACGATCCGAAATGGCGTTTGCGTGCGTTATTCTGGGATCGACGAACGAATACCGCGACGAAATCTCGGGATTCTTCTGGAGCATACTCTCGTCGTACATCGCAGACGCAGGTAACGTTCCTACCGGCTGACGGGTCAGGTAATCGTCGTTATAGAGATCGGAATTGTCCTTGAATTCGAAACTCTCTTCCGGTTGCGCAGTGGTTTGCGCCGACTGCGCGAACGATGAGACACCTGCCAAGTGAAGATGCTTTATCAGATCACTTCCAACACAATTTCACGATAAAAATAAGAATTTTGGGTAAATATTCTTACTTAGGAATTTTTACTATTCACTTTTACTTTTTACCAACCGGTCAATTATAGCCTCTAAACGCTAAATTTTATATTGTTTAATATACAATATATCTAAATTCGGTTCATTGGCTGCAATATTTACACTAATGCCCGAAGAATACAAACGCTGAAATGGTGTAAAGAAAAGACAAACGAGTAAAATTTCGTCACAATTGAATCTAATGAAAAAGGCAAAAAATTGTCAAATCACCCAATACATTATATCTCTGAGAAGAGTTTAGAATTGCAGTAAAAAAATGACCCCTAAACCTTTCGGAACTTCACAATGGTAAGACTCCTAATCGTCATTAACGAGACAAAAATGAAGTACGTACCTTTGCCGAGTATATTACCAAGACTCCCGATGATGCTGGGCAGGAAAAGTGCGAGCAGTACGCTCTTAATGATCTGCACGCCGAATATCAGCGGCAGCAGCAGCTTCTTCAGGCCAAACGCTAGAAAACCAAGCCCGAATCCTGTTAAAAAGGTACTCTTTCCAACGCCTCCAGTTTCTCTCTCTCTCTCTCTTTCTTTCTTTCTCTCTCTCTCTCTCGTAATCCAAAGTGCCAGCCACGATCGCTGAAAATCACTCGAATTCATGAGAAGATTCGCGTAGATCGGGCGTATCGGTGATCCATAAGGGAGATTCGACGGAAGCTGAACATATAATGAATGGTATATTTGCCAATCAGCGGTGACCCAACCGGATTAATCATTTTTAGCGCACACAAATAAGCCAATCAGTGATGTGATAAAGCGTCACACTTTTTCGATGTGAAACGACCGGATCATTCCAGTCTTTTTCTGTCTTGCGCGATTCCTCGCCATTTTGAGATGGAGCTGCGTGTATGTACATACATTATCGACGGAAAGTTTGGAAGTAGCATATTCAGCGGACAAAATGTCGAAAAGTAAACTTTTCGATGAGATAATTCGACTACTTCAAGGTGGAAATTGATCGAGCATCGTGGGACATATTTTTCACTACCATCCCTTAACCTATTTGCATCATTTGAAAAGAATGAATAATTAGATCCTGAATAGGAAATTTTGTTTTTCTTAAATTTAATTACAAGTATCTCAGTATACTCTCTTATTCTTCTATTTTTTAATACCATCATGCATTGGTCGTTGAAATCGTCCCTCTATTGATCACAACGTGGTATTAAGAAAAGGATGCATTGTCCTTGAAGAAACTCAAGGTCACCTTGATATCTAAAAAAAAAATTATTCTAGATAGTAAGTCTCATTGACTGATCTTATAGGTATACACTTCCGTAATAGTATATTTAACCCAAACCCACCCCTGTAAGTCCCACGAGAAGATAATACTGGTAACCAAACAGAAAAGCAACAATTAGCATTTACAACGTTGGAGTTTCCTCTAGCAATTAAAAAACATTGAATCGAGTGTGAATAATTTCCACGCTCAGGATTTTTTATACTCCATCTATCATCTGCCTATCTTGTCCATTGCCACTTCATCACCCTGTTGATTCTACGACCACACCATACCCGATCCACCAAGATCCACGAGATATCAAACTTTTCATCTACGTCCAGTAACTACTTTCAACCTTTCAGTCGGTCGTGTACAACGAATGATGCTGTTTAAATTTCAAAGCGTGTATACGGGTCTTGACTATAGTACCCTCACAAATGGAATTTCCATGAAACACAGAACGGAAACCTGCTGTCTCCGAAACCTGAATCAAGGATTTTAAGTGACGAACCGTCGTATGCGAACCGGGCGCGGAAAGCGGGTCTCTTGGCTTTCGACACTCCGTGGGTTTACTTTTCTCTTTTGCTTCCTCTCCGTCCCCTGGGGTTTCCTGTTTCGGAAGAGTCGTCCGAACAAACGTTCCTGCCACTTTTCCAGCCAATCGGCGACCTACAAGATACTTGAAACACACATCCCTAGCCACTGCTGGGATTCGTCCAGACTACGATCAAGACCCAGGCTACAAGATGTATCTAAAAAGTGATGGGACTGGTTCTCTGAAAATATTTATTAGCAATTCAAGATAGTTCCCTTGGGAAGCCACACACTGCCAGAGACCTTGTTCCCACTTTTGGGAACAGTGCTAGAGGTCTTCAACTGGAACTGCAATCAGGTAGCCTTATCATCATATTATCCACAAATCCAAGATGATGACTCCTGGGTTTTGGGAACAGGAAGAAGTTACATGGACTCAGATCAGGAAAGCATACAAGCTATGGAACCATAGAAGTACCCTACCTAGCTAGAAACTGATTCACAGAGAGTTTCCTTGGAAGATGCATCGTGACAATGCTTCATATCACACTGCACCCTCTATGAACAAGTTTCTGTAGAATAAAAGTGCTCCTGTGATTCCAAATCCCCCTCAATCCCCTCGTCAGAGTCCACGTGACTTCTACATCCTCCCAAAAATTCGAATCCAAGACTAGTCATCTAAGAATTGACAACATCCAACACATTTAGACAGACCACCTGAAGACAGTTCCACTTAAATACCTCCAGCACTGTTTCCAAATCTGAGAACAAAGTCCCTATCGACGCATGGCACCCCAAAGGAACAATTCTGAAGGGTATAACTCCTAGTTCATCGGATAAATATTTTCAAAAACCCAGTCCGATTACTTTTCAGACACACCTCGTACCACCTTGCGCACACATACACAGTGAAAAACAGGCAGCAATCTCTCTCTCTCTCTCTCTCTTTCTCTCGCATTGTGAGGCCCGACCATAGCAACATCGCAGGCTGCATCTCGCGGCGCTGGTACGCAAGTTACGAAAGCGTGACTCTCCGTGGACTCACCGTTGAAGAAGGTTCTAGCGTTTCTAGAGGGGATTAAGTCCTGGCTCAGCCGTATCTTTACTACGTGTTCCCTGGCGAACCGGCGAACATTATCGAGAAGGCTCGCCTCCGGCCGGTCGTTACCTTTTTCGTCGGTCCTCGGGACAGAGCCTGATGCGTCCTTGCTCCTTGTTATCTGCTCTGTAGCGTTGTGAACATCGATCCTAGACAATCTGTCCATCTGTTGGTTCGTATCCTTTCGGGTGCACGTGGTAGCAGAATCGTCTTGACAATCGTTCGCGCCTGGGACCGCCGTTGCGTTCTCCATTCTGCTCGCCTCGATCTGATACTGCGCCTTGTCATCCGTCTGTATCACCTGGTTATCGTTCAGATCGAACTTGCTGGGCTTCCCAGGCATCGTATGGGGATGGTCCATCGTATCGTCGTTGACGAACGACACTTCGTTCGCGAGCTCGTCGTCCTGGGCCGTGTCACTGGTCCCGTTCAAGGCGGCCACGTGGTGGTCCTTGACCCCGACCGCCGGCCGGAACCACGCGATCGTCAAGATCACGAGGATCAAGCCGCTCCTCGATCCAGCCATCGTACCCTGGCCTTCGATTTCGTACACTTGGTCCCTCTCGCTGGACTTCCTTTCTCTCTTCCTCTATTTCACTCTTGTGTTTCTGTCTCGGGCTAGCTACTTTTACTGCCGAAAGACAACTGCATCTCGGTCCGCTTCGCTCGCTCGACGTACCCTGGAATGAAAGCAATCGTAGCTGATAAAACGACTTTGATACTTTTTACTTCGTTACGGGATTCAGCTGAGCAACTTTCGAAATGAATGCCTCGACACTTTGCCTGTCTACTTTGGATCGTGAACGTCTCGAATGATTTGCAAATCGAAGAAATAACGATGCTGGGTAACTGTCTGACTGGTAAGACAAGTTGGGTACAGGAACAATGTCTTCGTCGAGGTTTTACGATACTCACCGTCACGTTGCCTAGCTGACATCAACGTCGCTAGGGTTTTCTCGATTGCTTCTCGAAGAAATTCGGCTGGACCACTGCGGTCGGTTTCTAGCGATCGATGATTCCTGTCACAGGGAACACCAGCGAACGAACACGCCGGAATCGTGCGCGCGACGGTCGACTCGGTACTGTGAGTCTCTCGGTCGGATCGAGCGGACTGATCCGATCTGGGTTACCCGGCCATCCGTCTGTCCGTTCCTTTCCACCTTCCTCTCTTCTACGTTCGCTCATTCGTCCGTTCCGCTCCCGCCGAACGACGGGCACCTTCTCTCTTTCACCTCTACGAGTCATCGTCGTCACCCTCCACCATTCAAATCCGATCGAATTCGACTAACGACAACCAACGACGGGCCCGATTTCACCGGTTGGAATTTCGGCTGATCCACCTGAAAACGTTCCATTTTTTTTTTCCTTCTGACGTTCCAGGGGATCTCATCGATGACAATGGACAAGAGTGAGGGGTGACTGAAAATGGAAACTGAACTTACAAGATCAGCGAGTGTCTCCATGTAATGAGACATTAGTTCTTGGTGACTGATTTAGAAAGGACGACAGCGAAGGTGTTCGTGGCGCGCTGTTGACATTGAGACTAGGGATGTTCGATTCCTCTTCGATTGTTTAAAAAATCGATTTATTTAATCGATTCTCTGCTATTTGATTTTTGCGAGAATCGATTTTTTACTCTCAAAATCGAGAACTGATTGTGTAGTAAGTTTTCCAAAATTTTTTCACAAATTTTTTAATTGTACACCATATTTATGGTCAATTGTCGTTTTAGCTTCAAGATCGCTGGTGTTCATACGCAAGGCAATAGGAAATAAATACTTTTAGTATGAGATACTTGAGTATGAGTTTTGAGAATCGATTGTTTGAACAGAATCGAACATCCCTACTTGAGACCATTCGTGTCGTCACTGGGGATGGATAAGAGTCCAGATCGAAACAGAAAACTTTAGGCAATTCTTTCGTCTGGTAGATTCTTTAAGGTAAGGACTTTGGATTTATCGGGGAATGGATAGCGGAGTAGAAAGTGTAGGTTAATGTCGGCACTAATTTCCGTACAATAAAACCGTGAACGTGACGGTAATGTTAACACTGCTCCCGGTGACTTCGACGCGTGTCGAAGCGATATATCGCCGCGTACGAACCACAACGAGCGATCCAAACAAGAAAGAATATGATAATATTGAAATAATTCCTAACAAAATTTTTTAAAGATCGTTTTTCCTATACGATGTGTCACCATGACAAATTAATAAATCATGTTCCCTTTACGTCTTGAATTAGAATTGATTCTAACAGAGGTCATTATAACTAAAGTATGTTAGACCTGGAGTTATGGTTCTGACGAAATCTCGATAAAACTTTATCTCTGTTCTCTTCACGCCTATCGGAGGATAACAAGAAAAAAAAAAATCCAGAATCCATGTTATCTCGACAGCCTTTTTCAGTGAACGTCTCTAAGTGGGTTGCTAATCCGGTTTCGTCTTCATTTTTCATCGGCGTCGAAAAGATCGCGCGGATAAGCGAACACATCGAGAATCAGCGTTTTTTTTCCAATGTTCCCTGACATATCCCAGGTGGATCCAACGCGAAATCGCGTCGCTAACGGTGAAAAATATTGGATGGAAAGGGCGGGTTCTCGTATGAAATCGCAAACAAAACTCGTCACGAATCCGAGGAGCGTCGCACAGTTTTACGAGCCGATTTCTCTGCAGCCTCGTCCCGAATTCAGTGGTGATCCCCCCACTTCTTCCGATTCCACGAAATCACAGGCTGCTATCGTTGTGTTTCACGTGAACCGAGGAAAACTCGAACAACATCGCGGTTTGAATTTTAATTTGGGATTCAGTGAACCCGGTGAGACTCGAGCATCGACCCACGTTTACGTGCCTGTACGGTCTGCGCAAGTACTTTCTTTATCTACTGCACAACCTACTTGGAATGTTTGTCGGACCCATAGAAGCTATTTACCCCTTGAGACGGTCCTTATTTGATGAGTAGACTGCGGATCTTTATGCAAAATAACATTTTGTTCAGTAATTTACAAAGGCAGAATTAAATTTGTACTTTTATTTTTACTTTTATTTTACTTTCTTTTAAATTCAGTAGGAAGGGTCGAAAAGACTCGACAGATATCGATATCCCCATTAGCAATCAGACGACTCTTTAAAAAATATAATAACAAAGACAATCAAAATATAAACGAACAGGACATTGTTTGTCGAGGTTCGCCAGTCTATAAGTTAATTTACACATTTACACTTCGATTTATATACAATTCATTCATCAAAAAACTAGCTGTACTTTGTTCACCTTGGATGTTCACCACGGATGAAATGCAGATGAAAACAATCTATATAATTTTCAGTGAGGATGAATCATCCTTGTTGCACATCCAAAGTGTAAAGTCTAGGTTCTTGTGATTCACAGGCGGAACGAAAGGTTCCGACGACGGTCAGATCGTTGTTATCGTTCAATGTCAATGCCGCGGCTACGCGGAGGAATACTAAAAATGTATTTCGTTCGGAAAGAAGGTCACACCGTGAACGCTGCCCTCCTTCCTTTTTAAAAGAATTCCTCGCGTGTTACGCACCGAGCGTTCGAAGATCGTCGAGAACGACTCGAGATCGGCCCGGACCGACCGGATATTATCAGATGATCGCTGGAAGAAGATCAACAAAAAATCTTGATATTGACACGATTTTCCCTTGCACTGATTACACATCTGGAACGATTATCTCTTCTACTACGGAAAGTCGAAATGGAATTGATCGGCAATTCTGCTCCAATTCCGCGTTAATAACTCCCCAATAAACGGATAAATTTATATTGACAGTGATTATGTTGATCGTTATGTGATTAGTTGAGAAATATTTGTGCGCTATCTGTTCATTTATTGCTAATTCACAGGTACACGTCGGCTTCATTCGGGTCAAGATACCGACTCCGACGTGTTTTCGGTTATTTCGCTGTTTCATTAATCAGCCTGACTCTTAGAACGCTTAGATCCTCGTCTTAAGAGCATTCCCGAGGTACAAGATCGTTTGTATATTCTTGGAAAGATGCGTGTAGGTTCGATAGATTTCCGAATCGCTAATGAAACGACCACAAGGTACAAGCTGGACGTTTCCGATGGTAAACCTCGATGCATAATTATCACGTTTCACGGTGAAATATGTTTGTTTGTCCCACTACGCCACTTAGATTTCGAATTTTCGAGACGACCGAGGGATCGGTTCTTGTATCTTAAACTAATTTATGAACACGTGCAAAGCACGTATGAATTGCAAAAATACTCGAACGAATCTAAACAATATTTTTACAAAAGGATGTCTGATGGTTACGTCAGAGGGAACCGCTGAGAGAATTGTTTATATTCTTCGAGGCGAAAAAATCATGCATCATTCACGAGGCCACGGTGGAATTGACCTAGACGGTCACAATGGAGGAAGTGTTTCAGAAATAGTAGGCGACCAGAAGCCGAAAAACGAACCGGTTTTAGAAAGTGCTTCGCAATTCCTCCCCACTCGATGTAATCCGGGCAGCTTCGTCATCGTCTTCTGTGAATGAAAAGTCATCTGCCTACGACGTTTCTCTAGTTTCAATTTTAAATCAGGGAAATGACGATTGATCCCAAGCCCTGGGAAATATATTTTATAACAGCTAATTTTTAATTCCACAATTAGACAGTGGAATACCCTAATATTCGAAGGTTCTACTATCCTCAGCACTGAAGTCTCAGGACAGAAAGACTCTCTGTCGTCTCCAGTGGCTTTTGTACTTTTCCTTATCATATCTAATTAAAGCTTTGACTTAGCCAGTTAGGCTACTATCTTCACCCAGGACCTAGGACATCGATGATTCAAGGCTGTTTGCCAAAATCAGTGATACACTTTGACCTAAAAGATAGGACGTTGGTTATACAAGGCCCTTTGTCAAAACTAGTCTGACCCTTTGACCTGGGACCTAGGACATCTCTGTGATTCAAGGCTGTTTGTCAAAATCGGTGACACACTTTGACCTAGAACATAGGACGTTGGTTATACAAGGCCCTTTATCACAACTAGTCTGACCCTTTGACCTGGGACATCTCTGTGATCCAAGGCTGTTCGTCAAAACCAATATGCAAGTTTGGCCCAAGACATAGACCATCTCTATGATCCAAAACTCTTCCTCAGAAACCAATATCTCACCGTCTACCCAACACGCCCATGTACAATGACACCATCGACCACCTAACCCAGTCGAACCTACCAGCGATCCCTAAAGACCCGACGTACAAAATTTCACTGATCACTACGAAGTGACATTTGCTCCTCTCGAAAGCGATCATCCAAAGTATCTGGTTCCATCGTCGATACCAAACGACAACGTCGACGGTTAGCGAAGGACATTTCGAGTCGTCGTCGTCATCGGTGGTACGCATCGCAGCTGCATTCCGTTATGTTAATACTCGCTTGCAGACGTCTCGGTTCTAACGTAAGAACGTAACGGTCGAGTTATGGCGAGGCGGGTTCAGGGCTGCGTGTCGGTTCGGTCTCTCGGGCATCGGCTGCCGATGCCGGTTGGGGCCTCAACCGTTTCCAGCGGCGATCGGTGGAGGGGGGAAGGTAGGGCCCCTCGATCATCGTTATTAGCTGGACGGATGGTTAGCGGGGCTGCGTTGTCGCGAAACAACGCGATGCAGCTCCGAGTCGACTGGCCGCCGCGCTACATCCGCCTTGGGACTGGTCCCCGATAACGGTCTGTCGATCGATCGTGGCGCGTGGGTCACGCGCGCGCGTGCGTGCGTGCGTGCACGCACCGGGGCGAGGGTCCAAATCTGTCAGTAGGTCACCGGTCCCTCCCACCGAGCCTCGAATGGGCCGACCTTGACCAGTCCCGTGCTGTCCATTGGCGGGATTTTAGGGAGGGGAGGACTCTACGCTTACGAGACTGGTCTACAGAGTTCAGCTGTGTCGAGTACGCGTAATTAAAGGGAATGGGACCGATTAGACGGGGGGACAGTGATCTTTGCTCTACAGTAAATCATCCATGAGTGTTCGAAAGCTCCTCGGGAATGAACATTAAATATTTCATAAGCAAACGTCCATATGGGGCTGAAACAAATATCATTGGCTTCGGAATTCCAAGCTGTGCTAACTGTGCTTCGTCGATGATTACTATCTTATGAACCGATTACTATGTTACGATGATTTACTGTATTATGAACCGAGGAAGAGTTTGAGAATTTGATTGTGGTGTGATTTGAGATATTCGGTTTCCAATGTGATCAAGTCCACGAAAATTATCGAAGAAATTTATTTTAAATACACAAAGTTGAGCGCCAATTAAATACTTCGGTGCTGGAATTTTAAAAAAATTCAAAAAGTGGGGTCAGTTACTTTGGCGTCTGAACGGTACGTTTACAGGTGATGCAAGTTGCGATGATTGTAAGTGGTAATTAGTAGAGGTCGTGAATGATGTACGGAGGTGTGCGTTCGTCGGAGTCAGTGGCCGGTGTAGTAGTTCTCGTGACAGTAATTAATAGTGTACCCGCGAATTCTTCATTGAAGAACCTCTGTAATACAGGGAATACGTTTTTCCAGGAATTACAGTTTTAAATGCTGAGGAAGCGGTCTGTTATTTGTTATATAACAGTCTCTTAATGTGGGAGATTTATGGTTTAATTGGTACCTTAATGCAGGGAAACTTGCACTTTAATATTAACGGTAATTAAACAATATGAAGCTGAGAAAGGCGAAAGTAAATGTTCTTGGGTAGACCTTCAACAGTTACTCTTGGGAATTAAATACTTCAAGGGCCACCCTTGAGCATTGGGTGTCTTAGATCCAGATTATTAAACCAAGACTGAATCTTGAATAATCCCTAATAGTCACTATTATTTAATTCCATTAAATATTAAAAATCCAGAATGACGACCTAAAATACTGCTTATTTCCACTATACAGGGCGTCCCAGCTAACGTGAACACCTTAAAGATTTTCAGAAATATTATTTTAACAAATGCTTAAAATAATATCCGCCAACCTCGACATATTTTTGCACAAATCCCTGTCTCATAGTTGCTTTATTATTTAAATCTACTTCCTCACTAATGACTGAATTGGTCTTGATGTCAACTATTACGTTGTTTTTACTACTTTTTTCTGTATGACAGTATTTGTCCCTTCCAAGCAAATAACACTGTCCCCTCGCACTTCTTTTATATCTTCTAAAACAAGTGAGATATCAAAGCTGCTCACGTTAGGTAGGACACCCTGTATATCATTCGAGTAAAATTCTATCCTACCGCTTGATAATTGCTTCGTAACCCAGTATCCTCCACTAATATTTATCTATCCACGTCCTAAATAATTCCAAGACCATTCTCGTTCTCTCACGTTCACTTTATTTGCACCAAAATACACCACAATCTCCGTTACCAGTATAGTACAGATCTATATTCGCGAGCAGGTCCGCATGCTTCAACGATCGACCATTACGATCCAGGAAATCGTCCGGCCCCGACATCACGCGAGGCGTCCTCGCCCGACAAAATTTCTTCGTATCCTCGACCAGACATACGGTACCCAACTCAATTCACAGGCAAGATTAATGTCGACGGTTCGCGTGCGCCTTCGGGCTCGTTTGCGAGCGCAAAAATCGACGAATAAAATCGGGACGGAAGCGTTCCGTAACATTGTCCACGATCGGTTGTTCCCTAACGGTTAGCCATGGGACCGAGAGCATATTACAGAGACCCAAGTGGAATAATACATAAAAAAGACGAAATAGAAGACACCGTGTTTCCCAGAACCCAATCGAGCGCCTCGTTGGTGCTCGAGGATCTACCTGTTGACGCTCTAGGCTAACGAAACGCATCTTGAACGTCGTTCCAAGGTCCACTAACGTGAAAGTTATTTCAACAAGGATCATTTTTCAACGACCAGTAGACGCTAATCGTCGCTAAACGAAGTTTCTACGCGCTGAATAATTATCGCGGTTGGGATTGTCTCGAAGCAACGAAAGGGGATCAGCGAATATCCGCTAAATAAGGATTATTGGCGCGTTACAGAATGCGTTCGAAAGTCACCGGAAGAAGGGGAATGTGTATGTACAATTGTCGTTGGTTTGCTCGAGCAAAGAACGAGACGACTCGGAGAACGCATCCGTCTAGCGTTCATCAGCTTCATCCGTAGGGGTTGCGGTAACCATGATGGCCATAGTACGCTAGATCGTTCCTGTGAGCCCAGGCCTCTTCCTGTCCATAACCTACAACATGGAAAATAAATTCGTTATCATAGGATCATCATCCATAGTGTGATCTACAATGGTCGTCGTCGATCGAAAGGTACGAGGACAGATAGTCGCTACCCAACAGAGTCCACCGAACAGAGATGGGCAAATTCATTATCTAAATAAAAAGTTTCGAATAAAAGATGAAAAAAATATTTCGTCATTTTTACTTGATTGAACGTGGTAATTCGAATTTTTATCATAAAATAATATTTCTTCTTGAATTAGTAGACACTTTGCAAACAATTATTCAATCTCATAAACTGTTTAAAGGTCAGGATGACGATCTTAGATACTGCTGCTTCTCAGTATGTATTATTCGAATAAAATTGTCCCCATCTCAGCCACCGGATTAGCTACCCGGTCATGCTCCAACGGCAACTAAACTTTATCCATCGACCTGGCGTAGTAATCACTGAAATCGTCCAGGTAGTGCCTCAAATATTATCGAATTCCGTCATTCGTGCAGCCGGTAATTCCGCGACGAGGAATGATCGAGTGTTACGTAACTGTAGTTAATGGTCGTAGTAGGTATAGCTCCGAATACTTTGTAACGTGCAATCGTTTATTCGGATCGATTGTTCGCGGTCACTTCAGCTTCCACGGGAGAGACGACTGTGATCGTTTCGTAATCGACGGAACAACCGTGTAACACGATTTTCCGATTCCTTTTGTTACCTGTCGGATAGTCGGCCGGCGCCTCAGCAGCCGTAGCCCACGTGTGATACGGGTAGGACTGCTGATGAGGCTGAGGGACCTTGCAGATCTTCAGATGCGCCAGTATAGAGGGCGCCAACAACGAAGCAAGTAGCAACAATTTCTTGATGAAATGCACGCCCAAGAATATCGGCAGCAGCAGCAGCTTCAGTTTCAATAGATTCAGCAGGGTACGATCATGGATTTCTTCTTCTTGAAGAGCCGCCCGTTATCTGTGCGGTACAGGTGTCAGTGATTCTGATAGGAGGTCGACGGCAAGTGGTGTTTCATTCGGTTAGTTGGGCAAATAAATGTCTGGTGACACGTTAACACTTGAACTACCAACGATAAACGCATATCTTTTTCGATCTATCGATAAATATAGCAAACTTTTGAAAATATACTAATTTATAAATTAACTAATTTCTTTAATGTCATGTCGTAATTAAAGTTACAGAAGATCTGAGAAAATGTATTGTTATAACATTTTAATCGTCGTTGTAAGAATGTATTGACCAGTCATTTTGACTGGCTTGGTAGTTCTAGTGTTAAGAGTGATATTTTGTTCTATTATAATATTACGTTGAACGAAAAGTTCGACACATTTAAGCCATTGATCTCTTGCATTGTCATTTGCGATCTAAAATCACTTGTTACTTATTGGTTGTAACAAGAACGTTTTAATTATGTTGCATTTGAAGGGACTCGTTAGATATCAAAGTAACCTTGAGGTTTTTCAAGGTTAATGAATTTTTTGTTACTGCTGTAATAAGGTCTAGGAGAAAAAACATCATTAACCTTGAAAAAAACTCAAGGTCTACAATACCTTTGAGCTGTTAAATAAAAGGGAAAATATACAAAATTGTTTTGTATATGCGGAATTTCTGTTCATTAATTTTTCGGAAATTACTAAGGAAACAACATACAATAAGATGTATATGTTGAATTTTTAGTAAACAATAATTCTGCACATAGAAAAAATTTTTTTAATTTTCCCTCTTCTTTTACACCTGAAAGGTATATAATCCCTTACGACTTCTCGAGGGCTGCATTACCTGCCGGCTGTTTTCTGCTCTGCCATTCCGCTAATTCATCCTCGTCCATGACCATGGGCATGGTACCGAAGCCCCTCCCAGTCACGGAGTTGTCGATCGTGTAAACAATCGCTCGTTTCGTTAGCAAGTCCTCGACCGCGTCCCTGACGAAGTTCAAGGCCGCGACTGCGTCGCTCTTAAACACACGGGACTGAGGCAATTTCGGTAGTATCGTGTGACCAGTCATGGACGGTATCCTCACTAGACGGAACGGGCCGTAAGTGAACTCCTGAAGTGAAACGAGAAAACGCGATTTTAGGAGAGACGATCATCCTCTTGTGTGATTGTGGAACGTGAAAATTAATATTCCTGATCTCTCTTGACTTGGCAGACCATCTTCGAGCGAACATTCGACATTTTGACCGTGAGTGTTTAATAATCCGACAGTTCGTGCGATTTAAACGACACTTGGATATCGATTTTAATTTGTTTAACTCTTTAGGGTTAGGTGGATTAAAAACTGTACCACCTTTTGCTTAGCTTTTGTAATATATTTTAATTTTTATATCAATTTTTTTATGTTAAAGAAATTCTGTGCAACTAAGGTTTTTATTTTTTTTTTTTTAATTGTGTGCCTCGAAGAGTTAAACGGAAACCATAAGAAGTATGCTAGGTCCCTCGATATAGTAAATCGTGATGCTTATAACAGTTTCAATTGATCCATCTGGACAATAAGAGATCGTTGCCAAAGTGTTAAAAATATCTATGAAAATCTTCGATAAGTTGCATCCCAAACTGTCAATATGTCTACGCCAGATACAAATTCTTTCTACAAAGATGTAATACCTCGACGTATAAGAAAACAAAGGGACCGTACCTTCTCCCTAACGACGTCGTGCAACCACCTAACGATCCTGTATTTGCCGCAGCTCGGGAAATCCTTCTTTAGGCCACAATCGACGCGGCATCGCTCGACGAACGTGCTCGTAGCGTTGTCGAACGGCGCGGCGAGGCTCGGACACAGTAAACAGAAGAGCACGAACATTACGAAACCGACACGCGTCGGGATCGACCGACGAAGTCCATGGCCGCGCGTTACTCCACCCCGTTCGCAGCACATGATCGATTCGATGACACGGGTACGAACGATCTAGAGCACTAACGATCCGCGCGGAAATTCCACGAACCCGTTTCCATGGCCTCGAAACAGCAAAATCCCGCGGAAATCGTTGAATCGGATGGAGGCAGCGGCACACGCGTGATCCCGATCGCGCGGGCCTAGGCGTGATCTCGAAGATTGGTTACTACAAGCTCACTGGCAGTGGTTAGAAGGTGTCTTGACCATTTATACGTCGTGCAATTAGGTCGGTGGGGGTACCGGTCCACGGCTTAGATAATGCTGCACAGAGACTGGAGGTTTGACGCGCGTTGCAGCATCTTGATATAGCTGCCCGGAGCAGCATAAACGGCTAGCGGGGCACCGATGTCGAACCGGAGGAACTCGGAGAATTCGACGAACCGAAGGAACTCGAACAATTCGAGGAACTGCAGGACGTTGAATAATTCAACAACTCGAACCTTTGTGACGAACCAGAAGATCTTGAATAATTCGATGGAACGTAGGGATACAGATAATTCGACGAACAGGGAGAACTCGAATAATTCGACGAACCGAAGGAACTCGAACAATTCGAGGAACTGCAGGTCGTTGAATAATTCGGCAACTCGAACCCTTATGACGAGCCAGAAGATCTTGAATAATTCGATGAAACATAGGAACACAGATAATTCAACGAACAGGGAGAACTCGAATAGTTCGACGAACTGGAGGACGTCGAATTATTCGATGGACTTGAAAAACTCAAGCAGTTTGACAAACAGGAGGAACTCTTATAATTCAATGCGTCAGAAGAATTTGGACAATTCGACGAACAGGAGAACTGGAAGGATGTCGAATAATTCAATGAATCAGAGGAAGTCAGATAATTCGACGAACCGAAGGAACTCGAATACGTAATTCAACGAACTGAAAGATATGGAATAATTCAATGGGTCAGTGGAACTGGGATAATTCGACGAACCGAACTATCTTGAATAATTCAGAAAACAGGAGGAACTCGAATAATTCGACGACTCGAAAGAACTCGAATAATTCAACGGCCCAGAGGAAGTTGGATAAATCGACGAACCGGAAGATCTCGAGGAATTCAATAAATCAGAGAAATCAGGGGCCGTTGTGGATGTCCCATGTGTTCTCCCTCGAAACCTGGTAAGCTATTTAGGGAGAAACGAGCTCGAGGAAAAACGATTAACGGTACACGTCTTATAATCGCTCTGATGACTCGATCAGAGAACAATCAAGGATTTAACAGGGACGACAGAACCGCAGCGATTACGATCGCAAATGCGTGTGTCCTCCTTCTCGTGATGTAACATCCCATTACGGTGTGTCCCGAAAAGTCGAATGTCACAAGTGTCGCTTCTATGTTATTCACGGTAAACTGCTGTCGACTGTTCCACGCAATTATAAAGAGATACTTCCTGAGTGTAATAGTAGTAATAGACTGCTATTGTGGGTAATCGCGTGGATTTATCTGGAACAGGTGGCTGGACGGTTTTCAGGTGGGAATGACGGGGCATTTAGAGTAGTCCTGCGCAGAAGTAGACTTTGATCATTTTCAGAATACTTACAAAATTACAGTTTTGCATTAAAAATTCTTACTAATTGTTACAACATCTGTTACTCGATGCAGTACCACTTATTTGCCATTTTTCGTAAAAGGTACCAAGAATGTAGAATGTAAGATGTAATGCAACTCTGATCTTAAATTCCTGACAACATTAACAAACATTTTCTTTGTTCCCCAGTGATATCATTTAAACGGTCATGGACACATTTTTCGTAGGCGAATGATTTAAGAATCACGATCGAGGGCAGACGATTCGTGACACGGAAAGGTAATTAATGCAAAAGACACGCAGGACATCTCGTTCGTATGGGAGATGACCGAAAACTGGTTCTATCCGGGGATCTACTTTCTCGCCATTTTTGAATCTTTGCGTATCGTTATCTAACTCGAACGTAATTACCTGCATGATTTTCTCATCATCGGTGACGTTCACGAACGATCCGGTCAATTTACGACGCGTTTACTGGCAGACGGCGATAATTGGTCGAGATTTAGGGATATAACGCCGTGGAATTTCAAGGGAACAGTTCGGTTTAGAAAGTCAAAATAATTGATTTTGATAAAACACGTGAAACAGGTCGTATAAATATAAGATATAGAATATTACACTGTACATTAAATACCCAGAAATTATAACTGATGGGAACTGTTGCATATATCTAATATAACATAGTCAATTCATAAATATTAACAATAGTTGAAACTAATATTTACATTAACAATTCACTCTATTTAAAAAAATTCTCTATATTTTCCATCGATTTTTACAAATGGGTCATCTGTCACTGTGGCGAAACTTTCGTTGTAGTTGGTATGGACAGCCATAAAAGAAACAACCGAATGGTCTTAGGCACACCTGGAAGACAAGTCCCGATTTACATTGATACCGCCTCACCCGAGGGCTCCGCCGTGCATTCCAACTTTGTCGCAACACGAAGCTCCGTATCTTCTCGTAAATCTAGCACAGTGCGATTTTTGCTTCTTTTTTTTTAATTGTTCATTTATATATCAACGTTCCGCGTCAAGAAAATAAGAACTGCAAATAATCGTGGCAGCCAGTCGAACGTTGCAACGCTTTTGATCGGCATACTTCGACTTATCACCGCGACAGGGTGCCTTGTTCGGCATTAATAACGTCCCCTCGTTTTCACCTCGTTTGTTTACTCGATCACTGAACGCTATGGAATTCCAGGTGATCGTGATACTCTTCGTAGACGAGATCTAGTAAGTTGGTACATTTTTATGGGGGAAGATATCTTTTAATCAGATATTCAAGTTTAGAAATATATTAAAAAAAATTTCAGACAAAAGTTAAATGGTATCAGGGAGCACACTTTCTGATGTAACTTTTTTCTATATGGACGTGGAGGTCATATGAAGGTCAGTTTTGTTTTTCCATAAATGGAATCGTATAATTTTTAATGAACTACTTGATGCTACTCGTTATTCTCTACATAACGTACTAAGTCACTTATGGCGAATTAGTCTATTAAAAAATATACGATTCCATAAAAAAAAAACAGAATTGACCTTCATATGATATTCTAAGCGTCCACATAGGAAGAAGTTACATCAGAAACCGTGCCCCCTGATATTGTTTCACTTTTGTCTGAAACATTTTTTAATATCGTTAAGAGTTTCGGAGATATTCGAGTGATTCGATTTAAATGGGACACCCTGTTTTTCTGTTTATTGGGCCGAATCCCGAACTGGCCCACTTACCAGGCCCGGACGCTACTTGGACCCAAAACGTTTGACCTCGTTGGGTCTCATGAATCGGCCAATTTTACGAGTTCGTTACATGTATTTTATTTCGCCAAAGAACACATGACTACTTACCCACATAAACGTATATTTACGAACACGCTGAATCGTATTGGTCAGATGATCATCCGAAGATGCTCCTCGACCTTCTTTAAGTTGATCCTCTTTTTGCCCCGAACGAAACGGGTTATACTTACGGTCTGTTTATTCAATTTTCGAAACCGGGAATGGAACTGATCGCATACCTGAACATGTCCAAAGTTATTAAAATCACGTTTTATTTCGATTTCTCAAAACACGCCGCCTCATTTTCTATTTAGATCACTCGAAACGAAACGCGCGCGCGCACGCCTGGTTTCTCTTCCCGATAAGATCTCCGGTCATTAAAGTATTGATAATCAACGTAGCCGCTAATCATCCTCAAGGTTATGCGATTTTTTATGAGAAAACCAGGTCGTTGCCAACTTTCGTTGCCAGCAAGACCGTGTTAATTAAACCCCTGGTAAAAAAGACGGCCTCTGGGATCCTGTATCAGTCTTATCATATCATTCGATTGATTCAACTGTTTTTTTGTCAAATGAAATTCTTCTTGACCACGATCCGGGGTCATCCACTTGTAATCTAGAACTAAAAAGAACGAGAAATATGACACCCTTTCGTGAGTTTAATCGCACCTTGTAGAAGTACCATTTATTGAAGATACAAACTGGAATTTGTAGACACTGTTGAACAGGAAGTATTAAGTGTGTGTGTGTGTGTGAAAGTAATGTTGTATCTAATTTGGAGCTGTGGCGTTTATTTGGGTGGAACTGTGGAATTTAGCTTTTGATCGCAAATGACGGATAGATGTAGAAAATGGGGGAATTGTTTCGAGTAAGAGTTACTATTGGATACTGTTACACTGTCGCCTACTATTTGGTCGTTCGATAAGTAATGTCGTATACTTTGTGTTTATTCGTATATTTGTATTATTAGCAATTCTACCTCCTTTGAATGCAGACGTATACTTTTTCAAAAATGTTGTAGTTTCAACTGTCAAAAAATTGTTTTAAATTATAATTCAACGCAGTGAAATGGATAAGAGCGAAGCACACTCACGTTATTAAGAATATCAAAAAGGGAATAATACGACAAAGCAACTGAAGACTTGTGTAATGTGGTAATGAAACAATTAACGTAAGAGAAGCCCAAAGATGGTTTCCAAAATTTCGTACAGGCAGTAAAAAACAATATACAATTGTTCATAGACTCCAAACAAAATTTGATAAATAGACTGCGGATTTTATGCGTTTATAGCTTATAGGGCTCCGTGAAATACAATGAAAAACAAAACTTTCATCGGATCCAACGAGTTTTCTATTTTATTCTGAACCCAATAAGATACTTAAGAAGGAAAATAAATTTCTACCACTGCCACTGTGTTTATGAATTACTTTAGAAACTTTTATTTTGCATAAAAATCCGCAGTCTAATTATAAATCACGGTGGAAACTACAATTTTGTAATAAAGTGAAATCATACATGTAACTCTCATAACAACACAGATGTTCAAAAATACGACATTGCTTATCGAACGACCCAATATAAGCAC